TCCTACATGGGACTATGTAGTTGAAGTTGAAATGTCGATGATTTTAAATAAAAACAGGGAAAAGACTAAATTTTTACTTCACCCTGGTCTGACGGTACATTGGAAAGATTTGAAAATTACTTTATGGGATCTTACACCACCAATTGCACCAATTCTAAATAGTAGATTTATTGTTAGTAATTCAGGAATTGCTATTGTTGATGAATTTACGTCGTATTTGGATTGTGGTGGAAATTTCAGGAATTTTTCTATGTGCTCTTTAGACCCTAAAATATGTCAAGAATGTTGGGAAGATAACGAACTGGAAAGAGTTTCATGTACTTGTTTTGAAAATTCTATAGAAAGGATACTTAATGACCCTACTAAAATACTGCCTCTGGATGTTCAGAGAGTGAAATTGCGCAGTATTGGGAAGAAAATATTTAGTGAAACAAATTATTTGCCTATTCAAGTCATGGTAAGAATAGACAATTGGACAATTGCCGCGAATACTGAATTAACCTTATGTAAAGTCGAACCAATAAAATTAACAGGATGTTATTCATGTTTTGGCTCGATATTTAGATTTAAGTGTAAAACCAATTCAGGAAATACTTTAGCTGAAATAAAATGTCAGGATAACACTTTTACTGCTCAATGTTCAAAATTAGGTACAGAGCAGTACGTTGTACTTTCTTTCAATAAGGCTAAAGTTTTAGAAACTTGTGAAGTCTTATGTCCAGCTGGAAAATCAGAATTTACATTGGAAGGTAGATTAGAATATTTTCTGGCTGAGAGAGTTAAAGTAATAGTGAAAAATGGAACCCCAGAAATTTATTCAAATAAAGGTAATTATTCTTGGATAAATGAGATTTGGAAGAATTTCCCACTAATTGATTTTAAGGGATTAATTTTGGATTTTTTGAACTGGAAGATTATAATTTTTATTATAATCGCTTTTATCCTCATTTGTATTTTTATAAAAATTATTTGGAAGATAGTCCCCTATTTTTTTGGTTACTCTAGATTATTCACTGTTCTATTTTTATTCTTTCTTTTTTCTCTTACCCGCGGAGGGTGTAACACAGAAGAAAAAATATTTTTACATATGAATAATATAGGAGAGATGAAACAGGCATTTGGCGTCTCTTCTTCTTTATTTTTTTATATAAATCATTCTCTTTATAAAAAATTTTATAAAAATTATTTTACATTTAAAAAATATTCTTTAAATAAAAATTTATTTTTATTTTTTATTTTCAGGGAAAATAAATTTAATACAATTTATTTAATGTCTTCATATAATTCTTTAATTAAATACTCGGCACTTGTTTTGGACTGTGAAATACAGGATGTGCCTTATTTACTTTACAAATCATCTAATTCTCGGGATATTATTTCTACAGCCTTAAAAAATTTGGAAGAGGAAGGCTGTAATTTAAATGCATGGATTGCCGAACCAGGACAACAAGAATTAATTACACCCATAACTGGCATAGGGGATTGGTTGCTAGTCAAGGAAAAATTCTTACATGCTGTTAAACCTTTAAATATGGAAGAATCTTGGTATAAAGCACACATTACACAATCTCAGGTAATAATTAATCCTGAAGAGGAAAATTTTGACACAGGACCAGGCATAATACTAGAGCACTCGTTTCGGAGTGCAGAAGAGTTCTATCCCTTAAGTTCAATCTTTATAGAAAATTTGGAAAATAGGGATTTAAATAAACTATTAAATGCTGGAAATTTGAGAAAAATTGACAAATATAATAGAAATAAATTTCAGGCTTTAAATGAGGAAGAAATTGAAAATCCAAAAATTCAGGAAGAATTGGAAAATACTCTAAAAATCGATATAAATTCTGGAAGAAAAGAAAAGGTAGAAATTAAATATCAGGAGAATAAATGGAATTTTTCCATTCAGATCGAACCAGAAGAACAGGAGGATGTTTTAGGAAATAAATTTTCTTTGGTGGAATTTTCTATAAAAATGAAGGTGGCTAAAAATCTGTTTAATATTATTGTTTTGTTTACATTGTTTGGTATTGTATTTGGATCACCAGGTTATTCTCCCCTAACTCCAACAAATGATAAAAATGAGACACAGGAAGAATTGTTTAATAAATTATTAGAAAGTGATGATAATAATGATACAATTTTGGTATACGAAAATATAGGAATTACCCCTAATCTTTCAATTCAGGAAATTGTTCAGGCTAATCAAACACAATCCACTAGTCAGGCCCCTCAAATACATTCAACAAATCAAGAAGAAGAAAAACGAAGAAATCTAAGAGGTCTTTTTGAACAATGGCTTGCTTCACAATCAAATGTTAATGCTTCTGGGGGTGCAACAACATTTTCTACTCAATCTTCTTCTTCAACTTTAACTACGTCAACAATGCAAATTGCCTCAACTACAAACTCAAATACACCAAGTCCGTTGGCAAGTTTTAAAATTCCTAAAATTAGGAAAGAAGAGATTAACGGATCCCCAAATTGTTACAACAAAAGACCAGCAAGCAATTACATAAAGAGTTGTTTCTTATGTGGGAATAAACTACATTTGGCTAAAAATTGCCCTCTAGCTAATTGTGGTCTTCAAAATCAACAAAATAATCAACCAACACTTTCTCACCACAACAACAACATTCCACCAAATGCTGCTGAAAACTTGGCAAGAGATCTAACCGAACTTGCACAACGACACCCAGCGCCTTTAGCAACGCTTCTCTTTCAACTTGCTCGTGTTCTTCTACTGACAATTCAGGCAGCACGACAACAATGAGATTTTGCGCACCCCCCGAGTGTTGCGAATGCAACGAAAAGAATTTATTTTTTAAAATTTAAAAAATGATTAATCATAAAACAATAATAATTTTGGTTTATTTTTATTTTTGAACCGCCTTAAAAATGTTTGTTTAAAAAGACAAGAAAAAGTCCAAAAACAATCATCCATTCCTTCTAAAAATCATCTTCATCTTCAATTTTTTACTTTCCATTCTTTATAAGATTTTTACTCTCTAAAAAAAGGGCTTTTTCTGGTTTTTAAATTTTACTTTGGAAGAAATAAATTTTAATAAATCTGATTCTTTATTTTTGAGAATTTACCCGGGAAATTCTCTATTTTTTATTGTTCCTTACTGAATTTAGATTCAGTACAGAAGGTGAAAAAGGGTTAAATATATTGTAGGTGAAAGTATATATTTCCTTTCCTTTTCCACAGATAAAGATTTTAATGGTTATTAGAATTTAAATTTCTTAAAAATTATTTTAAAATAAATGGAAATTAATAAAAATTAATTTAATTAAAAAAAATTTTTTTTAAATAAAATGTACTTTTATATTTACACAACAGATTTAAAATAAATAAATTCTAGGTACTTTAATATGTTTAAAAATTTTTAAATATTTTTATTTTTAAATAATAAAATTTTCAATCAAAATTCTTTTAATTAAAGTACTATTTTTGCATAAATCTTTCGCAAAAAAACCTTTTAATTTATTTTAGAAGGAAATAAAAAATTATTTTATTTAACATTTTTATATATTTATTTTACTATTTTTGTATAAATTCTCACGATTATGTACATAACCGGATGAAGGTGGAATTTTGAGTAAAGGAAAACTTTTAAAAAGGGTAAAAAGAAAATATAAAAATAATATAGTAATTTGTTTATTATTTAATTAAAATTAAGTTTAAAAACAAAAATAGATATTTAAATATTTATTTAAAAATGTTATTTTTCCGAGTATAAATTTAAAAGGAAAAAATAAATTAATTATATTTTTCTCTCTTTTTAGATTTAAAAAATGTCCACTTCTTTATTTAAATTTTTTATTATTTTTTTAATTTTTTTAATAATTAATAATTGTAATTCTTCTAAACGAATTAAAATTCAACAAAATTTTAATAGGTAAATTTGTAGAGAATTTTTTAAAATTTAAATTTAAAATGTAGATATCCAAAAACAACACCAAAACCTGTTAGTTCATTAAAAGAAGAAAATGAATTATTACTAGATGAAAATGAAGATGATTCTCCAATCCTTCGATTAATTAGATCATTTAAACAAAAACAACAAAAAAAGAAAAAACAAAAAGAAGTTGAACAAAAAGAAGTTCAATGCTGGATTAGAATAAATAAAAAATTGGGAGAGGTAGAAGGGAGAGGGGAGGGGGGGGGGGGAATTAATGAGGGAAGAGAAGGGAGGGAATTAATTAAAGGGGAAATTAATTTTTAATTTAAATTTTATTTTTTTTTAGTTTTACTATGAACATGGAAAATGTGAATGTTTATATGATAATAAATTTGTTTGTATTGGAGAAAAACATGTAGATCCCTACAATTATTATTGTGAAAAAACTAGAATTTATTATTAATTTTTTAAAATTAATTTATCTTTTAAATATTTAATTGTAAATATTTATTTTTAATAAAAAAAATAATTTTATTTAAAGAAAAAACTAATTTATATTTTTGTAATTTTATTTTAAACAGAAAATACAAAAAAAGGGAACATTTAAATAATTTAATGTAGTGTTGCAGATAAAAAAATATTTTTATATAAATTTACCTCCAAAATCAAAGAAAAAATATTTTTGGAAATTTTTATTGTAAATTTAAAAAGACAAAAAGGAATAAACTCATTTTTAAATTACATGAGCAAAAAATGGTGAGGGAGGGAGGGGAGGAGAGGGAAGTAATTAGTAAATATGTGACAAGAATAATTAATTTTTAAAATAAACAAAACAAAATATAGAATAAAGACAAAATTGGTGTAACAAAATAAAAGATTTGGATTTTTGTCAGAAAATTTAATTCTCAAAAAATAATTAGCCAAAAAAAGATTGACAAAAAGACAAAAATTGGAAAGAATTAATTTTTAGTTAAATTAAAAATAATTTTTTAAAAAATATTTTTTTTACCGTCCTAACAAATTAAATATATATTTCCTCCACCAAAATCACAAAAATTAAAACAAAAATTTCCATCCAATAAACAAAACAAGAAGTAGTCAATCTCGTATTGAAGATGAAGAAGCAACACTTTTATTAGACAGATCACCATTTACAAAATCATTTAACTTTCCCCCATCAACACTTGCACGTTGAGCTGGTTCTAGTCGACTAAAATAAATATGGCGAAGAGCATCACTTAATTGGATACGAGAATTTGGTTCATATTCAAGCCTTAAAGAAATTTTTTTGAATCAAAAAAATTATTTAAAAAACAAACATTCGGTGAATCAAGTTAAACAAGTGCTGATGAGCGTCTGAATTAGACTGCATATAACGCTGAAAAGAATTTTAAATTTAGAAAAAAATATATAAAATATTATTACAATTAAAGGTTTGCAATGATCCCGCACGTACTGGCCGCCCGACGTCCGATCATCCCATTCTAAACGGCCATGATAAAAATATTTTGTTCTAAATAAATTATTTAAAAGAAAACTTTAATTAAACTTTACTTTGTTTTATGCCCCATTCTGTAAGGTATTTTTCCAAGAATTCTTTCCATCATAGCCAAATGTTCGCGATTATCATGTGTTTGGAAAAGTGTCTGTCCTGTATAAAGCTCAAACATAATACACCCTATTGACCACACATCGCAAGGTTGGGCCCAACCGAGCTCTTTAATTAAAAATTAAATTAAAAACAAATTTTTCCTTACCTAAAATAACTTCGGGTGCTCTATAATGACGAGTAGAAACAATTGTTGAATGATGCTCATGATCAAATGTAGCCGAGCCGAGATCAATTAGCCGAACAGTTGCATCCTAAAAATATATTCTAATTAAAAAAATGAAAAAAACCTTCAACATTCGAACAGGTTTTCGTGTACGCCTTCCATCTTCTCCATTTACCATTGTCACAAAATCACTAGAGACGAAAAGAATATTCTCAGGTTTTAAATCTGTATGTGTTAAACGATTGTCGTGAAGAAATTTAACAGCGTGAATTAACTAAAAAGTAAAAAGAGAGAATTAAAAATCTTTTTACTTGATAAGCAATATATCTGGATTGGTCCATTGGATATGGTCGATAATCATTCATTTTCTTTAAAAAAATAAAAAATTTAAAATAAATTTAAAAAAAAACAAACCATAAAATCAAAAACACTCAGACCCAACAAATCAAACAACAAACACATCTGAAAATAAATTTTTAAAAATTTAAAATTAAAAAAAAATACAAACATGTCCGTGATAATCAAAACTGTCGAGTAATTGAATAACCAAATGATTTCCTTCTGGGTCTTTTTCTCTAAGCTTTCTAAGAACATTAATTTCAAGTCTAGCAGCATCTCTATATTTTGAAACATTTTTGATGATTTTTAAAGCTTTTGGTGCAGATTTAACAGAATCAGTACGGCATAAGTCTTTGACTTGCACAACTTTTCCAAATGTTCCTTCACCAAGTGTCTTAACAATTTCAACTGGAAAAGAAAATTAAACAAAGGTAGAGGGGAATTTCTAGTATATAATGACATCCTACAGGTTGAAATTTGTCGTAAGGAGTAGAGTTGAAACCCGGACCGGATCCCGACCGGATTTTCGCGATCCAATGGTCCCGATCCGGGTATTCTGATAAAAATAGGGATTTTTGGAAAATTCGGACCGGATAAAAAATTTAGATCCCGAAACGGGATCCGGCATTTTCCAAACTTTTAACTCTAGCAAGGAGTGATGTGAGAGGGAAAAAATCAAACTATAATACATAGAAAATCATTTATGTAAAATAAAATCCTCTCATCTTTTATTAAAATCCAAAAAAACTCACATCGAGAATCGATAACTTGTCCATTATAATAAATTAAATGTCCTTCTTTGTCATCATGTATTGGAGGCGGAATAATTGGTTGCGGGACTACTACTTGTTGTGGTTTAGTATGGACAGTTGATGGAATAACAACGGCCACTGAAGATGATTGAGCGGTAGATAATTGTTGTTGACTATTGCTAGTTTTTGTATTTCGATTGCTTACTTTTGACTTTTTCTTAGGAGGAGATATCCGTTTGCTGGCATTGGATGAGGAAGCAGTGCTGTTCTTCTGTGGGCCATTCTTAATGAAATTTAAAAATAAACGAAAAATATCAGTGGACAGTTAACCCCAAAACTAAATAATCAGAAAACTGCTTAAGTCCCAACCTTTGATATGTCACAAGCCTTCTCAATATCCATTTGATAGTATTGGTCATTTCTGTTGCGTGATCGTCGTCTAGCGCGCTCCTCACGATCACATTTAAGTTTGCTGCGATTCTCTTCACGTATACGTTTTTCATCCTCATAAGAATAATCTCGATAAGTTCGCCGTTTCCGACTCTGAAAAATAAAACAAAAATTGTTTAATCTTTAATTTAGATTTCAGTTAACAATAAATTAAGAATATTAGAAAATAATTTGTAAAGGATTAACGAATAAATTATTTAAATTTTAATCAAATTAAAACCTGTTTTGTATGTCCTGGCATCACAAATCTGTCTTTACTATTTAAGAAAATGGAGGAAGATCAATGATTGAACAACCAAAATTTATAACAAAATTAGGTATATTCCTGCAAATTTAAGATAAAATCATTTAATTGAAAAATATCCTCAAAACGATTTAAATCTAACAATAAACTTCAAAACAACAATACATAGAGGTATATGCGCTAGATTAACGAAAAAATCAATATTAAACCCACACCAACAAAAGACGAGAAAATCCCGATTGACCGCAAGCAAATCCAGACAAAATGTTAAGCAAAAAATGGAACTAAGGCAAAAAGTTACAAAATGGTACTTGAAAGATGGTTAAAGATTCTCCGATGACATAAAATTTAAATTTTATTTGTTTTAAAAATTTCCTTGCTATAAATTATGAAGGGCGTGGAGAATTAAAATTTTGATATTTAACTCCGCCCTTTCCGGGGCAGAGTTAATACTGTATTTATACTGTATCAATGGAGCGGACACATTTAAACTGGACATTTTGCAAAGAAAAAAAACGTATTCCTCCAGAAGACCGGAGCATTAAAAGACCGGTACAGGAAAAATGTCCAGAATACACAGAATAAATTATTAGTTTTCGAACACCATTGAAGTTTGTTTTTTATTTTTATTCCTTGAAATTTTTAAATATTTTTGAATTTTTTAAATCTATCCAAGTGTTAGCTGGTTTCTTCTAAGTTCTGTCAACGAAGTTTCGAGATAAAATAATTCTACTGGGCGATTTTGCTAATGTAAGCCACATTTTCTGAAGGAACATTCAACCTAAGAAAAAAGCCACAAAAAAGTTAATCAAAACTTCAACATGACCAGAAATCAGAATCTTTTCTCCTAAAAATAGACGGAACGGGCCTGTTGAGCGCGGCCAGTTGAGCCCCGCCAGTTGAGACCGGGCGGTTGAGACCGAGGACAGTTGAGCGCGGGCCGGTTGAGACCGGGCCAGTTGAGCGCGGCCAGTTGAGCGCCCCTTGTTAACTGACCAGTTGAGCGCCAGTATATTTTTACAGTGATAAACTCTGGAAAATGTTTACTCATGTTCGGAACATGAGTCAAAAAGAAACAACAAATTCCCTCGTTCGATAAACGGGTGAAGTTGTTCCATGAAGGGAGTTCCTTCCACCATTGTTGGTACCAGGCCCCCCCCTCTTCTGCGCCGAATTTTTGGCGCCAAAGGCGCCAAAAATTTTTATTTTCAGCGCTCCAGGCGAAAATTTTGAGAATTTTAGAAGGCCGTAGGCCAAAAAAATCATGAAAATCTTCCCCCGTCTTTGGAACAAAAAAACTTCCCCCGTCCTTGGAACAACATCCCCCGTCCTTTGAACAACTTCCCCCATCCTTGGAACAACATCCCAAGTCATTTGAACAACATCCCCCGTCCTTTGAACAACTTCCCCCGTCCTTAAAACAACATCCCAAGTTATTTGAAAAACATCCCCCGTCTTTGGAACAACATTCCCCATTTCGCGCTCAACTGGCCAGTTAACAAGGGGCGCTCAACTGGCCCGGTCTCAACCGGCCCGCGCTCAACTGTCTTCGGTCTCAACCGCCCGGTCTCAACTGGCGGGGCTCAACCGGCCGCGCTCAACTGACCCCAACCGAAAATAGAATGCCTACAGTCAAAATAAAATACCCAAAATAAGTTTTACACTTGATAAACAAAAAAAACAATGTCAAACAGCCATTTAAATTTAAAATATTAAACGATTTTTTGAAGTCAAATCGAAAACAAAAATATAAAAAATCGTTTAACATTCCAGTCAAAACCCGAGAGGAGTAAAGGAATTTAAATAACTTTTTTTAAAAAACACCAAACAGAAACAAGACAATGGAACATTTAAATAAATAATGTAGGTATATATAGTTGATGTTGCTGATTTTATTTAATTTTTAAACAACTCCCCCTCCCCTTTTAATTTTTTGTCAAAAAATTCAACTTCTCTTAAAATTTCAATTTTTAAATCAGCAACATCTTTTGGGTGTCTTTTTTCGAATTTTCTTTGGAGAAAACATAAGAATAATATATAAGCAAAAACAACAACTAGAAGAACAACAAAAGTTTTGTTTTTTTAAATAAAAGAGAGGAAAGAAAAAAATATATAAAATAAAATAGCGCCCAATTTTTTGTTGTTGCTTCTACCATTTTTTACATAACCAACTCAAAGCTCAGTGTGTCCCTCGTCCTTATCTTCTCCCTCTTCGGGTTCTTCTGCCTCTTCTTCAGCTTCCTTCTCTGCCTTTTCGGTGTCAGAAAGTCCAGCACCTTCTTTGCCGCCAGAATCGAGGAATTTACTTAAAAAATATTTTTGAATAAATTTGTTAAATGTTTTGTTTTCCAAAGGTTAATAAACTTTTTGGAATAATTTCTGTTATTCCAAAATCTAGAGGGGAAATACCCAAATTAAATAAAAAATTAAATAAATAAATTACGAGAATCCTTCAAGAGTACGCTCTCCAGTGTAGTCAATAACCTTCTTTGAATCAGCAGGGAAGAATTTGATTGTTGGGAAGGATTGAACCTAAAAAACAAAAAACAACATAATTTATACATGTAAAAACATTAAAAGATTACCTTCACATCTTCAACTTCATTGGCGGTGGCATCCATCTTTGCAATAACAATATCTTCACGATCTTGATATTTTTCGCCAAGTTTATCCCAAATAGGAGCAAGCTGTTTGCAATGACCTCAAAATTTAAAAAATAAACTTTAACCAAAAACTTAACTACTTACCACACCATGGAGCATAAAACTCAACAAGCACATTCTTCTTCTCATCTCGAGCAACTTGTTCAAAGTTCTTGCCAACGAGAACCTTGACTGGCTGTTTGTCCCAATCTTCTGGAATTTCTTCGCTCATCAAATGTGGCTTCAACTTTCCGTCCAAATAGGCAGAAGTGAATTTAACAACATTTTCTGTAGTGATTTCAGTCCAATCTGGCTTGTATTTGGTCATGTCCTCTTCCAAAGAGATGAGACGAACAGCTGGAAGCTCCTCCTTCTTCAAACCAAAGAACTCCATAATTCGTTGATTATCTTCAACTTCAGTGTTGATGTACACAAAGTGAAGCTAAATAAATTAAATTTAGAGAAGAGGGAATAAAGTAATCGTTACTTTGCCCTTGAATTCTTTTGCAGCTGCCTTGAATTCGGACTCCAACTTTTCGAAATCTGGAGACTCCTTGGAAACAAACAAAAGCATGTGAGACTTGATTTCCCCACCAAAGATGACTGCAGCGGTTTCTTGGCTGAAATAAAAAAAAATCTAAATTTTCCTTAAAATTTAGAAATACCTAAATTCAGAGACAAGAGGAATACGATTAGATTGAACCCATTTTTTGAGAATATCCAATTCAATCTTTTCTCCATCAAAGTCTGTTTTGCCCTCATCAAACTTCTTGAAAAGTACAATTCCTTTGTCCTTGATATTAGCGTCTTTGGCAACAGCAGAATCGTAAATAATCGCGAATGGAACATCATCAAATGAGCTTGCAAGTTCAATATAGACTTTGGCTTCTGCAGAGTCCTTATCCTAAATTTTTTGGAAGATATTATATAAAGTGGAATGTGCATACACTGAAGTAAGCAACAGCGGCAACTTCGGCAGAATCCTGGAATTCTTTAAGCTCATCGGCAGAAGTGAGTTCCTTAGCCGGAGGTCCAGTCTTCTTCTTGAGCCAAGCAACGATGGAAGCAGCATCACGGCCTCCTCCGTATTCGCTGGGTTTACCTAATAAATAACGACATTTATGAATAACCGTTTTAACTTCAATCTAGCTAAATTATTAAGTTTACTGCTGAAAACTGCCTCTTAAAATAAACGATCTAGTATCGAAAGATGGGAATCCCAAGAACTAGCCGTAAAATAAGGTCCGACAAAATAAAAAAAACCATTTCTGAAGAGTTTCAATGTCGGATAGCCACGGACTTCATAAGTAGAACCAAGTTCTGTATGAATTGTAGCATCAACTTTTCCAAGCTTGATTGGCGACTTTTCATCCTTTAATTGAGTAGCTGCCTTTGCATATTCGGGTGCAAGAGCTTTACAGTGGCCTAAAAGATTTCAAAAAATCTAAAGCCAAACCCAAAATTTACTAACCACACCACGGCGCATAAAACTCTACAAGAATAAACTCATTCTTTTCAATAGCAGATTTGAAATTGTCCTAAAAAATAATATAAAATATTATCCAAATCCAAATAAAAACCTTAGTCAAAACCAAAACATTCTCTTCTTCATCAATTGGAACAAGGTCATCAAGAGAATTTTCAGAAGGTGGAGAACCATCCTTTACAGCAGCCTTCACCAAAAAACTTCCGCTAATAATCAACAAAATATTAAAAACAGAAAAGGAGATCATCACAGCTTCTTTTCCAATATGTTTTTAATAAAATAAAGTCTTTATATAAAAATATATAATTTACCTGAAAATTTAAGAAAATAAAAAGGAAATCTTTAAAAGAGCTTTTAGGATGTTATTAAGGTATTGAAAATTGACTTTAATTTACTATAAGGATATATGAATGTAAAAATATATCCGTTAAATCAAAACAATTTTAAAAAGTTAGCAACATCCATGAAACTTATTTAAGGGTTAAAAGAAACAATTTCAATTCTTAAAACGGTTTAATTTAAATGAATAGATTTTCTAACAAATACAATTCACTAATTCTTTTTCGCAGCTTTATTTAGGTGAAATAAATTCATAGTGCTGACGTGGTCAATGCTATGTGTAAAATGAAATATGCTATAGACTTAGAGATGCAGAGAAATATATAAAATAATCGCGGGTCAGCATTGACGTGTGGGGCGGATAGTGAAGGAAGGAAGGTGATTTGCGCTAGCTTTTATAGCTTTTTATTGATTTTCGTTAAAAAAATAGCCATCGTTAAAAATATTTAAAAAATAACTAAAAGCCACGGATTCAAAAGAAAAGTTTCCACATAGGCAAACAAATATAAACAAATTTTATTTGTTTAACATTAAAATACTTTTAAACCTACTTTAAAAAAACTTAACTGTTCCTTCATACATAAATAGATCAACATAAACACTAATTTTGTTATTGGTTCTAATCGCAACATACATAGTGCATTTCAAAAATAAAATTAGAGAAAAATGAATACGTGGATTTTTGGCAAAATATATTTTCTAGTAACGCAGAGTTCAACGAAACAAAATTGAAAAAAATTCGTCAACATACAAAGCGGATCAAATGTTCAAATCCTCTTATATTTCCTTTAAGAAAGTGTTTTAGGTCTGCTTTTTTAGCCACGCCCCTTTTCCCTTTCCACCTTCAATAAACCTTAATTTGTCAGAATGGTCAGCCTGTCTTTTTTCCTCAATTTTATTCAATGCCGGTGGCATGTTCAATAAGAGATGTTAACTTCCGATATTTTTGCATATTTTCCTTATTTCCTCAACCCAAAGTTAAAACCGGGGGTTGATTTTGGTGTCATTCGACAAAGTCGACAAGTTCTATAATCTGATGACAGACAGGCCATTTTTAACATATTTGACAAAATTGACTGGCGCCAAATAAGTACCTAAAGGTCTACAATATAAAAATACTTAAAGTTGATGTAATGTTTGTTGCTAAAAAATTTAAAAAATTTTAATTCTTAACTACTTTTATACAAAAGTTCAAATTACAATCGAGAATAAGGGATATAATGAAGAATGTTTATAAAACACAATCAGACAATATATACCCAAAAGAAGTGTGTAAATAAAGGACATCCATGTTTTCCTTTTGCACTTTATAATTAGATATTAACAAATATTTTTAAGTTCAACAGATAAAAGATTTTTTTTCAAAGAAATTGTTAATCAAAAACAGGCATGCCCAAAGTTTAAGCAAATAGAAAAGATAATTTAATCGGACCTCTCTCGCGACATATACAAAATTTTAATAAAAATTTAATCCGTCAATTATTCGAGATAACCCTTTTCATCATTATCTCCCTCATATCCAGCCTTAATAACGAAGAGAAAGAGGTCCGATTTTACATATTGAAATAGAATTAATGAAGAACTAAATATGTATTAATTTATGAGCGGAAGGCCGGAAGAGCAAAAATTTGTCTCACGCGGAAATCTTTTGGCATTTCAATTACTAATTAAGTTTAAGGAAATAGAGAAAAATGTAAGCTTCGAATTATATCAAACAATGATTACTAAAATTTAAAACTATTTTTTAAATCAAAGACCAAAAAAGTTTATAGTAATAACATCCATCATACATGAAAATATTGAGGAAAACCCCACAAAATATTAAAGAAATTTTACAATTTTTGGTTGCTTTTATATGGGGGCATTTTCTCTTCGAAATGAAATTCATTGATATATCCGCATTTAAAATTATTGCCCCCACATTTTTAATTTTATTCACATCAATGACAATCAAAATTTTAAATGAAAGGACTAAATAATAAAGGAAATAATAACAAAATGATGATTATATTTTGGTAGTAAAAGATTTTTTTGTAAAATAATTAATATCGCATTTTAATTGGTTGAAACTGGCAAATTATTAATTAAAAATTAATTCAATGAATGATTTTAAATTTTTGTTAAAAACAATTTTTGAATTAATTTAAATATTAAATAAAATCATTCGACATTTAAAAAAGCCCGTTCATCCTCAATTAGAATGAAATAGTAGATAGTAAGAAAGAAAAGAGGCAAACAGATTTTTGATTTGTTAAAAATTAATTATAAAATAATTAAAGATAATTTTAAAAATCAAAAATTGTTTTACCCTTTTAACCAAAAAATTGATGAAGATTAAAAGACCCAAACAAAATTTGAGGAAATAAAAAAGATAAATGCAACACTTGCAAATATAGAAAATATTTGGTATTATTGATATATTTAATTGGAAGAATGATGATGATGATTGAATGGGGGTGAACTAAAAACAAATTTAATTTGTTTCAGAAAAATCAAAATGTTGTTTTTAAAAGCCTCCATTGGGGCAATGATTCAAAATTACCAATTTTATAGGCCAAATAGATGACAGAATAATTAATTGCAATATTGCAAACATTGCTCGTCAAATTTATAATTAACCATATATTTAAAGATAAGAATTTGTAGTAGAATAACCGCCAATTGAATTTCTGAAAATTAATAATTTAGTATGACCTGACAAAACAATCTAAATATTTTTGACTGAAATAACATAAATTACAGAATAACAACTTTTGAAAGAGAGAACAGAGTTAAATGTTAAACACTCATGTCCCCTCCCTTTAAAAATTAATCCTTTAATTAATTTTTATGCAAATTATATACGTCAGATCAAGCATATGTGCCAACATTGCTGGATTTGCTGCATTTAAAGCCGCGGTTGTTGAAGCATTTGATCGATTTGAAGACATAAACGGTGCATAACCATTGTTGTTATTTCCAATTGTTTGTTCAATACCAGACGTTGTTCCTGAAGCATCAACAACAGAAAAGAAAGGATTACCACCATTGGGATTGCCAGAAGTGAGAAGATGCTCAGCAGCTTGTTGCTGTTGTTGTTGGAGGATAAATGCAGCCGTTGCATTAGCAACCTATTTATTTAAATAATTTTTAGAAAGCTTAAGATAATTTAGAATAACCTGTTGCTGATGTTGTCGTTGGTTTTGATTGAACTGTTGTTGCTGAATTATTTGTGACGGTTGTGCATGTGGCTGAGGACGGACAATTGCACATCTGGTATTTGATGCTTTTCTCGCAGATGATGAAGCGGCGCTTGTTGGTAATGTAGTACTTGAGTCTAAAGCCCCATTATTGGAAGAAAATGAAGAATTCATAATGTTTGATTGGTTAACAGAATTTTTAAGTGCCTGTTCATGTTGTTGATGCACATTTTCCAAATTTTGTCTGAAAGTATATTTAAATAAAATGTTAGAAATATTTAAAAACCTATCGATATAATGATCATTCGCTGATGGTTGCATTAATTGCTGAAGTGAATCATTTTTTAATTTGGCATAAGCCGCAGATTGCTGAATTTGTTGCGGCTGCTGGACATTAATTGCAGATGAATTTGGATGAATTCCATTCAAAACTTGAGCAGCCCATTCTTCCTAAAGTCCAAATCTTAGTGTCGTTTCCCCCACATATACTCTGTCATTTTTTTGATAAAAACAAATGAAAGCTCATTTGACACGGCTTACCGATAAGAATGTGATTTTAATATATCATTTCAGATTTCTCGTCAAATAAGCTATCATTTGTGTTTTGGTCCACATACAAAAAATTGAGTGCAATTTGGAAGGGTAACAGCACCAAAGATTTTTAACGTTTCAAAAAAGCACCTGTTGTTGCTGATGAACTTGAGCCAATATTTGCAATTGATGTGAATAGTTCTTTGCCGCGGCAGCTGCCGCAGCATTTTGTTGATGCGCTACAGTCTGTTGCTGTGGTGGAAATGTATTTGCAGAAGCGGCTTGGAAAAGATGTGGAAATTGCTGGAGAAATGCAGCAGTTGCAGCCAATTGTCTAGCATGAGCAGCCGCTGCAGCAGCGTTATGTGAAAGAAACGAATCACTGCTTCCGTTTGTATTATGTTGAGGGGCAGGTGGAGGCAGAAGAGCCTGTTGAGCGGCTGCAGCTACTGCCCAAGGAAAGAGAGGATTATTAGCAGCAACAGCAAATGCAGGATTTTGCGTATTAGACGAACATCCCCAATTGGAAGTCAGTTGAGCAGCAGAAACAACATTTTGAGCTCCGCCAACGGTTGAAGATGACTGGTGGAGAGGGTGGTGTTGAGCTGCAGTAGAAACATTCACAGTTCCATTAACTATAAGATGTTATGAACAAAAATTTAGATACAATAAAAAAAGGTTATATACCTCCACCATTAGAAGCAGCCACAGCCGCTGCGGCCAACAATGGATCAACGAACGATGAGATAGGAACAAACTGGGAAATCAGAGCTGCTTGTGGTTGAGCAGCTGTAGCAGTGGCAGCAGCAAAGTTAGTTAAGGAATTTAATTGTTGTGGTTGACGAGCTTTAAAATGTAATTAGTGCAAAATTTTATATTTAAAAACTAACTATAAGGAAGAACAGTAGTCATCAAAGGCTGGCAAATATAAGGGGCAGCAGCAGCCTGATTGGCTGGAAGTTGTCCATTTGTTAATGCTTGGTAATGATGGAATAAATTGGAAAATTCTGAAGGAAGTGCTAAAGGATTTGTTCCAGCTTGTTGGATACTACCACCTCCCCCCACTCCAATTTGTGCATTAGCTTGACCAATTGAAGTTCCAGTTGCAGCTGAACGATGTTGAGAATTGTGTGACATCCCAACACCACCACTCGAAAGTGCATTAGCCGCTGCTAGCAAAGGAGCGGCGATCAAATTTTGAGGCTGTTGAGATTGTGTGGCCGCAGAAGCAATTGAAGTAATTGGGCCAGCTCCAGTATTAGCGGAGCGTAATGAATAGTTTGAAGATGAAGTTCGAACTGATGGACTACGATAACAAACTTCCATGTGTTGAGCAGCGACCTTTAAATGAAATAATAAAAAATCGAATTTCAAAAAAACCTGATAGTAATTTGTTCGACCCCATTCAATTAAATGAGTCATTTTTATAAATTTGTGCTGCAATCCTCCTTGAGGTGTTAAGCGTCGTTCCTGATCCATACTCAACATAAGCTTAAGAATATCAACAAATTCCTGACGATCGCAACGTTCAACCATTGAATCAATTTCGTCCAAATCACGAGGTAAATGTACCTGTAAATTGCAAAAATGAAGAATAACTTATTTTTAAAACCTGAGCAATATCATCAAGACAATTAAAAATATAACGACGTGTCTCCTTGCTTTTTGTACTCACTTCCATTTCAAATTCATCAACCGTCTTGAGTCTCCAATAAGAAGCCATGTCTTTTATCTTTAAAAGATTATAAAACTCATGAAATAATTAAAATTAAACAGATTCAATCAAATAAAAAATTTCTTTACAATTTTAAAGAAACGATGGGTTTTTGCTGCGTCAGCAAGCATTTGTGCAGGAGGCAATCCTTGTGTTTGAACAATAAAACGCATTTGATCATATTCTGAAGAGCCGGGATAAAGGGGCCAACCAAGGAAAAGTTCAGCAATTACACACCCCAAAGACCACATATCGATAGCCTCACGGAAGGCAAGACCAAGAATGATTTCGGGTGCACTTAAATTATGAATTAAGAAGTAAATTTAAAATAATTGTTTCAATACCGGTAATAACGCGATTGCAAATATGTGTTTGTAACAGCTTTGCTTCTATGGGATGCAGAGCCAAAATCTATAACCTTGACACGAAACGGTTGATTTGCAGGATCAACAAGCATAATATTTTCTTAAAAAATAACATATTTAAAAAATAAATTTTGTTTTTAAAAGTATAAAATGTTTAAAATATCTATTGATTGGAAAATAAAACCTGGCTTTAAATCAGCATGTATAAGTTCAAGTTGCTTAAGCTTTAACAATGCAGTAAGCACTTGCTGCACAATAGGCCGAATACTTGAAAGTGGAAGCGGAGTAAATTTATTTTGTTTAAGGAAATCATAAAGGTTTTGTTCAAGCATTTCAAAGACCAAACACGTATGATTTTTGTGTTGAAAGCATTCATAAGCACGGACAAAATTGAATTCTTCAGCATTTTCATTGCTTAGACGTGAAAGAATTGAAACTTCAATTTGTCCTTGTCGTGCATAACTTGGGTGCTTTTTAAGGATTTTTATAGCAACAATCTCATTTGTGCCTTTCTTCCATGCTTTCACTACTTGGCCAAAAGTGCCCTTACCAAGAAATTCAAGAACTTCGTATTGGTTTCCATAAGAAGAAGAAAGCACTTCATTTTTTATTAACTAAAAATATTTTGAAAATAACTCAGAAAATTGAAAATAACCTGATATTCCCCTTCAGTGCTTTGTCTAGATTTATGGTTTGATTGTTTTGTACTTTGGTGACTCAGCACCGTCGCATTTGAAGGTGGTAACATTTGTTGAACAGGCATAGGTTTCATCATCGCTGCAGAAGTTCCAGAACCTCCATTCATCAGCGGCGCGAAGTTTGACGGCTTAAAACTACTTCCTAATGCACCACCTTGATGGTGGTGATGAGAATTTGCACCCGTCGAAATTTTTGTTCCACCACCAGTCATCATCATCATATTAGGGTGGAAAGCATCGATTGAAAGAGGAGAAAGACCGGAAAGAGGCCTGAACAAATGAAAAGGTGTAGTAATCAAATGTTAAAAATACATATTATTTATACCTAAAATATAAATTAAAATAAATTTAGTTAGATTATTTAGTAAAAATTTTGCTCAACGAAAACCAGTGACAACGTTACTAAAACATGTGCGAGGAAAATTAACTTCCGGAACGCGGTGACAATCAAAAAGCTCCCTACTCTATATTATGAATGAGAAAAAAAAGAAAAAAATGAAAGAAAGGCTGGCACAAAGACCCTCGAGTGGCTGGCTTTGGAGACGTTAGTGGAATTGTTGAGTGTTGAGAAAATTCTCCTGACAACGGTCGATAACCAAAGCTAGACGAGTGACAAACAAGAATTATTTTTTTCTATTACTAAGTAATACTATTTCGTACTATTATTCTCTGTCTTTTAAATTTAGACAGCTTTGACGTAAATAAAAGAATAAAATGCCAATCGACGCACTACTTCAACCAGGGTTGCGCGCCGATTAAATCTTCCGCAAGACAGGCCCCATGTAAAAGACCGACTGTTTTTTTTTTGCAAAATTTTTCCGGATTCGGATTGGAATTCTGAGAACTAGAACCGGGCGAATCCAGACGGATTCTTTAGGATTACTAGAGATTGTTAGCCTAGGATTACTAGAGACTAGGCTAACAATAAGATTTGTCTTGGGGTTTTTGGTCCCGGTCTTGGGGTCAAGCCTTTATTTTGCTTTTTCTATGTCGATACCTCGAAAAAGTTGCCAGCGTCATATGAAAGTCAATATGTTGGCTATTTTGTTTTAAAGTACAAATTATTTAGTGTTCGTGTTTTGTGCCCCATAAAGAAAATTTCTTTCACTATTATGTACCAGAATGGCTAAATATAATAAAACTTTTCGAAATAAATATTCATACATCCACTAATCATCGCAAATTAAAAAAATTTATAATTCAAATCACAAAAAAAATCAACCATTTTCGAATAAAACATTTATAAGGGTTATTGGACTAATTAAAAGTGGAGTAAGATATCACAGAGGGAAATTTAATTTAGAGTTAATTATTTCAAAGGATTAGATTTGCTTAAAAATACAAAAAACAAACAAGCATGAATTTAAAGAGCCCAGAATAAGCAATATTGACAAAACATATTTTTAGATAAATAAAAGTCTATAAACCACTAAATGCTTTAGATCTTTCAAAAATTCCAAGCAATAAAAGTAAATTTCATTAAATTTTTTTATATTGTTAATTAGGGTCAAGACTTTTATTAAATAACTAAAAAACAAAAAAAAATTTTTTTTGAATAGATGAAAGAACTTTTACAATCGGGATTTGTACCTAAAATATTTATAGTAGAGGCACAAAAAATATATATTTGGTGGATGACTAAAAATAAGGCGAGGATTATTTTTTGGTTAATAAAATTGTAAAAAATATATAGGCTTTTCTATGTTAAAAATAAAAAAAAATTTCCAAAAAAAATAAAAATTTAAAAGAAAACCTTTTTAAATAATCTGTAGCTAAAATTTCCCTTTAAAAATTATTTCTCAAAGCTTTTTAATTGTTTTGTTAATCAAAGCCATTCTTTGTTGATGTGCTATCAATGGTGCACGTTTAGAGGCTGGCGATTGTTGAAAAAATGTTGAAGTACCTCCACTTACCGGTGCTCCAGAATTATTGTTGTTACTACTTCCAACAGAAGAAATTCCATTAGATTCTGTATCTACATCCAATTTCATTTTATTTGCCAATACAAAATGGACATCTTTAGCTTCTAATTTTGTTGAACCTCGATGTTTACATAACTAAAAATATTTTTATTTAAAATTAGTAAAATAATTTTTAATTTTACATCAACAGAATTTCGAATTATTTCATCAACAAAATCTTCCAAAACAAGTTGTAGAGCATCGGAAACCTAAAAATTTTAATAAAAATATTTAATAATTTTAAAATATTTACTTCATCTTCCAATACTTCATTTGGATCTACAGTTTTTACAAAAGTATCAAAAGTTTCACGATCTAATAATTTAATTGTTGAATGACTGGAAATGCTTGCTTTGATTAAATCGTTATTTAAATTATTTTCCAAATGTTTATTGTTTGTAGTAGAAACATTAATTGTTGAATTATTGCCCAAAGAATTTCCTACATTGCTAATATTTTTTTGTTGAAAAGTTTTTGCTAATGATTGTTTTGAACTTGCTTTCTTTTTGTTACTAGAAATTGATGGAATAATATTACTAGAAGAACTTCCTTCAAATGCTATTGTGTTTCCAGGCGACTCTGACTGAAAAAATAAAAAAAAAGATTTAGAAAAGTTAAGAAAAATTATTAAAAAGTTTTTGATAATAAGTGAAAGAATAAAAATCCCTGTTGTCGTAATTGGTTGTTTAGATTTGTAAATAATTTTTTGTTTCTTTGTAGTAAATAAAAATCTTCCAGTTTTTCAGATTTGACAATAATTCTTAAAATTAAATAAAGAAACCTGTAGCATTTCAACATTGTTTGATGGAGATGGCTGTCCACTAATACTTCCATGTTGCCCCATTAAATGATCAGACTTAGGATGTAAAAATAAAAAGTTTCCCGTTCCATTCGAGCCATTTAAATGCTGTTCCATCATAGATTGATTACTAGAAGAGGCACGTCCATTATTGCTTAACCCATCATCGTTAAGTAATATAGCCGATGTTGGTGTTCCATTCTTCTGTTAATAATTTTATAAGATTACAAATAAAGAAAAAGAAATACCTGTACGTTCATAAAAGAAGATGATGCAAACTCGTTATTATCTGTAATACTACTAACAGAAGATGGTTTTTGTTGTTGTTGAATTGCAAAATAAACTTGTTGCTGTTGGTTATGGGAAGTTACAAAAACTGGGACTTTTGCTGCCATATTACCTCCACTATTGCTAGTTATTAATTGGCCACTAGAAGATACAGCAGAAACAGCATTTACCTGAATTTAGAAATAAAATAATATATTTTAAACCCAAACCTGGTTTGAAACACCAACTCCCATACTTGTTGATAAATTAGGCTGTATCTGGTGAGGTGACTGATGATGAGAATGAACAACAGAAATACGAGAAGGAATTTGTTGTTGATGCTGAAGAAAGCGTTGTTGCTGTTCGTTACCAGTAGAATAATTAGGATGGTGTTGAATGTGAGCACCAGAATAATTTTGTTGTAGAACATCTAATAAAGTTGAAACATTTTCTCTAATTACAGTCAAAATTTAGATACCCCCAAAATTAAATAGTAAATCGCCTAATTTCTAAATACAATTTTTAGCTCCATATAAATATAAAAACGGAACGGTCACAGTGTATTTTGCTCTACAGTTAAAATAATTAAAAGAATTTACGAAGTTCTTGTTGAGGCGATAATTTGTCTGTTGATGATATCGGAGTGGCAGGTTGCGAAGGGAATCGCATTGCATTACCACCAGATTTAGGCTGTTCACGTTGTATAACAACATTGTGACGAAAAACAGGCGAAGCTGAACTTTGAGGTATTAGCATTTGTCTTAAATGCTGTCCCTGAACGACACCTCCCACATTATTTCCATTAACAAATTGAGGGTTAGATTGTTGAATAAATTGTGATTGGGCCACCATAGGTGATACTCTAAAGAAGAATTTGAGTGTAAAATTTATTAAAATTAAACTCTGAAGGACGAGCAAATTGCATATAATGCTGTTGTTGTTGTAATTGTTGTTGAGTGACAACAACTGATTGTTGATGTTGTTGGGGTGAATTAACATTCATTGTTCTAATAATTGGTCGAGGAGATTGTTGAGATTGAAAATGTGGTTGAGGAGAGTTTTGTTGATGCTGAATCGCATGCATTCCATGCATAATCCCATGTTGTTGAAAAGCTGGAAAATTAAAAAATAATCCTTAAACAGGTTTATAATTCTTTCATACCTTGTTGTCTATGTTGCAACATTCCTTGATGTGGGGGCGTTGGAGATCTGATTTGTTGTTGAATTTGTTGATGCTGCTGCTGAGTGGGAGTCATGAAATTGTGCTGCTAAAAACAAAAACAATTTAACAAGAGAATGATTATTATTCAAATCAATACAAATTTAAAAATAAATACCATTGAGGACATGTTATGAGAGCCTTGAATTTGTTGATGTTGAAGCTGAATAGCTTGATTTCTCTGTTGTTGTTGTTGAAGATTAAGAAAATAAGCTTGCTGATGGTTTTGAGGCTGCATTTGTTGCTGTTGTTGTTGATTATCAACGCCGCGATTAAAATGGTTCATTATTTAAAAATATATATTTATGAAGATAAAATTACTTTTAATTATTTGAATATACATACATCTACTAAATAAAAGTCTCACAAAAGAAAATAAAATCTTCAAGTCCAATTAGCAAAAGAAGGGGGACACAGTGCACCCCAAAACGGCCCACTGAACAAAAACCCCAAAACGGCCCTGATCAAAACCCTCCAAAACGTCCCACCCAAAAACGCCCCATCTCAAAATGTCCAACAAGGTAAAAATACTTAATTCGTCGAATTATAAATTAAAATGGGGGTAATCCCGCAGTCGAAAATTTTGAGAACAGTCCATGGAAATTTTATAAATTTATCGACATTCAATAATTCCATTATTCTAAATTGTTTTTACGTTTTAATTAACGTTTATTATTTTCGTCTTGCTGTTGTTTATATTTTTATTATATTGTTTCATTTTCTTCAGATACCAATAGAGAAACGAATTCATTATGACTTTTAATAAACTTGTTTTGGATGGGAAACGTGCAATTAACGAATCCTCTAAAGGTTTGTAAAGGACATCTGAATTTGTTAAATCGTTTTAATTTATTATATAAAAATTTAGAAGTGATTAAACATGGAATTTTATTGTTGGAACGGGCGCTTCTCATCGGTTCCGAGGATCAACAAATAATTGCGGATATCAATTATCAATTAGGTTAATAATTATTGTATTTAATTTTTAAATTAGTATTCTTTATTAGGAAGTGCTTATTTTTCTCTTCATGATTTTGAACAAGCAAAGAATTTCTTCATAAGTGATTTGACTTTTTCCAAGTATTTTTATTTTTAAATATTTTCATTAAAATATATTTAGACAATCAAAAAATGAAGAGAAGGAGGCCGAAGCATATTCTAATTTATCTGTAGCTTACGCAATGTAAATTTATTAATGAAAAGTTTAAAATTCAACAAATTATTTTAGGCTCCTTGACTTTGATAGTTCAATTTTTTGTGCTGGAAGAGCTATTATTCTAGGAGCAAGATTAAATGATGATGTTATTTTAATTTTTAAATTTTTTTCTAAAATATTTTTTAAAGGTTCTCAAAGGACGTGGATATTATAATTGTGGCTTTGCCTATTTACAAGATGCATTGACTTGTTCTGAAGTTGACAACTCGGCTGGAAATGCTCATTTGTATAATCAATATATTACAGAGCAACTTCAAAAATCTGTTTTTTCTTTCAAGTAATCTAAATTTTAAAAACAATTTGTATTTGTCGTTTATCTTAGTTTTCGGTTTTTGTTTTCCTTTTTTGGTGTATAAATGATAGTTCTTTCGAAAGAGCTAGTCGAACCGAGTTAAGTAAAGCCACAACGGATCGATCCGATAAAAATGAAGTTTCATCTAAAAAACCTTCTGCTACTATGGAGAGATTAAATAGTATTGGAATGCATAACCCCATTGAAATGTCAAGGTGTGGAATTTACTCCATTATGTCATATTGTATTGATTTTGGTGACACTCGACTCAGCTCAACGGGCTCTTTTGAGCTAGCCTTATTTTCAAAATCTTTAGTTGTTTTACTTCAAAAATGGGAAATAACCAACTAGTATAGAGTAATTTTATAGACATCAAATGTGGAATCATTTTACCGTTTTTAAATTCTAATTGTTCTTTTTAAATTTAGAGAATATTTGTCAATTATGGAAAGACAGCAAGATAAAAAAATTAGTGGCCTTGCTCTTGGAAATCTTGCGAATGCTTATTTTTGCTTGTCTGAATATAATAAGTCAATTGATTGCCTTGAAAAGGTTTTTTAAGTAAAAATTTTATTTAAGAAAATTTATTTTTAAAGAGATTAGCAATAGCTCGTGAATTGGATGATAAGTCAGCTATTGGTATAACTTTGATAAACATTGCAAAAGCTTATAGTAAGCTCGAAAATCATGAGCTTGCAGAGAGGAATTTGCTGTATGTTTTTTTAAATAAAAATAAAAAATATAATTAAATTTTAAAGTGCCGCCCAAAGAATTTCAAAAGGACCTGATTTTCCCGAGGATCAAAGGCCGAAAATTGAAGTTGAATTGGTAAATGTAAATAAACCTTTAGATGAAAAAAGGACAATTGATGGTACTTACAATTAAATTTATTTTCATATAATTTAAAAAATATTTTTTATAGATTCATTATCGCTTTCAAGTAAGCGATCACCTTCTAGTAGAGCTAGCAGCCATCGGCGCAAATCAATTTTCAAAAATTGGAAGAGTGTAACGAATTTAGACTCACTTGTTTCGAGGAAGGCAAAAGTTGGTCTTAGCATTTTTATTTCGTTATTTTTTCGAGAGATTTGTTAAAATTTTGACATTTGTTTTCCTAGCTTATTTTAATATTTTCAGAAACGTCTTTTGCAAAACAAAGTTTCAACCGACCTCGGGGACGCTGAAAATGACGGAGAATCCATGATGGAGCTGATTGAGAGGTCTAACAAACAACTTGATGATCAACGTGTTTGCCCAGAGAAGATTACCATCCCTTTGAATTTTGATGATCAGAGTTTAAATTCTGACTTTGGTAAATTATTCTTTTTTATTTCTTTAACTTCTAATTTTAGCATCATCCAGCGGTAACAGCCGACGTCTTTCATTGCCACGACATACATTGGCTAGTATGAAGAGCGGCGCCATCAAAAGTGTGACTAATATACCCAAATTCTTTTCTGGGAAAAATACAAAACGATTTTCGAAGAAAGAGAATGTTTCTGATGATGCCAGTTCGTCTAAGGGAGGTAGCTTGACTAGCCGAATTTTAAAAATGGAGGTTAAAGATGACTAATTTTATTTTCACTATATTTGATCCTCATTATTTATTGTAAAATAAACAACTAAAATAATTTTCAACTTTCCATTGTCGCTCAAATTTTATTTTAAATACAAAAATTATTATTTGTGATTTCAAAAAATTAAAAGTCATTGATAGATACTTATATGCAATTTTTGCTATTTTGTTTTTTAATCACAAAACGTTTTATTAAAAATTTAATTAGAAAAAACCTCCCAAAAAGTCAAAAATGAAACAAATAAAAATACATACCCGTAAATTATACGACCACTTGTGTTAAAGACAAGATATGACAAAAAAACAAGTGGTCGTATAATTTAGGGACGCACTATATTAGATAACAATAATATCAATAAAATTATACTTATTATCACATTTCCTTCATCTATATATTTTCCAGAATACAAAAAACAGTTAACATCCATTCCATTAACCCACTTCCACAAATGGTACATTTATCAGTCCTGGCCTTAAAATAAATTTAATTAGAAAAGTTTTTAAATTATTAAATACTCTTCTTTTTCTTCTTCTTCCCATCTTTCTTGAATACATCCAACTTTTCAACAAAATCCAAAGTGTCATAGTCTGGATTATCATCAACATCGTCTCTACTCGATTTTAGACTACTTTCTTCCCCTACAAAAATTGTTCTTTACAGAAATTTTTTTAATTTTCCTACGTTTCTGAGATTCTTCAGCAGCAAGAACAGCTGAAACTTTTTTCCCTTTCTTTAATGCCAACATTTCCTCACTGCTACTTTGCGGTCCAACAATCCCCGATGCTTTTGTTTTTTTCTTATTATTTGAAGGGGATGAAGAGGATTTTTTCTTTTCGGTTGATGATGGTTTTTCTAAAAACAGAAAAATATTTTTTTGAAATTTAATCAAAAATTTTACCCAGTTTTTTAACCTTCTTTTCCTCTTCCATTGCTTTAATAGCGTCGTTTCGTTGTTTCCGCAATTCTTCTCTATATAATCGTATATCTTCTTGTATCAAGCTCTCCATAAATATCTCTGCAGCAGTACGTTTTTCTTTTTTCTTCTTTAAAATAAAAAATTAACAAAATTAAAATTTTTAATTCTTTCTCTCACCCTTTTACAACAACAACATTGAGCGACTAGAATCCAAATACTAATGATTGACCAAAAGAACGTAGCAGCTATTGTCGTTAATCCACAAAACATTGATAAACGACGAGAGGTTGGACAGTGAACAATGGAAGAATTTTCTGTATGTTGCTTTTGTTTGTAAGTTGTTTTGATCAGCTTAAATATGTTCTCAACATCCAAAAGTTGTATAAAAGCATATTTTATCTGAACTTGGCAAAATCATTCCGATATATTTCTAACAACATCTACCGCTAGGCATAAACAATGACAATGCTTTTGAAGTTGACAATGGGGGGTTTGCTGTTCTTTTGTTGTTTGGTTGTTGTGTTTTCTCTTCAATGTTGTTGTAAAAAGGTAAAGAATTTTGTTAAAATTATTTTTAATTTTATTCATTTTTAGAAGAAGTGCAAGAAGGTTGGAGGAAAGAGAAGGGAAGAAGCTATGCCAAAACAAGAAGAAAAACAAAAATCGGCAGAAACCAAAAAGGAAGCTGCTTCTAATGGAAATAAGATCTCAAAAGTTCCGCCAACTTCCAGCAAGGCTGTCGAATTGGTCAAAGCAAAAGAGGGCGAGAAGGACAAGAAGAATAATAGTGGTGAAGAAAGTAAGAGAATAATTGTTTATTTGTTTAAAATAATTTTATTTATTTTTTTAGAGACTGCTATTTCTGCAGAACATCCATTTTCAACTGAAGATGGAAATGATAGTAAAATGCCTAGTACTTTAAAATCAAAAGCAACAGCCTTCACTCCGGGTACTGGAGAGACAAAGACAACAACCCCAACAACAACTACCCCAACAACAAAATTGTCTTTGTCTAAAATTGGTGAACAAGGAGGGGAAAAGAAAGTTTCGGCCGTTTTGACAGCTTTGACAGAACAAGAAAAAAGTGAGAGAAAAAATTTTTATTGAAAAAAATAAATTTTTTTAGTCTTGGTCAAAGAAGCAGAAGAAGGAAGGAAGTTCCCATTGGAAGAAGACATTGATGAAAATCCTGACTATGATACATTGCAATATGCTGATAAAAAGGATGTATTTAAGACAGGATTCACATCAAAAGGAGTTCGAATTGAAAAGGAAAAGCCAAAAACGATTAAAAGTAAAAAGGAAAACTTTTATTTAAAAAAAATTTATTCTTTTCTTTTTAAGTCAAGCCTGGTGATTCTGCCTATTTGGGTGATCCTGCCTGATAATGCTAAAAGAAGAAATTGTTGGAAGAAAGAAAGAAATATATAAATAAGATATATAAATATATTTGTTTGTTTGTTTGTTAATATAATTATTGTAAAATATATATTTGGGGAATTGTTAAATAAATTGTAGAAATAAATTTTTAAAAAATAATTCGGTACTGAGTTTATATGTATGTAATATGTGTTTCGAATGATCCATGCGGATCAAGTATAAAAAAATTATCACAATCAAATTCGGAAAAAGGGATATCCAATTTTAAGTTTAGTGATAGGTTGAGACTGTTTTGACTTTTATAAAATTGTTTAATATTTTCTTTAACAATTATTTTGAACATTTTTAATATTAGTGAGAGGAGAAGGAAAAGAGAAAAATTTACAGGCAAACATTCGCGGGAATGGAGGCAAATAAACGCAAAGCGATACGATCATTAATTAATAAATACCCAATGTATTTATTTAAAAAATAAACAAAAAAATATTAACAATTTATGGCTGTAGTGTAGTGTACCGGTGGTAAAAGTTCGGAACGTGACATATGTCATTCGATTCGTCTCGACGAGCTGAGTCGAACGGTACTACTCCCTACTTTAGGAAATGATTCTGGACCGAGTTATGGGTCCCGAAAAATTGAAAAACCAAAGGGGGGAGTAAGCTCGATTTTGGGGTGAAAAATTCGAATATGCAAATAATAGCTCATTCGAAAGAGCTCGGCGAGCTGAGTCGAATGACACCAAAATCAACGAAATCTGACTTGATTTGACAAAGTTATGACCGTTTGTTTTAACTCCTTACCTATGGCGCCCGTGGAGGTTTTTGCTGCTACAGGAGCCCCAAATACATCCAGAGCAAGGGAGATGGGACTAGGTTTATGTTACTGACCCAGACCCAGCGCCCGTAGACTCCCCGCGAGGCGCGTGCCGCAAAACCCCGCGCGAAGCGCGGGGTTTTGCACAAGCGCCTCGCCGACGCCCCATAGGTTTATGTTGTTTGTTTTTCTATTGTAACTTTGTCCAAACTTTTACAATCAAGCTGATTTTGGTGTCATTCGACTCAGCTCGACGAGCTCTTTCGAATGAGCTATTATTTGCATATTCGAATTTTTCACCCCAAAAAGTGCTTGGTCCCCCCTATGGTTTTTCAATTTTTCGGGACCTATAACTCGGCCCAGAATCATTTCCTAAAATTAAGAGTGGTACCGTTCGACTCAGCTCGTCGAGACGAATCGAATGACATATGTCACGTCCCGAACTTTTACCACCGGTACACTACACTATATCCCAATTTATTCGTAATTAATTTTTTGTTTTAATATATTAATTAATATATTTGATTGTTTTACAGCTAAAATAATATTAATCTGTGGAGGAAATAAACAAATAAAATTAAATTTTAAATAATTATTTTCTTCTGTTAAATTTCCAAAAAGTAATTTATTTAATTTTTGTTTAAATTTATTTTGTAAAGAAGATTTTGTTGTTGTTGTTGTTGGTGAATATTGAATTAAAAACTTTAAAAGACAAATTTTGTTTTTAATTTAATTTAAATATATTTACTTGTAAAATAAGTAATTTATCATTTGTTCTAATTACAGTCATTGTTTCCTCTTCCTCTTTTAAAAAATTTTCTTCTTCAAATGTTATATTAAAGAATTCTTCATTTAATTGAGAAAATAATTGAGAATATTTTTCTTTAAAAATTAAAAAGACTTTAAATAAATTTCTTTATCAAATTTAGGGGAAAAACTTAACTAAAAGATATTCTGTCCTGATTGGGGTTGCCAAAATGGTCCGACTCGGACCGAAAGATCGAGTCGGGCATGATATTTGGCCCGAAAGTGACCCGTACGGCCTGACTCGATAAAAACAAGCCCAAAAATGCCCCGACCGTTGGCCCGACTTGAAACCGGCAACCCTAGTCCTGATATATTTTTTCCTCTAAAAAACTACCTTCAATATAACAAAAAAAGAAAGGAGGACCACCACAAATTTGTTCAAATTTATACCCCAACATATCCAAACCAAAATTTGTCGGAATTGTTTTTAATAGAATATTTTGATTATTTAAAATTATTTTTTCAATTTTTTCATTAAAAGAAGTAATTATTTTAATTATTTTTGTGTTTATTGAATTATTTAAAATATTATTTAAAATATAAGGTAATAATTTATTTGTTGATTGTGAAGAATTCCAAGTTAATAATTCATTTAATAATGAAAGTAATAATCTCTTTAATTATTTTAAATTATTAAAAAAATTGAAAAATTAAGTTTGTGGAGAAAAAAGAACTAGGTATATTTATTTGTCGAGTAGAATCAACTACTACTAATTTGCCTAGTTTAAATTAGAAAAGGAAAATACGTAAAATAGTCTTTAAAAATTAGGGGTCCGTATAATTTTGGAAAGCAGCAGAGGTCGATCGGAATTCCGATTTCCGACGTTTTTTTCCTTCCGAGTTCCAACAGTTCCAATTTCTTGCACCTTCGTCATTTCCGATCAACCTCTGGAACACAGTGTATAATAGAGCTTTTTTTATAATGGATGGAAAGAGTTCCCCCTTTTTTCTTGGTTAATTTATGCCTATCTAAAAAAATAGGTAATTCTTTTCTCCACAAACATTCAACAATAAACCAACTTTAATTTTATTTAAATTTCCAGTCAATAAATTTAAATTTTTTGATAAAATAATTTTTTCTTCTTCGTCCTCTGATGTTGTTTGTGAATAAATTGTATTTTGTGAATAACTGCTATTAATAGTAATAGTAGAAGATGAAGAATTTGAAGAAGAATTTTGATTATTTTGTTTTTTAATTAATGAAAGAAACTTTAAATTTTTGAAAATAATTATTTAATTATCAAAATAAATTCAAAAGTGAAGGATAATTTAGTTGAAATTTTACATTAACTCTCTCTCGATGATGTAGTGATTAAAAAATCGAATCAAGACGATTTTGATAAAAATTTTCGTTTATCGAGCCCGATATATTCTTAATCAATTAAATTTTTTAATTTTTCGAAAAAATAAAATTTAAATTTTGTAAAGTCAGAAATTAAAAATTTATTTCCAAAGGATCATTAAAGTTTGGTCTCAAATAATGATTAATTAAAAAGTTTGGGTGAAAAAATAAAAAAAAAGAGAATTGAGAGAATTTAATAAGGAAATATCAGAAATTTAAATAAAATTAAATATTTTTACCTTATCCAAAGATATTCTAAAACGATTCCATAATTTCTAAAAAATAAATAAAATAATTTTAATTTAATTTTAAGATATTTAAAAAATACCTGAATATATTCTTTAGTTAATATTGGACTACTTAAATAATAAAAATATCCATTTGGTAATTTATTTGAAATTTTATTTAAATCTAATTTAATATTTTCTAAATGTTGTTTACATTCAATTAATAAATTAATTAAATTATTATTTAAATAATTATCACTAATATTCTCTAATATTTGTAAACATTCTGTTATATTGTAAATAATTAATAAATTATCTGGAAAAGAATATTTAAATAAATAGAAAGAGTTTAGCAAAAGTTTAGTCACCGGCAGGATTCGAACCTGCGACCTTCTCGTAGTTATTGATAGGCGCTCCCGCTTACCACATACAGGAGCTCTACCGCTAAGCTACCGGGGCATCGATTAATGCTTTTATCCTTTTAGATCGTTTAACCCCCGCCTAAGCGTTTTAAATGTTATAGGTGAATCATCCTTACATAATTTAAATAATTTAAAAATTACCTGAAGGTATCAACAAAATAAATTCAATTTTTTCATTTAAGGAAATATTAAAAATATTATATAAAAATTGTTTTTGTTTAAAAGAAAGAAAATAATGTTCGGATTGATATTTTAATAAATTTGTAATATTTTCCTCCTCTTCCTCTTCCTCTTCTTCTTTAGGTAATTGTTGCCGAATAAAATTAATAATTGAATTTACTTCATTATTAAAATAATTATTTAATGTTGAGACAGAAGCAATATAACGATCAGAACAAATAAGTAAACAACTAAAAAAATCAGAATTTTTAAAGAAAAAATATCAGAATTACCTAACATCTCCATTAAAAATATTAAATTTCTGGGCAACATTTTTAGTTAATTCTTTTAGTGCTGGAATTAATTCTGATTTAATTTCTTCTTCTTTTTTATCAGAAGAAAGAAAAAAGTTTTTATTAAAAATATTATTTATATTATTCTGATTATTATTTTCATTTAATAATTTATTTATTCGAAATTCACAACGCCTTTTTAATTGTTTAACAAATGGAGTATTCATTGATAAAAGAGGAAATTGTTGAGGGCCATAATGAAAATTAATGCAATTTAGAAGAGAAGTAAAAAGCCGTTCTGGGGAATTTAATAATAAACTGCTGGAGGGAAAAAATTAAATTTATTTTTTGAAAATTTCTCAAAAATTTACATACTTTTGTTCATCATCAAATATCATAATAAAAATATAAGAAAATGCTAAATGGGCAATATTTACTTGAAGATTCCCACAATCATTTGTTGATGATGTTGGAGGGGATGATTGAATACATTGAATTTTCTTTAATATTTGTTGCTTATTTTGATTTTCGATAGAATTTGCGCGACAGATTGCTACTAATGGTAAAAGCTGGCAAAGTAAAAAATTCTCCCCGTTTGTATCAAAAAGTAATTGTTCTTGTTGTTGATTGTTGTTAATTAACTGTTTTTTTGGGTTAATTAATTAATAGAAAGGTTTATATAATCTCAAACTTTTTCCAACTTCTCACGCCAATCCCGGCTTACCCCTTCTAGATTCTCATTAAAAATATTTAATTACCATTTTATTATTTTCCTTTTCTATTTCTGATAGGGAATTATTATTTTGAAAATTATTTTCTTGTTTCTTTTCATTTGTTGTAATTGAAGAAGCAGAAGAATAATGACAAGAATTAGGTGAAGAAATGCCGCTACTACTACTTGGCCTAGCACTTTGTTTTCCATGGGGAACATTAAAGAAATGCATTTTAAATTGAGCATTTCCAAAGGCATGAATAAGCTCATTTTGAGGTGATAAAAGTACAACACCAAGCATTTTAAATAATTTAATTTTTGTGTTCTGTTTGATAAACAAAAAAATTAAAATTTTATGATAGAGAAAATTAATTATAAATTATTTTGTTGTTTACATGTTTAATATTTTATTTAAAAAATTATTTAATTTATTGTAGGAATGCCCCTCCCTTATCTAATAAATATATTTATTATGTGTAAATTAGTTTAAAATAATTTTTATTAAAACACTTCTAAAGAAAACCCAACTAAAATGCCGATATTTAAATCCTAATAGATAATATCCTCATAAACATATTATGAAATAATTCAATTGAAAGAATCAAAAAAAAATTTTTTTTAATTAATTTATTTTTTATGTAATAATTGTTAAAGAATTTTTATCAAAGTAAAATCGAATCATTTTTAATGTACACAAACAACAAAATAGCAATACAAAAATATATATGTTATGTTTTATATCAAAGATTGTCCTTATCTCAATTTTTTGAATAAATAACTGATTAGTAAATAATTGAGTTAATAATGATGAAAAAAATTGTTGAGACAAAAAAAAATTTGGTTAAATTTTTAGAGAATATATTTTAAATTTAAGAAGAAGGTACAAAAATGACGAAATTATTTGATATAAAAAATATAATTAAGAAAAATCAAATAAAAAGCTGGTATTTAAAAGTGGGTATTTACCCAAACAAAAATGTTGGGTAATTTTCTTCATTTTTTTGGCAAGCTAGTAATTTAAAAATATTTTTAGTGAAAGAGAGAAGATAAATGAGAAAATATTTTTTGATATATAATTTCTAAAAATGTCACGTTTGATCAATACTTAAAGCTGTCAAAATTTGTTGTCTCTTCATTTGTGAGACACTAAAATTAAAAAAAATTTTGAATTCTAAATTCCAAAAATTCCCAACTTACTCAAGTATTGAACTAATAAATTCAGCAGCATCAAAATCATCATTATTTACATTTTTCAAAAAAGGATGTCCCAATAATTCCTTGTGTTTTGGCCTTTTTTGAAAGTCTTTTGTTAAACTAAAAAAATAAAAAAAAATAATTTTTATTAATTAAATTTACCAAATTGCAACAAAATCGTGAAAATCATCAGAATAACCAAGTGACCGATCAACTGAAGGTGCTTGTTCTTGAATAACTTGTTTAAGTTGTTCAAATGGTGTTTTCCATTTTCCATAAGGATGTTGGCCACTTGCAATTTCAACCTTCAAATAAAATAAATTAACTTGGAAATTTTTATAAAGAGGAGATTGGCTCGATTTAATGAAAAAAATTAATTATATTTTTGACAAAAAATTAATACCAAAGTTATTCCCAAACTCCAAACATCAGCTTGTACTCCATATGCTTCCTTCGATTCTCCTTCAATTCGTTCTGGAGGCCTAAAAATTTAAAGCAAAATAAAAAAGTTTTAAAATAATATACATATACGGTTTACAACCAGCATTAATTGTTTTTGCAACAGAATTAGTTAAATGCCCAGAAATACCAAAATCACATATTTTAACTTCTCCATTCCTTTGTAATAAAATATTTGAAGGTTTTACATCTTTAAATAAAAAATTGTTTAACAAAAATCTCAAAAATAAACCTCTATGAATTAGATTCATTTGTTCTTTCATAAAATTTAAACCAACGACAACCTAAATAAAATTCGGATATTAAAAATAAATCAAAGATAACACAAATATTTTAATATATAAATAAATTTAAAAAAATTTACAGAATAAGCAACTCTTGCAAGAAAAGGTTCTGGCAATTTTCGACCCATATCAACACAAAGACGGTAAAATTTATCCAAAGAAATATCCATAACTTCCATACAAATCCAAACATCTCCTTCTCTATACATTGCACCAAAAAAACGAACCATCTAAAAATTAGAAATTGATTTATTGTTAATTTTATACTAGAGGGATTTGAAAAATGAAAATAAAAAAATAAAGTAAAGCAGAGCTGGGCTATAGCTATCTCTCTCCTTCATCTAGTGCAAACTACCCATATTTTTCACTAAAGGTAAGAATTAAAAAGGCAATTCTATCCACAAAAATTATTAAATTTATGAATAATATAGGACAGAAAGATTAATAGTTTAGAAAATAACCTGTTTACAACATCCACTTTTCATACAAGCATCCAACTCAACAAACATTCTCTTTTGGCTTTCATCATTTATTGAGGAATGAATTCTCTATTAAATAAAACTAAAATTAATTTTAAAAATATAAAAACCTTCACAGCAAAAATTAAATCAGTTGGTCGATGCCTCATTTCCTCTACCACACCATAAGCCCCTCTGCCTAATTCAATAATTTTTTCGAGTTCATTGGCAGAAACGACAACTTCAGATCCATTATCGGTTCTGTAAAAATTTTGAAGTTTTATTTTTTTAATTTACAAATACAAACTTCATAACAAATTTGTCGTCCAAATTGTCGGCCATACTTGGTGGAGGGGTTAAATCAGGCATTTTAATTTCCAATTTTTTTATTTCTTAAAATTTTATATTTAATAATTCAAAATAAGTAAAAAACCATACTTCCAGTTGCAGAAGACTTCATCCCGTAATTTTATAAATTAGAATAAATTAGCAAAAAATCATAACATTAATTTAGGAATTAAATAATTTTTAATTGATTTTATGAAATCTTTATTTTAGTATGTTAATTGAATTTTTGGTGAATCGAAAATTTCCTGGCTTAATTTATCAAAATGGTGAATTTCAAAATATATTTATACGTAGACTTTTTAAAATATCAAATTTTAAAAGATCATTCTTGTCTTTCTAAAAGATCAGTCTTGTTTTTTTTCTGATTTCACAATTCTTTGTGCTAGTAATTTTAAAAGTTTTTTTTATTATTCATTAAAATGTTAGTAACAATTTTTCTTATAATTTTAGGTAAATTAATGTCGTCAGGAAATCAACTTCAACAGAATGGAGCAGTCGCTCCTTTTGTTCAAAATGCGGCAGCAGTTCAGGATCAACAGGTTTATTCCTTTCTCCCAACTATTAATTTTGTTAAATTTAAAGCAGTTCCAACTTTGGCCTTTTCTCAAATCAATGTTAACTCGTCTTTTGATGTTTTGGTTAATCTCATCACTTATTCGAAATTTTTTTGGTACAAAAAATGAACAAACTGGAACTGGTGTTTCAAAACAACAATTTCCTCCTTCGTTTAATTTATTTTCACCAAATCAACGATATCACTATTTTATGTATCTCTCTTCGCAGGTTTACAAAAAAGTTTTTTCTTTAACTATAAATTTTGAAGGCAAATCTTTTTCCTTTATTTGATGATGAAAAAACTAAATCTTCGCTTATTTGGGAAGAACGCAATCTCTTTTATGGTGATTGGGAATCTGGTCCACAATTTGATGGTTCTCAAATTAAATCTCTTTCATTTCCAACTCCCGATGTTTTAAAGAAGAATGGATCTATTTATTTGCATGTATTTCTTGTAAAGGATGGGCTTTCACATTTTTCTGGAGATTCTAATTATGTTGGAAAAGAAGCAAGAATCTCTTTGAATAATTTATATTTATATTCTAATTTAGGTTGTTTATTCAAATGCTCAATTGAATAAATATAAAAAGAAGTATTATCGAAAAACTACGAACCTTTTAACTGGGAAAACAGAACAAAATGTTGAAGAACAACAAAAGGCAGATGAGGGGGTTAAATGGGAAATGTTAAATTATTGGCATCCAAATATTACTGTTAATCTTGTTACTGATTTTACGGCTTGGACCAAAGGTTTTTATTTTATTTTTTCGTAATCTTGCAAGTTTAACACATTTTTGGATTTTGCTCTATGGTGTGAATTTTTGTCTTCTAGATTTCTCCTTTACAATTAGTGTTATTCCTATTTCATAAATATTTTTTAAGGCCAAGTTCCGTCTCCTCTCGATGAAGCAGTCAAGTTTGACAGAAAAACCAATCGTTATTATCCGATTATTTTCTTTAATACTTATTGGAATTTGGGGAATGAATATCAACCATTAAATGAAACTGTCGAAGAATTAAATTTAACAATAACATTTGCTCCTCTTTCACTTTTTAAATGGCAATTGTATGCATCACAACAGGTTTTTTTTAAATAAATTGTAATTTTTCTCATCAACCCGCCTTCAGATGCGTAATAAATGGTCAAAAATGTTGGGCGGGGAGATTTTTGAAGAAAGTGATTCTGATCAAGATGTGATAAAACAAGCTTTAATTGAGACAAGTCCTATTTTGTTAGCAATTACTATAATTGTCTCTATCTTGCATACCGTTCTTGAAATGCTTGCATTTAAAAATGATATTCAATTTTGGCGTTCTCGAAAAAGTCTTGAAGGTCTTTCTGTTCGCTCTGTACTTTTCAATATTTTTCAATCTTTGGTAATTTTTTAATAAAAAAATTATTTTAATTAATTTATAATTTAGATTGTTTTTCTTTATGTTTGGGACAATGATAGTAGTTGGGTTATTAGAATGTCTATTGGCTTTGGGTTGCTTATTGAAATTTGGAAAATACCAAAATGTTTAGATGTTAAAGTATTTTTTTTAATTTTTAAATTTAAAATTTTTTCGTCTTATTTTAGATTAATTATGAGCAACCAATTTTTGGATTTATTCCTCGTATACAATTTAGTGATAAAGGTTCTTATATTGAATCAGCTACTAAAGAATATGATCAGGTAGTTGAATAATTGGATAATCGGGCATTTATTTTTTTTTCACATTTTTTTGAATCGAGTAACTAGTATGATATAATCATAGCTCTAAATTTTGAGTGGTGATTTAAAAACAACTAGTAAAAATGGGAACAAACCGACTAGAGAATTTATAGTTACTTACATTTGATTTTTTGAATTTAGATGGCATTTAAATATCTTTCTTGGGCTCTATTCCCTTTACTTGGTGGATATGCTATTTATTCATTAGTCTATGACGAACAGAAGGGTTGGTACAATTGGATTTTGTGAGTTTTTTCTTACAAATTTCAAATATTTTTTAATTTAAATAGAGGAATGCTTTATGGATTTTTGTTGACTTTTGGATTTATTATGGTAAAATAAATAAAATAAAGAAAATTTAAAATATTTTCAAAAAAATATCAAAAATTTTTAGATGACACCTCAGCTCTTTATTAATTACAAGCTTAAATCGGTGGCGCATCTTCCTTGGCGTATGCTTACCTATAAATTTATCAATACTTTTATCGTTAGTTTTTTTTTATTTTTTCAATATAAAAAATTATTTTTAGGATGATCTTTTTGCATTTGTAATTAAAATGCCAATTTTGTATCGATTAGGTTGTTTTAGAGATGATATTATTTTCTTGGTAATTTTTTAAATAATTAAAATTAAAAAAATAATTTAAAGATTTATATTTATCAACGTTGGATTTATCGAGTAGATCCTAAAAGAATTAATGAATTTGGAACTTCTGGTGAAGATAATAAAACTCCTGCTGTTGAAAATGGTCAAATGAATAGCGAAGAAATACACCAAGCGATCTCAGAAGATAAAGAAAATAAAAATGGTAGTAATGATGAGATTTTGAATGAGTCGAAGAAAGAAAAATAAAAAGAAGATTTAATTTAGTAGTTTATTTTTTAATTAATTTACCTATATTTACTTTTTTGTGTATTTAATTTTTTGTGTGTTTTCTTTAGAAAATCAAAAAATTGTAGTCACTAAAAAATTTAGAATTCTGAAAATTTTTTTGTCTTTATCACAATTTTGCTGTTCTCATTATAATATCTGTAGGTTTTTTGAATTGGTACCTTTTTAGAATTTCTCTGATTCTCTCTATTTTATGTGCTATTTTCTCGAAAATAAATTATCTTGTTCTAACCAGTTTGACGCGGGACTTAATCAACCACTTGCTTTTTTGGATAATTTTTGGAACACATTGCTCAGCTGTTTTAGTTATCTTTAATTGATGATTAGAATTAAAGTTAAACTTAATTCTGTTTAGTTTTTTGTATTTAATTAACCATAAAAATGTAATAATATGGGGACATTGAAATCTTTGGCATCAAAACGACTATCTAAGAATGTACTTTAAAACGGTAACATTAAAGATCGGAGCCATTCCTTTTCATTTTTGTTCCATTTTGCTTCAGGTTCGAGAGCAGATTTTAGTTGTTTTTCTATCATTTTTTTAAATAAAGCTCCTTTATTAATCTTATGGTTTGCCTTTTGAAGTATGTACTTTTTGTTTATAAAATTTTTACATTTATTTTTCTATTCAGATTTAGTTTTTATACATGCGGAAAAGCATAAATTTTTAATTACTGGAATTGTTGAGCGCTAGTGCCAACATTCCCAATTCCTGCCTCTTCAAAACGAGGAATTTTGCAAATACTCGTAAATGGCATACTATTCGCCAGCCAGTAACAAATCATTTCCGCCCCAAAATTTGGCAGCATCTTCGTCCTCAATTAGTGCGAGTAATTCACCTGGTCGGCAGAGATTGCCGGTTGTGGTTAAGGAGAAATCGCCGCAGAAAAAAACGCCGACCAGGAGTAGAGGACAAGCTCAACGCAGGGTTGCAGCACTATCTCCAGGCGATGCTTCAAGTTCAGAAGCTTTGGCGAGCACAATTGCGTAAATTTTTAGTTTCTTTAAATTAAATTAATAATTTGTTTTTTTTTCACAGTTCGGTAGCATCTGGTGGGGGTAGTCTCGAAGAATTTGAAAAATTCTCTGCCGCAACATCATTAGGATCCTCATCAAATTCTTCTCCCTCTTCACTCTACACTAATTCATTAAATGTTCATCCCGGTCCTTCAACTTTTTCTGAACAACTGTCAGCATCACAAAACATAATACAGCCTCCGTCTTCATCCAAACGTCGGAAGAATTGTAGTAGCTCTTCTGCTTTAAACTCAACTCAGAGCAATCAAAAGATAAATCAGTTGTTATTGTCAGGTTTGTTGATTCTGAAAATTAATGTTATTATGTTTATTTAAGGGTTTTCAGATTCACCTAATGCGTCATTGGGAACACTGGTGGAGAGAAATAAAAGGATGGGTTCTCTTTCGGCCTCACAATATCAGCACATTCAAGAGGTTATTATAAGAAGTTATTTAAATTAAACACGTAAACTTCAATCTAGGTACAACAACAGCAATGTAGAATTCATGTTCAAAATCCTCCCCAAACTCATGGAGACTTCCCTGTGACCGGAACTAAAATACAGGTTGTTCATATGCAACCAAGTCCTGCCGCTGCTGCTTCTTTATTAACTGGAGCTTGTGAATCGCCTCAACAGGTTTAACATTTTGTAATGGAGATCGAGCTGGGTTTGGACCAAGGCCTGAGTTTTTTCTGTACCCAGAGTCCAAGCCCAGGCATTTTTTGACCTTCTTGGGGTTTTCCTGGACTACAGGTTTAGGATCCGGTCCAGGTCAATAAATCAAACCAAGAGACAAGCCCAGGCTTCTCAAAAATCTTGATCTCTATATTGTAAAGCTAGGAAATCTTTCTGTTGTAATGATATTTCAAAAAATAAGTAAATTCATTCGTATTCTTGCAGCCACAATGTTCTCATCAACAGCAGCATTATTTAGGTATTGGCTCTATGTTACCTCCACCTCGGTCTCAACAAAACGAATTGATGATTTCTAATCACTATCAACCTAATCAACATCCACCTCATCATCATTCATTGCCTTCTACTCCGTTTTCGTCAACAGGATTGGATTTTTGTGGTAGCAATGTTGGTGGATCTGGTGGTCATTAATTAATATTTTAGTACTATGTTTATTTGTGATAACTTTCAGGAGTACTTTCTGCTGAAATGATGCTGTCATCTTCTGCCGCTGCTACACCGTCTCCAGCAGGCACAATAGCTTCTTCGCCGGCCGCTTCAGTAATGCCTCCAGCTTCTGGTGGTTGTATTGGAGGACCATCGTCAGTTCATGGCATTCAAAAAATTCAACAAAAACATAGAACATCTTTTCAGGTTTTTGGTTTTCATATATTTTTTAATCTAAAAATATTTAAGCATCAAAAACCAATTCTTGATAATGGTGGTGGACCTATGAGTGTTGGTTGCAATAGTAGCTATTCTTATCCACCTCCTTCACCTCATTGGGTGTCACAACAACAGTCATATTCATCTGCCATGTCTGCACAAGCTAGCCCACAACCGCCACAAAGTATTCTACAAAGAAAAATAGAAGACAGCGGTGGTGGTGTTGGAAGTAGCTATGTTCCCCCATCGATGCCAGCTGCTTCACCTTACAGTCAACAACAGCAAATGCGTCAAAATCATCTTCAACAATACTCACCAATGAGTGTTCCAATACATTCTGGTGAAGCTTCTGCTGTTCCATCTCCACAAATGTCGCATCGTTTTCATCAAAATACTCCGCAACAACACCTTCAATCTTCACCGCCGCAAATTTTGGGTGGAGGCCCTCACCTACAACATCAAACACAAAGTGCAGGTCTTCAGCCACAACCTCTTGTAGGAGGCCAAAATCTTAACCAGCAAGCATTATTTGCTACCCAACAAACGTCATTGCCAGGACAGCAACAACTTCAACCTATTTACCATAAAAAGCTACAAGGCAGAATTCAATATCATAATCAAACTCACCAACAACCACAACAACTACCTCTACATTACCTCCAAACTCCACCCCACCAACAATTACTCTCTCAACAACAAAATTATCATCATACATCACCTATAGAACGGCCTACGGCCCCTCTTCCTACTCAACAAAATATGCACCCACCTCCTTCACCGATGGTATATTTTTGTTAATTTAAATCCTAAATATTGATAAGTTAATTTATATAAACCTCTGCAAACTTTTTTTGAATACTTATTTCCTACTAATTTCTTATTATAACTCCGTTCCAAGGCCCATATAGGGTGTAAAAGATTTAAATAATATTTTATTTTTTAATTAATATTTTATATTTAAATACATTTTCAGTTCTCTTCCATGAAACAACAACAGCATAATGCGAACATTGGTAATCATCATGTTTCAAATATCCCTCAGAATCAAAGCATTTATTTGTCTCAACATCAACAACCTCCACAAACTTATTTAAAGCAGCAACAACAAATTATTCAGAATCAAGCGTTTCAACAACAGCCTCTTGTTCTATCACCTCCTCCTCCACCTTATATGGCTAATGCATATCCATCGCAACAACCGCCTCCACAACCAATGAGAATGTTTCCAGCAGCTGCTTCAACACCATTTGTTTGTCCTCTAACTCCAACAGGTCAAATGAATATTGCTGGATGTTCTCCATCAACGCAGATGTTGCCACCGATGCCACAACCAGCTCGGGCACAACTCAGTCGTGCACATTTATTAACGCGACATTCACGAGAGTTGAAATGCCACAAATATGCTATTAAGCTCTACCATCTTCAAAGGACAACAAAAGCACTTGTTTATGTTTGTATTTTTAATATTTTTAAATTAAATTAGTAGTTCTTAATTTAACATAAATTTTAATTAAATGTTTAAAAACAAATTTCATTTAAAGAAAAATGGTGCTTTGGCTGACGAACTTACTCGATTACAACAGCAAATTCAGACAGTCACCGAGGAAAGAAGGTTATATTCTTTTTTAACCCTTTCCATAATTTCTGAAATTCTGCAAGTTGACTTTTTTGAATATTTTTGGATTTAGTAAATTTTAAAAGTATTTATTATCTTGAAAATTGATCATCTAGATTTCTAAGTCAGACGGAATAAGAAGTGACCTCAAAGATTTCACTTTTTATTTTTTTTTGCATACTGATGATTTTAATTTTTTTTTGGATTGGTTCTATTTCCACGTAAAGTATAATACTTGTACCACTGTTGGTTTGGAATAAATAAAATTCTTTTTTTATATTTTTTAAATTTTAACTTTTTTAGGGTCCTAGCTAAACGTCTACAGCACCATGAACGGAATCGTATTCGTAGGCTACAAACACATTTTAAAAAAGCAGCTGCAGCAGCCTCGGCGGCTGCTGAGGCGGCAGAAAAGAAAAATGACGAGGAGACAGGTGGAACAACAACATCAACAACAAATTGTAAAAAATTAGTAATTTGTACTTTATTAAATAGTAGTAAACAAAAAAAGCACTCTGCACAATTAAATTGTAAAGAATCGCACACAGACAAAGTCAGCTTATGATGATCCTCAGACTTCTCTTTTTTTCTCTCTCTCTCTATTTTCATCCCCCTTATCCAGGTTCTCATCAATTTTGATGATTTTATAAATATTTTGTTTTTTTTTGTATTTTCCGAATGTTTGTAATTTTTCTTTTCTTAATTGCATGGATAAAGATGGGCTAGAATATTTTTAAATTTATTGAGTGATTTTAAGTTAGAATATGTTAATATTTTGAAATATTTTTAACAATTGGTCCACATAAGACGGGAAGGGATGCTAGTCTTCCACGGCGTAAGCTCCCATCGAGAAACGAAGTACAATTATCTGTTGTGCTTTTTAATAGTGCATCCCCATTCCAATTAAATTTGAGTCGATACATCTCTTGTCCCAAATGTCTTAGCCTTTTTAAAAAATTCCCAAACTTCTCCAAGAATTCTTTACCAAAACATTTAAATTTGCGAATAGATAATCACTACATTAAATATTTTAATAAAATTTTAATTATAAAATTATGTAGGTATTAATGTTTTTGGTAATAAAATATCTAAAATAGAAGTAAGAAATCTAATTCCAAATGGAAGTTCTTTTTCTTCTAAAAATTCTTCAATTTCATTTTCTAAATTACATTTACTATTCCCTCCATCAAATAATAATTGATGGAGGAAATGCCAACAACGGAAAAAAGTTTGTTGAAGTGTTTGGGCAGCAATATTAGAATGACAACTAGCTAATAAACTTTAAAAAATATAGATAAATTATTTTTAAAAAAACATTTCAATTTTACCCATTAACTAATATATTTCCATTTGAAGTTAAAGGAGCATAAATTCCATTCTCTTCAATTTCATTTATTTTTATAATTTTAGTACTTGATAATCTCATCATTTCTTTTGATTTAATTAAAGAAGTAATATTATTCCTTTTATTTTTAACAGTATATAAACATTCCCCATTATTTAAATCTTTTGCTCTAATTAATCTTAAATTACTACAACCAGCCCAAACTAAATGAAATTCTGTTAGTTTTAATTGTTGCCCTTCTAAAGTTGTTATTATTTTGAATTTTGCTTTTTCATTTGGCAAACGATGTAAAAACATTAAAATTGGAGAATAAGCTACCTTTAAAAATAAAATTAAATTATTTAAATAATTATTTAATCAGAACCAAAGATTCATCAACAGACAAAACTAAATCTCCAATTTTCAATTCATCCATTCTTTTTTCTCCTCTTGGAGTATTTACTAATTGATCACCACTAAAACATTGTAATGTTGTAAAAGCCCCAACACTTCCTCCACCCCCTCCATTTTGATAATATTGGTTATATTGCCCATATTGTTGTTGTCCATATTCTTTAAACCATTGATTATATTGTTGCTGATAATTTTGGTTATTATTAATTATTGTGTTAGTACATCCACATTCTTCTGGGCAATTACAAGTAGAAGGGCAGATACCACAATTTGGACCGTTACAAGGGTCAGGAAAACTGAAAATTGAATGAAAAAGAAATTTTTTGTAAAATTAACCTAGAACATTGACAAATACTACAAGAACACGATCCACAAATTAATTTTTCATTCTTTAAAATTAAAAATTATTTTCAAAAAAATTATTTTTAAATACAAATTTATTATTGTTTGGAGAAGGTAAAATATTAACATTATTATTATCAATTACACAACCACCATTTTCTCCACCACAACCTTCTATTGACTCAGATTGACAATTAGAAGAAGAACAATCACCAGCAGCAACATTTCCCCCTCCATCCAATAAAGAATTGGAAGAAATCTTTTTTAGAAGAAAATTATTTTTTAAAAAAGATTTAAAAAAAACTTCTTGAGAAGGGAAATTTTGTGTTGGAAGTAAAGTAACATAATTATTTATATCACCTCCAATAAAAGGAATTTGTTGTTCATCTTCAACAAACTAAAAAAATAAATTTAAAATTATTTTTCTATCAAAAATATCCATTCACTTCCTCAACATCCTCCTCCCCACCCAAACCATCTTCATTATCATTATTTTCAGGAATTATTGTTGTTTCCTCTATAGTTACAACAGCAGAAGCAACAATTGCTGGCTGTTTTTGTTTTTCTTTTAATTTATTATTTATTTCCAATTCTTCAATTTCTTTTTCAATTATTTTTTGAAATTCTTCTTCTTCTGGGGAAATTGTTGGGATTTTTGTTGTTTCCTCTTCTTCTTCTTCAATTAATTTTGGAATTGGCAAATTTAAATTTTCTTTTAAATAATTAATATCCGAATATTGGCGAGATTTTTGGGTAAAGATTTTGGGTAAATTTGAATAATTTAAAGTTTCGTTAATTGTCCAATAACTGTTTTAAAAATAAAAAGAAATTTTGAGTATAATATTCTATGTAAAATTAAATTTTAAAAAAATTTATAAAAATTAAAATTAATTTTGGAATTGTTATCGATGAAAGGATGTAAAAAGAAGGATCTAATTTTATATAAAAATAATCTAATAATTTAATTAATCAACCAAATACTAAATTTAAATAGCCAAATAAAGTTATGCCCTAAAACTAAGAAATTTAGCGGAAACAAATTAGAAACCATAACTTTTTAAAGACTTGGCTGATTTTTATTTTTGCTTTAAAATAAGCCTTGGCTTAAATTTTTGAGGATTTTATATTTTTATTTAGATAACTTCAAAAGTCGGGTAGCCAACAAATATTTTAAAAAGCCTTACTAAGACTTCTAAATAATTCTTCTATTAATTACCCTCAACCTCCCCCCCCCTCCTCCTTTTCCTTTTTTTAAATTATTTTTAAATTTAATTTACCTATTTAAAATTCCTTTTTTTGTTTCATTTTCTTCTTCTTTTTTCTTCTTCTTTCCAAATTTATTTAATCTATTTCTATTTTTATTTAATTTATTATTTGAATGTAATTTTCTAATTTTTATATTTTTTTGATTTTCTTTTGAAGTCTAAATAAATTAATTAATTATTTTTAATTAAAAATAACCTCCTCCTTCTCCTCTTCTAATTTATTTTTTAATTTTTTAATTCTAGCCAAATGTCTCAAATAATAGGACAATAAAGGTTTACGTAAATAAATTGTTTGTTGTTGTTGTTGCTGTTTTCGACGTTTTTCATTTAGTAAATATTTTTCTTTAATTAAATTATTTTTTAAATTTTTTTCTTCTTTATTTTCCTTTAATTTTTCGTCTGGATGCCTATATATAAATTAATTTTAATAAAAAATTTTAAGAAGTAAAATTCTAATTTTGAATAATAATTTTCTATTAAACAATTAAATAAAAATAATTTTCTTAAATATTAAGGAGGGGTTCTATTTATTTATTTCCAAAGTTTGTAAAAAATTGGATTAATAAGGATTTGTAACATTTCCATTACTGAGAGCGTAGTAGTAAAGAGTTTTCATTTAAAAATTAAAAAAAACCTTTTAGCAGTTATGGAGGCAAGCATAAAAATATTTTTATTTGAAGGCTTTTCCTCATTAATTAAAGGTTTATTTGTTGTTGTTTTTAAATAAAAAAATCTTTTTTGGGGTTTTAAATATTTTTTGTTATTAAAAATTCCATTTCTTCCTTTAAATTTATAAAAATGTTTAGAAAAAGAATTTTGGGTTAAAATTGGAATTTTGGTTGTTGTTGCTGAGAAGGAAGGGCATAATGCTCGATAAATTGTTAATATATAAATTAAACTAAAAAAAATAAATAAATTGTTTTAATTTTAATTTAATTAATTATTAATTTACTTATTTTCTTTAGTCATATTTTTATATATTTCTTTAACCAAATCAAAAGCTATCTAAAAAAATAAAATAATTTATTTAACAACAACAACTAACAATTTCTCCTTTATTCAAAACAGGCCCTCCTTCAAATTTTTCTCCTTTTTTAATAACAACTTTCTTTAAGGGAGCAGCCCATTGGGACAAATTTGGAATTAAACAACATTTTTGTTTTAAATTATTTCCCCCTTCTTCTTCTTTAATTTCTCCAATCCATTCATTTGATTTATTACAAAAATAATTATTATTAATTATTAATTTATTATCATTATAACATTTCTAAATTTAAATTAATTTTAACAAATTAAAAAATTGAACAAACAATTTTATTATTTTCATTATTTCTTTCAAAATTTAAAAAAAGATTACAAACTGGTGGTTGACAATAAAGCTCTTAAAATTAATTTATTTTTTTTATTATTCATTTGTTTATAATTATAGCTGTGGAAAAATTCTTGATTCAAGCGATATTTTAAATTTTGAACTTTAAGTCGAGATTTTTGAATCGGTTATTTTTCTTTTTAAAATTATTTTCCCTTTTTTTAAAATACTTAATTAGAAATAAAAAAAGTCTAGAATTTGCTCCCACTTTTAAAAAGTTATAAGTTGACTTAAAGCTCAAAATTCAAAATAACAACGCTTGAATCAAGACTTTTTTCCTTTACTTTTTTCCTTTTAAATCTCTAAATTTTATCCCTTCCTTCATTAAATTACCTGGATGTCCATATTCATCAATCCTTACAATTGAAGGAATATCCCCTAAAAGGCAATTATTTGTCTCAGAAGTAGTTGATTTTAATTGTAATATAAATTTATTAAAAATAATTATTTTTAAATAATTAATTAGTAAAAATAATTTCATTTTTTTAAATTTAAAAAATAAATAAAAATAAATATACTAATTTTCTTTTTTTAAATTTTCTCCGATTTCTTCATCCGGCAATGCCCCAAATCCCTTTCTTATATTCTCTCTCAACAATTAATTGAGCATTTTTTAAAGATTTTCCCTCAATTTTTTTGGAGAGAAAAAGTAAAAAATAAAATAAAAGACTGTTTTGTACTTTCTTTGACAAAACTTTGAAGTATTTGTGTGAAAGGAATGAATAATAATTTGGTTGTAAAAAAAGGAAAGGAAGGAGGGGGGGGGGGATTATTAATTTTTAATTAAAAAAACAAAATTTTGTTAAAAGTTTGGAAAGAATTTTTGATGATTTTTAATTTAATTTTGTTTTATATTTCTTTTTTAATTCACAGAAAATTTAAAAAATTCCGTTTGCAATACTAAAAGAGTTCCGGCATGGAATCTTTCTGACTTTGTCAAGAGTGATTAAATTAATTTAATTATTGCCTAAAAATTTTTGATTTTTTCTCGTATACATGAAGAATTTTTAAAACCGATATTGCCTACATATTTAATTATCTGTGATCATTTCTAATTAATTTTATTAAAGAAAATTTTAACATATTTATTGTTACATTTATTCTTTTAAAAATAATTATTAATTTTAACACATATATTTATTTAATTTATCACACACAAAAAATAATTAAAATAAATTAGCTCCAATATTTAAAATAAAAATTTTAGACCATTGAATATTTGTTGGGAAAATTCTTGAATGGTAACGACAAACACGAATTACCTTTAAAAAATAAAAAATTACTTAATTTAAAATAATTTAGTTTCTGGGGGTATTTAAATTCTAATCTAAGGCTGGAACGGAAAAATATGTAAGGGTGTTTTTTAAACGGGAGGGAGGGGAGTTTTCAAAGAAATTTGAAAAAAATATTGAAAATATTCTGTAATATTTTTTAAAATAAATTTATAACATTAGGAGGGAGGGGAGGGGGCAAATTAATTTAAAATTAATTTACATTTTCAGCTTTTTCCATTAATTTATTATTTAATTTATTTTCCTTTTCAGAACTACAAATACGTATAAACATCGAATAAACTGTTGTTGTCATATTATTATTTGAAAGAATAAAAGAATTTAAAAGTAAACTAAAAAATTAAATTTTAATTAATTCTCTAAAAAACCTGGCAATTTCCCCATTTTCAGCATAACATTGTAAAATCCTTCCCCCTTCATTCAAACCAAGTAAATACCCTAATGGCTGGTTATCTTCATTATTTATAGCCACAAATCCAGTAATTCCATTTAATTTAAACAAAAATTCCAAATAATCATCCCTCCCAAAAGAAGAAATATTTTGATCGTAAATAGAGAATAAAGTTTTTGTTTGAGAATTTAATGGAAGGATTGAAATTGTTGAAGAATTATTTTTAAATAAATTAATTAAATTCTCCCTTTTTTTAAATTAATTTTTAAAAATATTTTAAAGAAAAAAATTAAACTTTTTAATTTTTATTTCAAAATAACGAAAAGGATCAGTTACTATAAAACCAGCAGAATCTCTCCATAATTTAGTTGAATATTCTTCCATTCTATAAATTTTAATTTTAAATAATTTGTGACTAAGTAAATCTCTTTAGCTGTTCGAGACCGAAAATTCTCCAACCCATGACCGAAAAAACCTATGAAAAGTCTTGGGCCAAGACGCAAGATCAAGAGTTTCGGATAGCTCTAGTAATCTCTCCTAAAATTTAAGGGGGGAAATGTGTGGAAAGAGAGAGGAGATAGGGGAGAGAAAAGATTTATTTATTTAACTTACCCCGAATCAGAATCATAAATATCAACAGACATATTTTTAGTTAATTCCATCTTTAAAATTTTTTATTTAAATTTAACTATCCTAAATAAATACATTAAAAGTACTCCCAAAACATTGTTTAGCCAATTGTTCAACAATACATTGCAATAAAGGACGGGCTAAAGGTTCAGCAAATGCTGTAAAATATTGTGGAAGAGTACTTAAATCGGGCAAAACTTGGTTAAAATTAATTATCTAAAATGATAAAAGATTTATTAGTGTATTGTTCAAAATACTTTTAAATAATTATGTTGTTGATTGTCTTCTTTCTCTTTATTATTTTCTTCTTTTAAATTATAAACCCCTTTTTCTAATTCTTTTGGAATTGAAATTAATGAACAATATAACTTTAATTAAAAAATTATTATTAAATTAAGAAAAAAAGGAAAATGACTTGGTTAGGTGATTGAAGATATGCTAAACCAAACCCAATTAAATTATCCTAATAAAAATATTTTTTTAAATTTTTCATTAAAAAAACTTTTTCTTTATCCAAAATAGTTGTTGAATAAACATTTTCTAATTTAATAAAAGAATTATTATTATTTTCATTAAATAAAGCACCCCCAACAGATTTATTTAATTTTGAATTTGAAATAATTAAATTATTATTTTTTAATGGAAGTAACATTTTTAATTTTTAAAATAAAATTAATTTTAATATTTTACCTAAAAATAAATAAAATTTTGTAAAAATATATATATTTCCGGTTTTTATACTTAAAATAAATATACAAAAATATTTAAAGATAATTATCTACATAAAAATTCTTTTCAAGAATTGCGCGCAAACTCGTGCCCCCCCCTCTTCCTCCCTTTTTCTAAATTTAATTTTACATCTGGAAGAGGCAAATAAATAAAAAAAAAGAAAGAAGATAAAAATAGACACCAATAAATTGGGAACAAAATTGTAAAAACTTTTTTTTGGAAGAAAATTGGGAAAATAAATTTTAGATAAAATCAGCAAAGAATTGTAAATATATATTTTTAAAAAAATTAGGAATAATAATTAAGTGATATTAATTAGTTTTTCTTGAAAAAGAATTTAAAAAAATTAATTGAATAATTAAAAACTATTTAATAAAATTGCTTTAAAATATAAGCATTAAGGGGGAGGGGGGGAGGTGGTATTAATCAATTAAAATGTCAAGAGTTTAGCTAATTATATATTAATCTTAAATTTTTTTAGTACATACTAGGGTTTCACCGGAACCGAAATTTTGACCGGAACCGGAACCGGATCCAATTTGAGTTCCGGTTCCCGGAACCGGAACTTTTCTAAGTTCCGGCCCGGAACCGGAACCGGAACTTTAAAAAAAAATTCTAGCAAATTAAAAAATTTAAAAAAAATTATAAGAAATTTGAATTCAAAGTAGGTTTGTCGGTTTAACTCAATTATTCTGTTAACCGAAACAACTAACCGAATCGAAACTTTCGGTTAACCAAAATCGAACCGTAAAACCGAACCGTTCTACTTAAATCCCATGATATGCCCCCCCCCTATTTTAACTCTTGGTACACGAAATCACCCAGTATCTTCCAAATCCCCATTAATCCATGCAAATTATCAAAAATAACCTATTCTTCCTTCCTTTTAGCGCCGCAGGCGAAAATTTTGTGAATTTCGGAAGGCCAAGTGAGACATGCCAAGTTTTGGAAGGCCAAAACCCCGGCTATCCTATCCCTTCTATCTACCTTGCACAGCTTAATCCCTCAATATTACACCCAGATCCCTCGGTATTACCTATGACCCCTTGAAATCACAGCTGTAAATTAAAATACGCCTTCATCCATCCAGATCCTCCGATATAAACTTCGTTTAACAGCGCCGCAGGCGAAAATTTTGAGAATTTGGAAGGATAACAAGCCAGATTTCTTCCTTTCCTGGCATCGCAGGCAAAAATTTTGAGAATTTGTGAGGCAAGGGCTAAATTTCTTCCTTTTCTTGCGCCGCAGGCGAAAATTTTGAGAATATTGTAACGCCAGCCGGGGAAGACCAACCCATATTTTTAAAAAAATCAATCTTTAGGGGTGTAAAAAAGTTCCGGTTTGCCCGGAACTGATTTGAAAACCGGAGCCGGAACCGGAACCAATTTAAGTTCCGGTTCCCGGAACCGGAACCAAAAAAAGGCCGGAACTTTCCGGAACCGGAACTTCCGGTGAAACCCTAGTACATACATAATCGCTCTAAAATACATTTAAAAATATACAAAATTCCCTAAAATACACCAAATAAATTTTCCCCAAAAATTAAAAAAATTTTTTTATAAATTTTATCAAAAAATCATTTAATTTACAATAAAACAAAAAAATGAATAATATAATGTCTTTCACACATTGTGCATGAGGTTATAATGTTAAAACAAAAAAACCGATAAATGGAATATATATTTAATAAATTCTGGACAGAATTAAATTTAAAAAAATAATTTACTTTCCAATCAATCCCTTCCTTCAATAATTTAATGCATATTGTCCCACCCACCTTCACGATTCTTCCAATCATCAATAGCACTTTGAGGGACTACCTCGTCTTTAAGAATTTTTCGATAATCATCCAAAGCAGCCTCCCCACTAGTCCCAGCACCAGAAGTATTACAAGCATTCTTATTCCAAGGATATTTCTCTTCCTTTGGAGGAAGACGAATTTTTTGATACTCGTTACTTGAAATATTTTTATTTATTAAATGAGAATTAAAAAAAAGTAAAAATTGTCTTAAAAGAAAATTTCAAAACTTTTACTTAAAATTCTGCATATCCCCTAAATATTTTCAAAAAATATTAAACTTCTTAAAAGGTCAATGAGCCCCACAAATCGATTACAAAAAGCCCCCAAATTACATTAAAATACAAATTCAAAACTTAACTATTCCTCAAGAGTCGTAATCGGCATTGGAATCATTCTTTCCCGATATTCTCTCTTTTCCTTCTTGCTTAAAGACATTGGGCGCTTCTCACAAGTAATTCTAAAAAATAAATATTTAAATTAATTAAACTTTTAAAAAACCGCCGAGACATCATTTCCTCGGTGACATACCAAGGTTTTTTAACTTCACTTGGCACATAAACGTTTTTAGCATTTTGGTTATTTTGTTGTTGTTGACTCATTATTGACACTTTTTAAAAAAAGAAAGTATTATTTATTTGTCTAAAAAATTAATATATTTTATTTTTAAATTTAATTTTAAAGATAAAAAAAGAAATGAAAGTGAATAAATTTAAAATTTGTTTTTATAAATAAATAAATAATCAATTAAAAACAGAATGCCAAAATTAGAAAATTAAGTAAATTTAAATTTTAAATACAGTAAGAAAATAACTGAGAAAGATTAAGTTCAGTTTAATCTATTTTTCTGTTCATAACTTTTTTTTAATTTCTTCTACCATTCTGAACACTTCTCACTAATCGACAGCTATGAATGTGTTTATTTTATCTGTTGAGACAGTTCAGATACGTGATCATTTTCTAAAATTATTAATTTTATCTGGAATTAAATCTGGATTAAATCAGGACATTAAATCTGGACAACGTGCTAAATAAAATAAAGTTAAAACCACGAAAGAAGCCTCTAAACTAAATCAGTCACATCTAAGACTGATTTAGACATTATTTAAGACATCACATTTAAATCAGTCACATTACAGATCAAAATAAGAAAAAATTAAATATTATGTAAACTTTCGATTAACTTTAATAAATAACGAGCGTTTGTTCGCCGCTTCGCGGCGAACAAACGCTCGTTCTAACTTTTTTAAATAATAAAATTGTGAAAAATAAGTGCGGTTTTAGTAAATGATTCATCTATTTTGGGCGACTAACACTGATCAACTGCCGGACTTATTCTCTCACTAAGCTCATGATTTCTCTCCAATTTCCGGGCCTGATCTCTCGCCTTCTTCCTTTTTCTGACACTGACCTCTCAATTTTTGGTGACTGAACTATAGCCATTTAACGGATCTGATCTCTTAACTAATACATTTTCACCCCTTGGCGTCCGTACTAATTTTTATATCGTATCGAAACCATAGATATCTACACAGACCCATAGAATTCTCTGAAAATTTTGAAGCTTCATATTATCACTACTATTTATTTCTCTTATATACACCCAAAATCTTTTAACCCATGATTTTCCTCTTCATCCACGACGACCCTAAATTCACTTGTTCATAACTTCTACGATAACCATCTTAATCCTCTCAAATTCACCAATTTCTCGCTAAATCAAAAGATAACCAATTTATCCTCAACTCCCTTAGATCTCTCTTTATCTCACAGATCATTCTATCACACATACATATACTTACCAAAATCACAGTTATTCCTTAAATTACCCAAGAACCCTCTATATTCCAAATTCTTGGTATCCATCCTATTCTCCCCAGTCTGTATTTCCCTCTTAATTCAATATCCTTCGTATTTTTCCGCTTTATCCAATATTGTTTTGAAAACCAAAACCACCCTCTCCCCCGATATCTCTCCTAATCCTCTCATTTATCCCTCTAATTCCCTCAGTTTTAAATTTTCTAACAGCCCTACTAATCTTCAAATCTGCAATTTCATTGAAAATTTCCGATCTCTATATCACCTTTAAACACTACTAATGAAAAGATCCCTTAATTTCTTTTAATCTACTCTAACCCTCAAATTCCCGATATCGCCCTTAATTCTCAGAAATTTATATCTCATAACTCCGCCTCTTAATCAACGAAAAGCAAAACAAACTATTCAGCTTTAAAATCCTTGATATTACTCTTTTTTAACCAAAAATCCGATAATACTCTTTATCCCAAAAGCCCCCTATCACCGCTACATAACACTCGATATTCCTCACGTTATTCCAAATCTATATCTCTTAATCCTCATATTCCCTAATAGACAACAAAATAACATTTCATCACTTGAATTATAACCTAATATAGAATCTTAATATTTTTTCTCTAAATGCCCCGTTCGCTTTTTTTCACACAAAAGGCACATTTTATCCAGAATCAAACCGATATCTACCCTAATCATAACATAACCCTGCTTAAAATACCCTCTTCAATTCTTTTTATCCCTTTCCAAATCCCACGATCTTCCTTTTTATCCCCTGATATCAATCTTTGCCCCCTTAAACCAATGATATCTCCACTCTCTTGAGGAGAACACTCAAATCCTCTTTTTTCCTTGGATTAAACCTTTAAACCCTATATATTCCTCTTAAACCCCTTAAATCCCTTTATATGTTTTTTTTTGTTCTTGCATACTCTTTTTCTATTGTTTTCCCCATGTTAATCTTCTGAATCCCTCGTTTTATTCCCAAAATCCTTTATTCCCAAAATCCTCACAAAATGACTTCTTTGGCTTTTAATACTTGATCAGAATGTTTGTCTCTGTTATCACCTGTTATCTCTTTTCACTAAAACCCTTCTTATCTCTCGTTTATATCCCTGAATCCTCTCAAATCTCTTAATCCTCTCAATCCTCTCAAATCCCACTTTAACTTTCTAATAAAAATTCAAACCCTGTCAAACATTTCTTTTTAAAATCACATCCTCTCTAAACCCTTGCTGCCTCAATTAATACTACGCATTCCCTGATATTACTCTTTTCTTTCCTATATATTGATCTCTTTATCAATCCAACACATCCATTGGTTTCACTTTCTTCAATTTTATGAATCTCTCTGTCGCTCTCAATTTCTCGACTCTAACCTGTGCTAATCTCTGACCCACTCAAATCATTTGGGAAAAATTTCGTCATATCTGCCAGAAACCGATTCGGACAAAAGATATGTTATTCGAAAGAGCTCACCGAGCTGAGTCGAACGACATCAAAATCAGCTCGAGATCTTGATTCTGAGTCTAGATAAAGAGGCGCAAAATTGTCAACGTAAACCTATGGGCGTAGGCGAGGCGCTTGTGCAAAACCCCGCGCTTCGCGCGGGGTTTTGCGGCACGCGCCTCGCGAGGAGTCTACGGTCGCTGGGTTCTGGGCGCGTAACTTAATCCTATTCCCATCATCGATGAGGTGGGCATGCCTGGTTTTCTCCACAGCAGCAAAATTCTCCATAGGGAAAGAACTTAAAGAAACGATCATAACTTTGCCTAAACAAAAAAGATTTCAATTATTTTGATGTCATTCGACTCAGCTCGCGGAGCTCTTTCGAAAGAGGTGTAATTTCCATATTCTAATTTTTTACCCCAAAATTAAGCTTACTCCCCCTATGGTTTTTGATTTTCGGGGATCTTGGTCCATAGATGAGTCCCGTCCATAGATGAGTCCCGAAGCTAATTTTGGTGTCGTTCGACTCAACACGGTGAGATCTTTCGAATGACAAATCTTTTGTCCGAATCGGTTTCTGGTAGATATGACCGAATTTTGCCATCACTTGTTCTCTCTATTAAACGCCCGAATCCTGTGTTTATCATTTGTAGAAAAAATTTTTGTCTTTCTTCTTCTATTAAATATTATCTTTAAATTAAACCGAATCTCCCTAATTCACTCTTTCTCATCAAATCCTTTGTTTTTCTAGTTTCCCCAAGATACCTCAAATCTCTTGATCTCTCTATTAATCCCTTTATTCCTATTATCCCTCTCTTCCTTTGATTACGTTGATTTCTTTGTTAATCCTTCAAATGCTCGGAGTTTCTTAGTAAACACCAAAAATCTTTGGCCTGTTAATCCCAATAAACTCCTTATATCCGTCTTTTTCTTGAAATACATTGATCTTTAAATTAATCCATCAAATAACATAAATTCTCCTAATTGCACCAAATTCCCTGAAACACAATATAACTTTTTATTCTATTATCTCCTAAATTGTTTAATGTTTGCGATTATGTGGCTGAGATTAATTATAAAAATGATTGCGATTAATTGAGAATTTTAACTGCTTGCGATTATATGGCAGACGCGCTGTTTATTGTTTACGTTTATCTTTTTTTGTGTGTAGTTAGAGAAAAACAACTTTTTTCTCTTTTATTTTTCTTCATTGAAATTTTCGTTTCAAAACATTTTCCTCTTTTCCCCTTAAAAAAGTCTATTTTCCATAATTTTAGTATAGTAAATTTTAGGTAAAAAGAAAAAATGGAACCATTTTTTAAATATTTTTTGAAAAAATATTTTAGCCATTTTTGTTGCTTTTGATTTAAAAAAATAACTTATTCTTTATTAAAATATTTTTATTTAAATTTTCCAATAAAGATTTAATAAATTATTAAATAAAATTTTCTAGTTTTCTTTTTTCAATTTTTCAAAATTTATTTAATATATTTACAGTCAAAAACAAGTTTTATTTATTTACATTTTTTAAAATTCGCGCATTTTATATTCTTTTCCTTTATTAAAAATTTATTGTTATTTCTCTTGCATTTTGGCCAGAATTTTTAAATCAATCATATGAATTTTATTTAAAATCAATTGTTCTCTTTTATTAAATTTATTTTATTGTTTTCCATTTTCATTAAATTTATTTTTTTAATAAAATTAATAATATTATTTCTTCCTTCTGTGAATTTAAATAATAATTTAAATAATAATTAAATATAAAAATTCCATAAAAAGAGAATATTATTTTTGTAAATATTTAACAAATGATTATAGTTAATTATTATCAAAATTGTTTTTTTCCTTTCCCTTTTATTTATTTATTATCACATGTAGAAAATCGAATCGAGACTTCCCTCCAAATAAAATATTTTTACTTTTATCAATTTATTTATTTAAAAAATAATTTTATTTTTTAAAATTTCATTAAAAATGAGAATAATAATAAAAATATTTTTAATTTTTTTCTTCCAATTTTCAAATTATTTAATTTTTGCTGATGAAAATACTGAAAATGTATTTGTTAATAAATAAATTATTTTTTAAAAATTTTTTTAAATTTAAAGTTCCACCAATCCTCTTTAATTCATTCAGTATACGAATCTGTAACAATTAAAGTATATCCACAAATTTCTGGAGTTAGAGTAGAAGCACCTCTTCACACAAATGCTTTCCACACTTACGAGTAGTTTTAATTGAAGTTTTCCCTTTTATTTTTCTTTAAAAAGGTCATCAGGTATTTCTGTTGTAGAACCTGGACTTCCTGTTCGTGTAGTTATTTTTGGGATGTTTTTGGATAGAATAGCATTAATTTCGTTTACAACAGATAATTGCTTAAATCCTGGCAAGTAAAAAAAGAAATTTTAAAAATAAATAATTAAAATTAAAATTTAAGTATTTAATATTTCACATAATGAATTTATTTCTCATTCTGAAAAGTTAATTGAATTAATTGCTAAATTTAAAGAGTTAAGTTGTTTTATTTTAAAAAATATTTTTTTAAATAATTTTTAAAGAGATGAAGATGCTTACAGAATGTGTTTGTTAGAAAAAAGGGAAGAATTGTCTGATGTTGAAGAAGATTTAGTTTTGGTTGGGAATTTTAAACAGAAAAATATTTTCTTTTAATTTGTTTAATTAGATAGACGAAATGCGTACTTGGATTAGAGCTACCTCAGACCCCCCAGTCCATTATATGCCCGAAGAATTACAAGTAATTAGACATTTAAATATTAATTAAATATTCCTCCTTTTAAAAGTTGCTAATTATTTTTTGTCTTTTTATTTTGTCTGCTCTTTTTTCTGGTTTAAATCTTGGTTTAATGGCTCTATCACCACAAGAATTAACTTTAATTTTAAATTCTGGTTCAGAACGTGAAAGGAAATATGCAAAAGTTATTTTGCCGGTTAGGAAAGCTGGAAATAAATTACTTTGCACAATACTTATTGTATGGATATATTTAAATTTGTGTTTTAAAAAAATTTTGTTAAAAGATGAATGTAATTGTTAATTCAGCTATATCTATTTTACTTGAAGATTTAACTAGTGGAATTATTGCTTTTGGATTAGCTTCTATTGGAATTGTTGTTTTTGGTGAAATTGTTCCCCAAAGTATTTGTATTAAGTTAATAAATTGAATTTTAAATAAAAAAATAATAATTTTTTGTTAAAGAAAAGGACTTCAAGTTGGAGCAAAAACTATTTGGTTAACTCGGTAAAATAGTAGCTAAAAATATATTGAAAATATAATCACTACAATTTTTAAAATAATTTAAAAAATTCAATCACCTCTATTTTTGCTCGTACTCGTAGTAACAAATACGAGGTACGAATTTTGGTCTAAGCTTCGAAGCACTTCCCAATAAATTACAAAACATTTTGTATATGCTTAATTTAAATAATTATTTTAAAAGTTTCTTCATGTTAATTACATTGCCGTTAGCCTGGCCTATAGGTAAATTATTGGATTGCATTTTGGGAGAAGATTTAGTAAATATATTTTACTTTTAAAAATTAAACTACTCAATTATTTTTTATATCGATATTGACCACGGGCAATTATTGGAAATGCTTAGAATGGCACATCAACAAAGTGAACATCAAGATGAATTAGCTGAAGATTTAAAAATAGCTGTGGGGGCTATGGAAATTGCTGAGAAGAAAGTTTGTGATGTTATGACACCTGTTGAAGTAATTTAAAAAAAGATTTAAATAAAAAATTAAAATAAAGGATGTTTTTATGCTTGCAGAAGAAGCTATTTTAGATGCAGAATGTGTTAGTGAAATTGTTAGAAGGGGGTATTCGAGAATACCCGTTTATGTTGATAATAATAGAAATAATGTTACAGGGTAATTTTTAATTAGTAATTTTTAATTCAAAATAATTTCTTCTTTTCAAGCCTTTTATTTATCAAAGATTTGGCACTTTTAAAGCCAAATGAACGTTTTACTGTTAGAACAATATGTGATTTTTATAAACATAAATTGCGGTTTGTTAACGAATCTACTCCATTACAGACAATGCTTGAGGAATTTAAAGAGGGAGAATATCATTTAGCAGTTATTCGGGGAGGGGAAGGGGACGAAGAGGAGGAGGAAGAAGAAGGTGGAGGTGGAGGAGAAGGAGGGGAAAAGAATCCAATAATTGGAATAATAACATTAGAAGATATTGTGGAAGAAATTTTACAAGCAGAAATTGTTGATGAAAGTGATGTTGTTACTGATAATAAATTTAGAATAAAAAGGTTAACAAAATGGCAAACAGAAGGGAAAATTAGAAGAAATTTAATTAAAAATTGTTTTGGAGAAAGTTTTGGGGAAGAGGAGGAAGATAAATATAAATGTTTATCTACAACGTTAACTAAAGTTATGTAAGCATGTTTTTTATTTGAAATTGAAATCTTGATGATGTATACATATTCCATTAGAAAAGGGTTCTTTTGCTTGTTGGGGAGGGGAAATTGATAGATTTTCCTTCGAACCATATTTTGGTCGTTCCGTGTTTTGTCTGTTCCGAATTCCTCGTTTTGCCCCTCATCCGGGAAAGTTCTGAATTTTAGCTCATTTTTAGAATATCCCACCTCCCTTCCCATAAAATAAAATTATTTATAAAAATATTTTTATTTATTTTTTAAAGAGTTCATTGGCTTTCTACAAGTCACCCAAATTTATTTGGTGAAAAAGTAATTGATATTAAAGCTTTATTTTTACTTGTAAGAAGAAATGTTCATAAAGTAATAAAAATTGTTCTAAAATAATTTAAATTAATTTTTAAAGATTGATTTATGTAGACCAAAACAGGGGGGATTTAATTATATTAATGGAGGGAAAGAAGAAAAAATATTTCTTTACAGGTATTTTTAAATTAATTAATTTTAAAAAATAATTAAGAGCTGGAGAACCTTCTGATCGGTTTATTTTATTAATTGAAGGAAAGGCAACAATTAAATTTGAAAAAACAAAAATGAAATTTGATGTGGGGCCTTGGGAATCTTTTGGTTTAAATATTTTGGATAAATTAGAGGAAATAATTAAAACAAAAAAAGAATTTAAAGAATTAAATAATGAAGAAGGAGAACAAAAAGGAAGAAGAAAATCAACAACAAATCATCATTTTATTAATAGTTAAGAATTAAATTTAATCTTTACTTCTTTAAAATTAAATAGAAAATAATACCCCCCCCCCCTGTTATATTCGAGGGTTATCCGAGATTTAACTAATGTCGATTGAACAAGAATAGCAGTTTATCGGTGTAGAAATGAACAATGAAGGCGAAGGTAAAAGAGCTATAGCAGACGGAGATCAGGGACTAGCCCCGCTAGTATGACCCACTATACTAACACTTACACTGGCTTTTAACTATCTTAACACCACTACACAACACCCCCCCCCCTAACATTTAAAAAAATTAATTTTTTTTTTAAAGATTTTCACAATTCAATTGAATTTATTCCTGATTATGATTTGGAAATTAAATCAGACTGTAAATATTTAAAAATAACATTTTCTACTTATTTGGCATTTATTCGACTTTCTGGACTTTTAAAAACAATTAAAGAATTTAGACAAACAGATCCAAATTTATTTCAAAAATCCTCAACAACAACAACCCGTAAATATTTATCAAATCCAAATTCTCTCCAAACATTAAATAATTCTATAGAGGTTTTTAAATGAAAATTAATTTAATTTTTAAAGTAATTAATTTAAGGAATTAAAAAAACAAAAAAGGTGTTTAAGTACTATTTCTGTTCCGTTAGAGGTGCCTTTACTTCGAAAATTTAAATTTTAGAGAGAAGAGAAGAGAAGAGGAGAGAGAATTTATTTAATATATCTATTTTTACTTAATATTTGGATATTTTTAAATATTTTTTAATTTTAAATAATTTTATATAAAATTTTAGAATTTAATTCTTTAAATATTTATGTATGAGTTCCTTATATGAATCCCTTAAATATTTAAAAATTAATAAAATTAATTTTTAATTTCCAAAAAAATTATTTTTAAAATAAAAATATTAAACAACTGTTGTTCTTTTTTAGTTAATAAAAAAATTTTAAAAAATATAAAGAGACAAAAAAACAATAGAAAAAATAATCAGATAAAAATATATATTTTAAATTACCTAATGACTCCCATCATTCATTTAACTTTTTTTGTGTGTGGGGATTTTTGCTTATTTTTTTGACAGATTTATAAAATAAAATACCTACATAATTATGTATTATAAAAAATTAATAAATGTTACTTAAGCAGGGATTTGATCTCGAATTTTTAAAAACCCACAATTTTTATCTAAAAATCGGTATTTTTTTATATTAAAAATCCTCAAAAAATTATCAAACATAAAATTGAATTAAAATCACTTTAAGCGTTATGTTTTTTGACTCCAACAATCGAATTGGGCCTGTACTTAATTTATAAAAATAATTTTTAGAATTATTTTTTTATTTCATTTTGAAAGAAATAATATTTTAAATTTAATAAATAAACTTAAAAATTAATGAATGGAAGTTTATCATACAACAACAAACAACAATTACAGAAAAACAAAAAAGAAAACATCAAAACAAAAGAAAACAAACAACAACAACAACAAAATGTTTTAAAAGAAACTTCCGCCTCTTCTTTCTCTTCTTCTCATTGTTGTTTTTGTTGTTTTTGTAGAAGAGATAAAGAAAGAGAGAAAAAGAAAAGGTTGGGGAATAAAGTTTTTAAAGTTATTTTTTATATTTAAATATTTTTTTCTAAATTTTAAATGATGGATTAATTTCCTTTAAATTTTTAAAAAAAATTAACTTTTTGGGAAAACAAATGTTTTATTTTTCTTTAAAATAAGCTATTTGTTTTAAACACCTTTTTTGATTTATTTTTGTGTTGAGAAATAAAAACATTTTAATTGAGAAATTAATTTTTAATTAAAATTTATTAATTAAAATAATAAATTAATTATGTATCTCACACAAAAATATTATTTATTTAAAAAAGATAAATTATTTTCCTACTAAACTTCTAATCAGTGGTTGGAATTTTGAAATTTGCTCGTACTTGTACTTTCGTACAGACTTTTTTACCTCGTACATATCCAACCACTGCTTCTAATGAAGTTTTAGTTAATATTTTTTTTATTTGCTTTTTTAAGTTCCATAAAATTATCATCATCATCCTTACCTCCATCAACTAGTCAACAAACAAAACACCAACAATTACCTTCACATTTTGATCATTCTTTCTCTTCATCCTCTTCCTCTCCATCTTCCTCTTCGTTATCTTCTTCACGTCTTTCATCATCATTTTCTTCTTCATTTGATAATTCTTTATCTACAAATTTTTCTTTTCACCACCGTCATCGGCGGAGAGGGGGAATGCGCTGGCTTAAAAAACGTCCAGAAAAGGCTTATTGTCGATTACTTAGAGTTTAATTTATTTAAATTTAAATTTAAAATTAATTTAAAAAAAGGAAAACACAACATTTCACGGAATTAGAGATTCAATAGCTACTGGGGGTTGGTTAAGGGCTCTTTGGATTTGTATTATTTTTCTAGCTTCTATGGCTGCTTTAATTGGTTGTGGATTTATTGGTTAATTAATTTTGAATTTAAATTTTAAATTTAAATATTTCTTTGTTTTTAGTTTGGGAATTTAATAATCGTCCTTTATCAGTAACTTATAGTATAAGAGAAAATGGTTAGTAAGTCTTCTCTAAATATTTAAAAAATAATTTTAATTTCAGTTAGTTTAATAATCCCAGATATTATAATTTGTCCATTTAATCGTTTTAACAAAACTTATTTAAATTATTGGAATGTTAGCGATAATTTAGCACAATATTTGGAGGTATTTTTAAAAAAGAAAATATATTTAAATTTAATTTTAATTACTTTAAAGTTAGCATTTCCCCAAGCTTCCCAACATCCCTTTCAATACAAATCTTACAAAAATTTAATTGACAAAATAAATGAATTGGAAGAGGAATTAAATAAATTATTATTAAATATTGGAATTTCTTTTGCTGAATTTATTGATAAAGTTTTTAAATTTTAAAATTAAATTTTGGAGAGAAATTTGTCTTTTTAGGCAGCAATTAATTGTAAAGCATTTTTTGCGAGTGATAAATCAATTTGTGATAATTCAAAAGAATTAATGTCGATGACTGGAAAATGTTTTAGAATTAAAGGGGAAGAACAAAAAATTGATGGAAATGGACATCCACAAAAATTAATTTTAAATTTGCCAACGAAATTATTTAATCCGGCACCCAATCAAATGTTAAATAATGGAATTTTGGTTAAATTAGCTGAGAGAAATAAAGGAATAGATCATGACATGTAACTAATATTTAAATAAAAATTTGAACAAAAATTAAAAATAAAAGGTCATTTATACCTGCTGGGGTACATGCAATGATACAATTAACTGGTAAATAAATATTAGTGACCGGTAAAATCGATTTTTCCAAAACCGGATCCGGATTTGCAACTTGAGCCGGACCGTATCCTGCGGATTTTTCCGGATTAATCCGGTCCGGTTTTAATCCGGAAATTTAAAAAAAACTCTGTATTGGGACACGGACTCCGGAAAAATCATCCCGGATCCGGTCCGGCCCCGGTCACTAATAAATATATTTTAATTAAATGTTTAAATTTATTTTTTAAGCAACACGTTTTGAATTTAAACATTATCCCCCTCATTTCCTTTGTAGAGAAGAGGAAGAATCTTATTCCCGTGTTTGGTGTTTTGAGGTAATTTTTAATTAAGTCAAACAAAAAAATATTTTAATTTAAAAAAGAAATGTTTTCTTGAGGAAGCAGAAAAGAAATGTAATTGTTCTTTAGCGGCAGCTTCCCAACCTGGAAGTCCAAATATTTGTACACCCAGACAATTCTTTAATTGTTTTTATATTGTTTTACAATTTACAAATGCTAGTTATGTTGATGATAATGTTGCGGTAAGGGGAGGGGAGATTAATGAGGGGAGGGAGTTGGGGAAGGGAAGTGAAGGTAGGGGTGGGAGTTGGGGGAAGGAAGGAGGGGAGCTGAAAATTAGGGAGAAGGGAGGGAAAGAGGGAGGGGGGAGGGAGTTTTTTATTTCAAAATTAAATTAATTTAGAAATGTAAAACAATGTGTTTACCTCCTTGTCGAAATTGGAGATTTGATAAAACAATTAGTTATGGTAAAATAAATTAATTAAAGTTATTTTAAAATATTTTTTAAAGCTAATTTCCCATCTGAAGTTGCTAAACATTTTGTAAAAGACAAAACAAAATGGGAAAATTTACAAAATACAATAATGTACTAATTTTAATTAAAAATAATAAATAAATTAATTTAAAAATTAAAAGTTTGGATGTTTTTTACACAACACTTGATTACACAGTAATTCAACAAATGTTAACAATAACCCCGTCTTCATTTATTGCTCAACTTGGAGGTCAGTGGCTTCGACTGACCTCTAAGTTGGGAGGTCAGTCTAAAAGCTTGTTTAAACTTTTATTTTGAATTTACATAAATATACAGCCGGACCACAACAAAATATAAACCGAATAATTAGAATTTGGTTGGGGCCACAGGGGGAGAGATGTTTAAGCGATACGTCTAAGTGTGAATAACTATTGTAAATATAATTTTTCTCAAATTTAGTTCCCCCTCCTCCTCTTATTTTCTGTTGAAAATCTCAATTTTAGATATACTATTCAACTTTCAATTTCTTAAAACTAAAATCTTAAAAATTTCCAATTTTTAGGTCAAATTTCACTTTGGATTGGAGGCTCAATTATTTCAGTTATCCAATTAATTATTTATTTAATTAGTTATTTATTTGTTTATTTTCGTCGAACACGCCAAGAAACAATTAAAAGAATGAGAGAAAATAGAAAAAGAAGAAAAAGTGAATTATTTAATATTGAAAAAAATAAAAAAGAAATTGCTTTGGAAGGTGGATTACCTGAACCTGCAGAAATTGAAATTTTATGTCAAAAAGAAAAAAGAAAAATTAAAAGAAAAAATAAAAAAGAAGAAAATAAAGGAGGAGAAGAAATTAGTAGTAAATTAAAAAGGGAAATTAAAAGAAGGAAAAGAAGAAGAAAAATTGGTAAAGAAATTAAATTTGGTTAGTAAGTAGAGGATTTGTTGGGGATTAATTAAAAGATTAGAATGTACATACATAGTAGAAGGGTCGTCGAGATATTCGAAAAAGCTCGATGATCGAGATCCAGTCTCTAGGATATAATAGTTTGAAAAATTAAGAGAAACAAATAGGTTGTTCCTAGACTTGTCTTTTCCTTGATTGACTTGTCTTTCCTCGAGTTAACCCGGCACGATTTAATTCCCCTTTTTGTGAATTTTTTTTAATTTTTAAAACAAATGTTTCTTAATTAATTTCAGATTCTTCTCAAAAATCTGATAAAAATAATATTGAAAACTCTGATTATAATTATGAAATGGATGATGTTAATTGTATTACAGCAAGGGTTTGAATTGGGGGTCTCTTAATTTATATAAAATTTTCTGTGCAAAAATGTTTATTCATTGAATAATTTTTAAAATTTATAAAAGCTTTATTTAATAAAATAATTTTTTTGACATAAATTTATTTATAATTATGGGAATGTGAGAACATTTTTGTGAGTAAAAAAGCTAAAATGGAATGTTTAAATGGCTAATATTTATTTTTTAAGGGTTTTCATAAAAATTTATAGAGAATTTCAATAAAATTTTTCAATTATGCTATTCTAAAAATAAATCTTTTGATGTGCCAAATTTAAAAAATTAATTCAAATAAAAATTTATTTTCCAAACTTTTGGCACACCATAACTTTAAAAGAAACTAAAAATTTTCACAAACACATTAAAATCCTAACAAAAAATTATGGAATGTTTCTCTAAAACCCAAAAATTTTCAAAAAATTCAAATTCCAAGTTCTTCTTTTTCAAAGGATTCCAAAAGCAAATCAACTTGATATTCACGTCCTCCTTGTTTAACAAAATCAAGAAGTTCCAACATGTGTTTAATGCCAAATGAAAATTTAACTTTATTTAATTTATTCTTAATAGAATTAATTTCTTTTGTCTCAAATCCACCAGTCTCTTCCAAAACAGCACAAATGTGTTCTGGTTTGGTGAGACATTCTACATTAATTATTGAACTAAAAGAATAAAGCAAATTAGCTTCACGAAGAAAATGCTCAGTTGAAGTAGTTGCAATTATGAGAAGACGACGATTCTTTAAAAATTAATTTCGTGAAACTTGATAAATTTACGGGATTAAAATCGCATAATGTCAAGAACCTAGTCTCTATCTTGTTTCCAGGTTTTCTGTGGAAATCTATAAAATTAATGTTCATACGAAAGAGCTATAGAACCGAGTCTACTGAAATCGAAATCTGATTGAGGAAAAACATGCGCTGTTACGGAGAGTAAGCCAGGCATGATTCTCCCTACAAGATGGCCGTCCTTGCCTCGGTAGCGGTAGTGTAGTGAGGTGGTGGTAAAAAAACTCGATTAGGGGTCCCATTTTGGGGTTCAAAAAATATTTGTAAAGTTAACTTTACCTTTGGAGGACGTTTTCCAAGTAGCACCAAAAGAGCTTGAAGCACCAAATTTGAATATCTGGGTCCAATTGGTGAGTAATCAAGTAATCGTTCAATATTATCAATAATTATACAGCCAAGAGGAGATTTATAAGCATCTTCAAATATTTTTCGAAGTTGAGAGCATTTTGCTGATTCAGTATAGCCAACCATATCTTCAGGAGAGCAAACTTTGATAAATGGAAATTCGGATTTTTTGGCAATATGTGCGGCCAAATAAGTTTTTCCACTGTTTGCCGGGCCTTAAAATTATTAATTTTAAAATTATTTATAAAATACTAAATTATTACCAGCCAGCAGAGCTCTCACGAAGCCTCTAGTATCTGGAGCAGCAGTTTCTTTAATAAGTAGGTCACCTGACTCAAGTACTTTTGTAACTGAATCGCCCCAACAAATAAGCCCTCCATAAAGTAAACGGCCCAAGTCTTCGTCGTTATGACCAAATGCCTTTAATATTTTAGTTTAGAAAGTAAAAATTAAAAACTTACAGGTTTGACATCATGCTCCAATGCGTGTTCAAAATCATCACTAGTAATCATTAATTTCTCAACAGCATCCTCATCAACTTGAACTTTCCCACCAGCCTTTACAAGTCGATTCATTGCTGAGGATTGAGCTGCTCTTACAAGTCCTTCCAATTCAGCACCAGAGAAATTTTTTGTTTTATGGGCAAGTTCAGCAATATTAACACTTGGATCAAGTTTATTGTATTCTCTATAAATCTCTAAAATTAAATAATAAGTTAAAAATTGACCTCATCCTAGCAGTATGAATCTTGAGTATTTGAACACGTCCATTCTCATCTGGCAATGAAATTTCCAATTGAACTTCAATTCTGCCAGGACGGAGAAGAGCCTCATCAATCATATCCTAAATTTTTAAATATTTTGTAAATACTTTTAAATTAAAAACTTTTCGGTTAGTCATCCCAATGACGAGGATATTGTTTAATTGTTCAACACCATCCAATTTTGTAAGAAGCTGATTAACCACAGTATCATGTACTCCCGTTGCGCCAGTCTAAATAATTAAAAATTTTTAAAAATGAATTCAAACCATAGATCCTCTTTGCTTGCAAATTGCATCAATTTCATCAAAAATAATTATATGAAGTCCAGAATTTGAACCGCAACGACGCCATTCTTCCTCAGCATCAGCAAATAATTTTCGCATTTTTGATTCAGATTCCCCAACAAATTTGTCTAAAATTTCAGGTCCATTCACAATTTTAGGTTCACGAGCATTAAGCATTTTTCCGATTTGACGAGCAATAAGTGTCTTTCCGGTTCCCGGAGGACCAAAAAGAAGAATTCCACGAACGTGTTTCATCGCTATTTAATTAGAATAAATTAACAAATATTGAAAAATCACTCACCCAATTGTTCAATAAATTCCGGAGGAAAGACACGCGATGCAAACGCACGTCTAAAAATATCAGAAAATTCTTTATCCAATCCTCCAATTCCCATCTGTTGAAAATCCCAATCTGGATTAATTAGAGCTTTGTGTGTCGATTTTCCCTTTGAACGGCCAATTAGATTTAGTTGAGAACCTTCTGAAGAACGATCAAAAATAACAACAGCATTTGGGCTCAAAGGACCGAAATGACACTAAAAATAATTTTTTGATAATAATTATATTTTTATAAACCTCTTGTGGTTGTGAATTAAATGTAATTCCCTCCATTTTTCTCACAAAAAGTTTCAGCGTATAAACAGTCGGCAACTTGTCATTTTGTTGTTGTCCTCTTCGTTGCTGACTAAATTCAAAAACCAATTCCTGATCCTTTGTGAAAGCCATATTCGCAAACTGCATCAGAAACTCACGAGCCATCTGATCAGAATCCAATGGCTCCGTAGGATTTGCACTAAAAATATTTTAGTTTTATATTCACAAAAATATATAATTACGGCTTTTTCATAAAATCAACAGTCAGATTTATGAAAGTTATAATTTGTTGCCCAGGAGGAAAAGAATAAGGATGGACCTGAAAAAATATTTAAAAAAAATTAAATTTAAGAGAATAAAAAACCTGAACAATTTGCTCCAAACCAACATTTGTCCAACGTCGTTGAGGCAAAGAAAAACCAATCTCCCCTGGCTGAATCCCATTATGATTGGCAAATGAGAAAATATAATTATGTGCAGGGCCAGTTATAACTCGAACATAGCTAACAAAGAGAAGATAAAAATATTCCGAAATTAAGAAAACCTGGTAAGTGCTGCATCTAAATCATGTTGATTTAAATAAACTTTGTTCGTTAAAGAAGTCTCCGTAGTTGGAAGTTTAGAAATACGCAATTTTAGTATGCTCATTATAACTAAAAAATGATTTATGTAAAATTAAAATTATAAAAGTAAGAATACATAAAATGGAAAAATAAAATGATCTTATTTTATACATAATTTTCTTTTATTAAACTTTAGGGGCGCGGTTTAAGACAGCGAATATTCTCTTTGTATCAAAAATGTGTTAGAATTTATAATTTATGCTCCATATTGTTTACTTACTCATCATTTAGAATAAATAGTACAGCATTTAAATGTCGTCTAATCTTAATTTTTGCATAAAAATACATAATTAAAAACTTTTTGCAAAGTAGTATGTATTAATGGTGGCCACCAGATACATAGTAAGACAATTTCACATTGGCTAGTCCCATAGTAGACTGCTATAATTTTAAGCCTGCGCTAAACCAGACCGCGCCAAGTTGACTGTATAATGTCTCTCTTATATTAACCATTCTATTTTCACGTGCGCCAATTTCACGTTTCACTGCAGTTTCAGCCAGTTGACGCACGCGTGAAAACTAGCTAAATCTTTTCCTTAAACATAACGCCAAAATTTAAGTTTAAATGTCTATCTACTCTCTTTATTTTATTGCGTCTCTCGTGCGTCTGACTTTATTGTAAACAAGAGAAAGGGTCAGAAGTGAAAAATGACAAAAGGTTCAGCAACTAGGAAAATCCTAATTAAACAAGAAATTTTAGAGAGAATCTTGAAACAGAGAATTTTAAAACAATTATCTATGAAATGGTTTGAACAAAATTTCAAAAATTTGTGATAGTTTTCGAGATACGGAATTTTAAAGTTTTATAAAATTTGTCCTCGCAGTCGCGAAAAAGAGTGCAGAAAAGAAAGAGAGACAATTAGAGAACGAAAGAAAGTAGAAATAGAAAACTAACTTAGTTTTCACGCGTGCGTCAACGGGCTGATAGTGCTGTGCCGTTTAACCAGCCTTGATGAAATTTTGTTATTGTTTGATAAAAGATATGAGTCATTTTCCTTTATATGTATGTATGTAAGTTATTGACGCGAATGATATCATTTTATGAATTTATGATTAAAGTTTTAATTTATTTAGAAATTAAAAGCTTCTTTTGAACTTTTTAAATCAATTTATTAAAATGTCTTTGAATACATCCAATACACCAGATGGTCGCGGTGTGATAATTTACAATGGTGAAATGTAAGAACTACATAAATTATAACAAAGATAATTAATATTTAAATTTCAGAATCCTTTTGTTTGTTCGCGAAGTTAATTTAAGTTTTGATAAATACACAGCACCGGAATTTAAAGGAACTAAAAAGGGAAATCTTTATTTGACTTCACATCGAGTTTATATTTTTAATTTTTTAGTTAAAACAAATTTAGATTATTTTCAATAATGTCACCGAGCCTAATAGCAATTTCAAATCGCTCTCAATGCCCTTTGTTTCTTTGCGTGACATTAAACTTGAGCAGCCAATATTTGGGGCAAATTATCTACACGGTGAATTGATCGCACAGCCAGATGGAAACTGGCAAGGAGAGGCGTCTTGGCGTTTAACTTTCAAGCGTGGAGGTTGTATTGACTTTGGGCAGGCATTATTGAAGAGCGAAGAAATGAGTCTGTATTTTGATTAAATAATTCTTAAAATCCTCTTTTAAGCACAAAATTATGCTCGTCGACCATTTGATGCGCCACCGCAATATGCGCCTCCTGCAGGTGATTATTACGCAGCGCCACCAACATACTACTGGACAGGTGGAAATTATAATGGGTATCAAGCACCCACTCATGTATTTAATGAACAGCCGCCAGGTTGATTTTTTTAAATTTGATTGATAACTGGAATTTTGTTTTCAGCGGAGAGTGTCTATATGTGGGACTGCCCACCGCCGTATCCAGGAATGGGACAGGCTGTTCCCAATCCACCACCGCAAAATCAAACAGGCGGGAGCGTTGGTCCTTCAGCGCCACCATATCCAGCTGGAGGTCCACCACAATATCCTACAAGCGGCACTCATGGAGGAGCACCATATCCAGCTGGCAATTCACCTTATCCGACTTTAGGTGGAACGCCATATCCAACTGGTAATCCACCATACCCAGCTGGCGGTCCACCGTCTTACAATCAAGCAACTGCTTTGCCACAAAAAGTCCATACAGATTAAAGAATTTATTTGATGAGTTGAAGACTTTGTAAATGAAATATATTTCTAACTTTGAGGGAATTATATTCTTATACGCCTGCCATTGGTTGATATCTTTTATTAATTGGAGATCAAAAATTTTTATAACCGTTTTAAGTAAAAATAACCGGCGGCTGGTTTAGTATTTAAACATTCCTTTGACAAAAACACATCACTAGATTTTTTCTAGTTTTATGATTTAAATTATCTAAAATATGTATACTTTCGAGTAAAAATGTATTTTTAAAATTATCAGATAAATAAATACCATTTTATTCTTAAATAGTTTGAATTCAAAAACAAAAACATTAAAAATAATAATAAAAGCTCGCCCAAGATACGTATGGGGAACAATAAACCATTAGAAAGGTCAAAAAAGTTTTAACAGTTAGTCATTCAAGACGAGACCGTTTCGGTGAAATTTCAATATCATCACTTCCGTCCTTCATTCCATCCTCATTCATACAAACCTCTCTAGTTTCTTGAGCTGTTGATGGTCGTTTTCGTTTTAGCTCTTAAATATAACAGTAAAATTTTAAAATAAATAAAGGGATTCAGCGAAAACAAACTACCCTAGCTTATATCTAAACTAAATATATTTTTGGACATTCAAGAAAAATACCACAGAAATACTAAATTGAAAAAATTAGAACCTTCATCCTTATCCAAAGCATTCTCGTTGTCCAGCGCTGTAGCAGCAATCTTTCCGGTTACAGATTCCTTAAAAACAAACAGTAATTAAGTTTATAATTAAAAATTATTTAAAAAACCTCAACATTTCCAACATTAGAATCAACAGCAAAACCATCAGCGTCAAGTTTATCGTCATGGAATATAATTATTTTAAAGTTTAGTTGTTGGGCATAATCATCGCATTCCAATTGAGAACCATTCAAAACACCCAATGATTGAAGTGTTCGATCCATTATACCTTAATTTTGTTTAGAACTCAAAATTATTTTAAAGATTTTACCATCAGTTTCTCCTTCCTCACTAGAAATTAATACACGATGTTTTTGACAAATATCCATAACATCTGGTTTTAACATATTAAGAGTTTTGAGAAGTATTGTAGACAAAAATGTTTTTAATAACATTTTCTCCAAATTCACTCGAATAAGCACTTGACCTTTAACTGAACAAACATAACAATTCGGATTTGGTGGAGCTGGTTTTTCATCAACAAGGATTTTGCCGCGAGGATTTGGCTGACGGGTGATAAAAATCTAAAATTTTAAATTTTTGTTAAATTTTTCACAGTTAAGAATCATTAGAAAATATTAACTTACTGCTCTACATTTATCAAGTTGTCCACAAATAATCTTTAAAGCTTCAACAACAACCATCCCCGCAACACAAGCATTTGTTGTAGCAATTGCTGGAATAATATTTCCCGCCATTGCTAAAAATTATTTTATTTTAATTTTTAAAAACTAAACAAACCCTTTATATTAAACAAAGTATCAATTCCAATATGAAAAATATGAGCACGTAAATTAGCACAAGCAGCCACAAATCTCATTGCTGCATCGTCATCCTTATCCCAAACAAGAGTATTTTTGTCTGATTGTTGTTGAATTTCTTGATATTTACGTGCTAATTCAACTGTAGATTCTTCAAAAATTTGGGCCCAACGAGAAATACTCCATTGAGTATTTGGGTCTAATGAAGCCTTTTCTACATTACTACCGCCAAGACCTTTTAGTTTAGAAAAATATATTTAAAAAAAATATTTTAAATTTACCTGAAGAAACAAGTTCAGAAAATTTGATAGGAGTAGGTTTCTTCCTTTCTTTCCATAAATCAGCCATCAAAAGAAGATAATTGATGTCAGTATGAAAAAGCTTAAAAAGGAATAACATGAAACTTTTAAATTAAATTTGAATTAAAATTTTATAATTCAATTAAAGGGATTAAAATTTAAAATAAATAAAGTTAGGAAAAATCCCACAAAAAAGGCCTAAAATAATAATAAGAGGAAAAAATATTTTGAGGTTAAAGATATAAAATATTTCAAATTTTTAATTTCAGAACTACCTTGTCAAATAAATGTTTTGGTTCATATCCATTATGTTCTGCCAACTGTCGTGTATTCAAATGAATTTTTGGTTGTTCAATGTGTTCATTACTTCCATTTGCAGAATTTTCCTTTGCTGTATGATGACCATTTGTTGGAGCATTGTCTGTTGAAGAATTTTCTGAAACAGTTGGTAAAGATTCCATAGAGTCCATTTCAGGAGAAACATCATCATCTGGATCATTTTCTCCAAAAAGTTGGCTGAACGAAGAAATGTTAAAAATAAATTTAAAAAAAGGTAAGTCTCGAATATGGCTCCCGAACGAAAACACTTGAATCATATGATATTAAAAGAGCACATCAGGCAACCCTGTATCTCAATCTAGTTTTTCCCGCAAAATAATTTTGGTGTAATGCGAACCAAAACGAACTCTTACGAATGACATATGATTAAAGTGTTTTCGTTTGGCAGCCATATTCGAGACTTTTTCCAAAAAAACAAACTTGAAAGCACTTTTTGCCCAAACAATGCAGTGAATTAATTCAGATGGAGTATTTCGAATAGTGCAACTTGGAAATGTCTAAAATGTCTTTATTTGAATATTTAGAAAAAATTCAAAAACCTTCTGAATAGGTTTCGGAGTGCAATCATAACATTCAGTTCGGCCTTTAAGAATTACAGAAACTTGCCCTAAATAACCAGCAGAACCACTCTCGACAAGAGGAACATCTGCAACCAAACAAAGTCGATTAACATGACTGCGTGCTGCTGAAAAATGTTAAGAAAAAGAAAAATTTAAAAATACAAATTTAAAAAACCTCTATTGTCCAGCGCACTCATAATCAAAGAAAAATTTCGAAAAAAGTTAACCCCAAATTTTTCATTCATAATTGAATCATGATAAAAAGTAATATTAACATCTGGTGACATTTGTTTAACAACAGAGCTTGCAATTTCTGCTTTTGATTTGCCTACATGTTCTTTACGAAAAAGAAATTGGCGGTTAAGATTACTAATTTCAATTGTGTCAAGATCAATCTAAAAAAATAAATTTTAAGAAATCTTTGAAAAATAATTAAACTTACAACTGTGATATTTTTAAAACCTGACATTACAAGATTCTTTAATAATTCACATCCAATTCCTCCAGCCCCAATAACAAATACTTTACTTTCGGCTATTTTCTTTTCAAAGTCTGGATCATTAAAAGAAATCATTTTTTGTTATAATTGTAGAAAATTAGAATAAACCTTTAAAAATTAAAAATAAAATATTAAATGAAAAATATATTAGCAAAGGATAACGATGGTAAGGCTTTGAATTAGACAAAAAAAAATTTAGAAAAAAAAATAAAATTTTTGGCACTAGAATTTTAAAAATAAATCCTATTAAAGTGTCAAGACTCTATTAAACCCTTTCGAAAAATTTTGTCTCGCGCCTAAATTTTTTTCGCACATTTGAGGCTAGAAAAGTATTTCTCATCTGTTTTTGATTAAACAACAAAGAATGGTTTAGAAATGAATCCTTTGCAGTTTAATGAAGGAATAAACAATTCTATTGGTAAGTAAAAATTTATCAAATAATTATTTGCAATATTTTATCTTTTTGTAAAGGCTTCTCTGAAGGTAATCCTCCTCCTCCTTTTCAACAACCATATGTTCCACCTGTTCGCTATTTGGAAGGAGGGGATGCACAACCAGTTGCTCCACACTTTCCAATTCAACAACATCAGCAACAGAGAGGATCTATGCAAAGACCTAGCAGCACTGATGCAAATAGCACAATTGCTAATTATTTGATGCATTTTGTTGTGGTAATTTAATTCTGTTTTCAAATTTATTTAAATCATCTACTTTTCCTATTTTTTAGGACCATGACCGGGAATTCAGCAAAAAAGCAATTGAAAGTTTAATTAAAAAATTAAAAGATAAACGTGATGAATTAGACGCTTTCATTATTTCTGTCTCTTCCCTTGGCCGGGTCGAAACAAAATGTATTACAACTACTCGAACACTTGACGGGCGTTTGCAGGTTTTGAATCCTCTTAAAATTTCTATTTGTTTTTAATTTTAGGTAGCTGGACGTAAAGGTTTTCCACATGTTGTCTATGCAAGAGCATTTCGTTGGCATGATTTGCATAAAAATGAACTTAAACACAGAAATATTTGTGTTTTTGCTTTTGATTTAAAAGGCGAACAGGTTGATATTTAGACCATTTTTATATTTTCAAATTTCTATTGTTAGGTGTGCGTAAATCCTTATCACTATGAGAGAGTAATTTCTATTGAAGGAGGAACGACAGATTTACATTCACCTTCAGGGTTGTTTTTATCTTTTTTATCTGAATAATTCTTTTATAGAATGACTCCATGTGGAGAGCGTTCAGGAATCTCTCCAGAATGTAAACAACTTCCATTACTCCATCGGGGACCAGGAAGACCCCCTAATGCTCTCAAACAACATTTACAACAATTAACTCCAACACAGCAACCAAATTCACAACAATCTGCTATAACATCTGTACTACGTGCACATTTAAGCCCTAACTTCCCAGCACATTTGAATACTCATAATCAACAACTAAATAAGCATCAACAGACTAATCAAATAATTTCGACTCATGTACAACAAAAACAACAATTTATTCAACAAAAACAATTACCTATAGATCCTCAAAGTAATTAATAATTCTCGCATTCCCCGGCTTTTGAGGACAGGGATGGGGTACATCCCTAGCGGAATACCGACCAGCGCGTTTTATTTAACTTCTAAATTTATTTTTAGATGAAATTCCGTCATCGACACTACAACATTCCCAACAAAGGCTGCAAACACCTCCACACTACCCACGTTCAAATGCACCTCTTATAATGGTTAATCCTTATCAATGATTAAAAAATATTTTTTAGTCTTCCAATCCCGCATCTTTAAAAATGGCATCTCTTCCAAGCGTCTCAGCAACTTCTAATTTAATTACAAATCAACCCCAACATTGTCCTATACAGCAAAATTATCAACAACCTCTTAGTGTTGTTAATCCATTTGCTGAGTTTGGTGGTATTATTATGGAACCATTGAATTCGTCCGTTTCTAATAGTACTTGTGGTAGTCCGCGTCGAATACTACAATCAGCGTCACCACCACAAGCAACTAATTTTATACAAACACATGTTTATTTCTTTATTTTTTAAGTAAAATTTTTCTTATTTAGCAACAACATCCACTTCATTACAAACAAAACATCTCATATCCCTCTTCATTTCCACAATTTCTGGATCTTACGTCAACCGTAGAAAGCAAACCAATTGTACCAAAATATATTTATGGATTGGATAAACTTAACAATTCAAAAAATAGACCGTCAATCTCTGATAAACCATGTATCTACTTTTTTTATTTAGAAAAAATACTTGACAAAATATCTTTTTATTTAATTTTAGTTCCAATTTATTGGTGTGCTATTAGTTATTATGAATATGATCGAAAAGTTGGTGATACTTTCCAGGCAAATTCTGAGTTTTCCAAAGTTTTTATTGATGGCGGTCTGAATAGTTCTGATGGTTCTAGATTTTGTCTGGGGTCATTGACAAATACTGTTCGAACTGATGCTGCTGAAAAGTGCAGGTAAATTGGCTTATATATTTTCCTTTTACAGATTTTTTTATTTTACAGGATGAATCTGGGCCGTGGTATTTGTCTTATGTTGAAAGGGGAGGGCGATGTTTGGTTAACTGTTTTAAGGTTTTTTACCAATTCTATTTGGTACTTTTTATTTTTCTAAATTTTTAGTAAATATCCTGTATTTGTTCAAAGTCACTATTTGGACATGTTAACTGGCCGTGAAGAACCTTGTCATGCTCATAAATTTGTTCAATATACGACTGTTAAGGTTTTATATTAATTCAATATGTCAGACATGATTTTAAAGATTTTTGATCTTCAAAAATGTTATGAATGCTGGGAACATAGCAGTTTGGAAAGAAATGTTAATAGACGCTTGAGGCAGGATCAAATGATGAGAAGACAGCAACGATTAGAATTGGGTGTTCCACTTGTTGGTGAAGGAAGTAATCATCAACTTGGAGCAATTAGAACTAGTGAAAGGAGTGATGAAGAAGTTACAAATTATCCTTTAATTAAAAAAATTTTTTTTTTAATTTCAGACCACAACAGATGATCCCGGCGTTGATGATTTTCGTCTTTTGTGTACCTTAAATATTTCTTTTTTTAAAGGATTTGGACTAAGTTACCCTCGGCGAACTATTCATGTAAATTATTTTAATAAATAAATTTGTTTTGTTTTAATATTTTTAAACTCTTTTAGGAAACGCCCTGTTGGATAGAATTGCAATTACATCGGTATTTATAATTTAAACGATATTTTAAATTTTATTTTGTATATTCAGAGCTCTTCAAATTTTGGACGAAGTGTTGAATATGCACGATTCGTTTAATTAATTTTATAATCGATTGACATTCAATAATTCCATTTTTATATTTTATAAATTTTTACATTCATGTACAATAGATAAATAAATTTATTTTTGATTTACATTATTGTAAATTATTTGTACGTTTTAATTAACGTTTATTATTTTCGTTTTTCCAATGTTTATATTTTTATTATATTGGTTCATTTTCTTCAGGTAACACTAGAAAAACGAATCCATTATGACTTTTAATAAACTTGTTTTGGATGGAAAACGTGCAATTATTGGCTCATCTAAAGGTTTGTAAAGTGTATCTGAATTCCTTAAATCATTTACGTTTTGTACAAAATCTTAGATATGATCAAACATGGAATTTTATTGTTGGAACGGGCGCTTCTAATCGGTTCCGAGGATCAACAAATAATTGCGGATATCAATTATCAATTAGGTTAATAATTATTTAATAATTCTTAAATTATTCTTTATTAGGCAATGCTTATTTTTCTCTACATGATTTTGAACAAGCGAAGAATTTCTTCATTAGTGATTTGACTTTTTCCAAGTATTTTTATTTTTAAATATTTTCATTAAAATATATTTAGGCCAGGGCTCCGATCGACAAAATGCCACTCAAAAGTATCAAAATCTTGTAAAAAAAGTACATAGGGAGAAAATTTGCAAATAAAAAGTACACTCAAAATTAAATTTGAAAATATTTATTCGTGATCAATCTTTTATATTTCTCTCCTAAATTAATCTTTTCTAATAATTTCTTGTTTCAACTGAGCATTTTGTGCATTTCATTGCATGACATGTCAAAATTTGCTGTCACATGAAGCAAAGCTCTGACAGTCTTAACCTCAAGCGAGTTTCTTTCCTTCGTCCATTGAATGTTTGCCATTGAGAAGCGCCGCAGGCGAAAATTTTTTGAAATTTGGAGCCTAAGAAGCCAGATTTCTTCTTTTTCAGCGCCGCAGGCGAAAATTTTGAGAATTTTGGAGGTCCTTAAGCCAGATTTCTTCCATTTTTTGCGCCGCAGGCGAAAATTTTGAGAATTTTGGAGGTCCTTAAGCCAGATTTCTCCATTTTTTGCGCCCAGGCGAAAATTTTGAGAATTTTGGAGGTCCTTAAGCCAGATTTCTTCCATTTTTTGCGCCGCAGGCGAAAATTTTGAGAATTTTGGAGGTCCTTAAGCCAGATTTCTTCGTTTTTTCAAAAATGTTGATAAAAAAGTACATACTTTCAAAAAAGTACAAATTCAATTTCGGAAGTACGAAGGTCGATAAAAAAGTACAATACTTTTAAAAAAGTACGAATCGGAGCCCTGATTTAGGCAATCAAAAAATGAAGAGAAAGAGGCCGAAGCATATTCTAATTTATCTGTAGCCTACGCAATGTAAATTTATGAATAAAAAGTTTAAAATTTAACAAATTATTTTAGGCTCCTTGACTTTGATAGTTCAATTTTTTGTGCTGGAAGAGCTATTATTCTAGGAGCAAGATTAAATGATGATGTTATTTTAATTTTTAAATATTTTTCTAAAACATTTTTTAAAGAGGAATTACACAAAGGGGAATTACACAAAGAAAAACTTAGATTATTCAGAGTCCTTAAAGAAAGAAAACATGATCACGAGTTGAAACTTGAGTATAAAATCGTTTCAAGAAACTTGAAAAAACAATTAAAAATTCACCATAATACTAAGGAAGAAAAAATAATAAATAAAGGTGGAACTTCGATACATAAGTTTATTAGAAACAGACTTACCCAAGATAATAACATACCCTGTTTAATTGATAAAGAAAATAAATTTTACTTTAGTAATGAAGAAAAATGTAATATTTTAGGAAAAGAATTTCAAAAAAACTTCCAAAATAAAAATATTAATCTATCGAATTATAACAGAAATATAATTCCGAAAACAAAATTTTTAGACATAGATTTAAGTACTAGCATTGTGTGGGATGTCCTCAGATCACTTCCTAATCGTAATTCAACTTCTCCAGATAACATTCCTTATATATTATTAAAATATTGCGCTGACACACTTGCAAAGCTAATCACAGATATCTTTAGATGTATTATTGATAATGGGCAAATTCCATCAATTTGGAAATCATCATTTATTATTCCATTGTATAAAAAGGGAGAAAAATCAGATCCAAAAAATTATCGTCCAATATCGCTAACATGCACCTTATGTAGGGTTCTTGAAAGAATTATTGCACAGCAATTAACAAAATTCTTAGAAGATAATAAGTTCTTTAATAAAAATCAATTTGGATTTCTTAAATCAAGATCCACAACCACACAGTTATTATCTACCATGGATGATTTCTATAATGCAATACAAGATGGATATAGCATAGATATTATTTATATAGACTTTGCTAAGGCATTTGACACTGTACCAATAAATATTCTTTTAGATAAATTAGAAAAGGCAGGCATAAGTGGAAAAGTTTATACTTTTCTTAAAAACTTTATATCGGATAGGAATTTCAAGATTAAGATAGGTGACCAATTATCCCAAAACTATGAAACATTATCGGGTGTACCTCAAGGAAGTGTCTTAGGGCCACTTTTATTCCTTATTTTTATAAATGATCTTCCTAATGAAATCCCTGAAAATGTTGGAGTAAAACTATATGCAGACGATGTAAAATTATATATAGCTCATAAAAACGGCATAGAAAGAGATCAACTTAATAAAGCTTTATTTAAACTTGAAAAATGGACAGAAGATAATGGTTTAGAAATATCCCCAAATAAATGCTATGTTTTATATTTAGGTAAAAATAACATGAAAAAAGAGTATAGCATTCATGGATTAAAAGTACAAGAAACAGAATGTATTCGTGATCTTGGAGTATTAATTGATTCAAAAATATCATTTAATAACCATATAAATATGATTATAAAAAACGCATATCTAAAGAGCTTCCAAATAATAAGAATAATTAAATCTAGAGATTTAAATCTCCTCGTTAATATATATAAAACATATATAAGATCCCAACTGGAATATGCAACTGAAGTATGGAATCCACAAATGAAATATCAAATAGATAAAATCGAAAAAATCCAAAAACTATTCACTAAAAATATTTACAAAAAATGCGGCTTAGTTAAGGTCCCATATGAAGAAAGATTAATTACCTGTAAACTCGAAAAGTTAATAGATAGAAGAAAGGTTGCCGATCTATCCACCGCCTTTAAAATTATAAAAGGCTTTACATCTCTTAATTCCCAAAAATATTTTAATTTATCAAATAGATCTCTTCGCAGGCCTCTACTTCTTAGGACAAAAAAATATATAAATAGAACAAAAAATAATTTTTTTTCACAGAGTGGTAAATAACTGGAATAATCTTCCAAATGAGTCATTTAAATTAACTGATCCGAAAAAATTTAGAAGTTTTATTAAACAGTATTTTAATGATAAAGTAAAATACTAAAGACATAAAACCCTAGCGTGTGTGTTTTTTTAGAGTGTTTTTTTTACTATTTTCTTATACATATTTTTTAATTTTTTTAAATTTATTCATGTTTTTGCTTGTTGTTTTTTCACATATTTTTTCAATTTGTATATTTTTTTATGCACCACTTTAATGTATTTTAAAATACCTGTGGTTTGCTGATAAATAAATAAATAAATAAGATTCTCAAAGGCCGTGGATATTATAATTGTGGCTTTGCCTATTTACAGGATGCATTGACTTGTTCTGAGGCTGACGACCACTTGGATGAAAATGCTCATTTATATAATCAATATATTACAGAGCAACTTCAAAAATCTATTTTTTCTTTCAAGTAATCTAAATTTTAAAAATTGATGTGGAATCATTTTACAAGTTTTTAAATTCTAATTGTTCTTTTTAAATTTAGAGAATATTTGTCAATTATGGAAAGACAGCAAGATAAAAAAATTAGTGGCCTTGCTCTTGGAAATCTTGCGAATGCTTATTTTTGCTTGTCTGAATATAATAAGTCAATTGATTGCCTTGAAAAGGTTTTTTAAGTAAAAATTTTATTTAAGAAAATTTATTTTTAAAGAGATTAGCAATAGCTCGTGAATTGGATGATAAGTCAGCTATTGGTATAACTTTGATAAACATTGCAAAAGCTTATAGTAAGCTCGGAAATCATGAGCTTGCAGAGAGGAATTTGCTGTATGTTTTTTTAAATAAAAATAAAAAATATATTAAAATTTTAAAGTGCCGCCCAAAGAATTTCAAAAGGACCTGACTTTCCCGAGGATCAAAGGCCGAAAATTGAAGTCGAATTGGAGAATGTAAATAAACCTTTAGATGAAAAAAGAACAATTGATGGTACTTACAATTAAATTTATTTTCATATAATTTTGAAAATATTTTTTATAGATTCATTATCGCTTTCAAGTAAGCGATCACCTTCTAGTAGAGCTAGCAGCCATAGGCGCAAATCAATATTCAAAAATTGGAAGAGTGTAACGAATTTAGACTCACTTGGTTCGAGGAAGGCAAAAGTTGGTTTTAGCATTTTTATTTCGTTATTTTTGTCCCCTGAAAGAGTTTGGTAGAAGAAAGATTTGTTAAAATTTTGACATTTGTTTTCCTAGCTTATTTTAATATTTTCAGAAACGTTTTTTGCAAAACAAAGTTTCAACCGACCTCGGGGACGCAGAAAATGACGGAGAATTCATGATGGAGCTGATTGAGCGGTCTAACAAGCAACTCGATGATCAACGTGTTTGCCCAGAGAAGATTACCATCCCATTGAATTTTGATGATCAGAGTTTAAACTCTGACTTTGGTAAATTATTCTTTTTTATTTCTTTATAACTTATAATTTTAGCATCATCCAGTGGTAACAGCCGACGTCTCTCATTGCCAAGACATACATTGGCTAGTATGAAGAGCGGCGCCATCAAAAGTGTGACCAATGTACCGAAATTCTTCTCCGGAAAAAATGCAAAAAGATTTTCGAAGAAAGGGAATGTTTCTGATGATGCCAGTTCGTCAAAGGGAGGTAGCTTGACTAGCCGAATTTTAAAAATGGAGGTTAAAGATGACTAATTTTATTTTCACTACTTTTGATTCTCATTATTTATTGTAAAATAAACAACTAAAATAATTTTCAACTTTCCATTGTCTCTCGAATTTTATTTTAAATACAAAGATTATTATTTGTGATTTAGAAAAAAAATTAAAAGTCATTCTGCTAGATATTTTTGCTATTTGGGAGGACTAGGAAAAAACGAGTCAGGATCCAATTTTTACTTGGGGATATTTTTCAATCTCAAAACGTTTTATTAAAAATTTAATTAGAAAAACCTCCCAAAAAGTCAAAAATAAAACAAAAATACATATAAAAGAAAATGTGGGCTCTACTGGGATTAATGAAAGACATATTATGGAGGAGTTTAAATATTAATTATCAAGTGATTAAAAAATAAAGGGTTACCCGCATACCTATATTTAAATACAATATACCTAAAAAATTACCTATTTTCTACTTTTTTTTAAAATTAAACAATCGTTATTGGAGTTTCTTTCTTTTCCCCACAAAGTTTATTGTTGTAATCATCCCTAACACGTCCAGTCCATTCAAAATAACCACTTGCATCATGAGAAGAAGGTAATAAAATATGTCGAATAAATGTTCGATTTCCAACGTCTAATCCAAGAAAGCGACGCCAATTCTCATGAAAATGTTCATTTCGGCAAGGAAAAAAGAACATATTCACTAAGCCTTTTAATGTTGGAGCATTGATCTGTGAGGAGAAAAAGATGTTAATTTTTGAAAATTTTTTGAATACTAAAGTTTAATTTAAATAAAACCCCCCAATTATAACCCCCAATTTAATTATTCATAATTAAATAAAAAAAACTTACAATAACCCCCAAATAAGTATCACCAAAACTAATCAAAACAAAATTCCAATAGAAAAACCCTCCAATCATTACAAAAACAATAAGACAAAGCAAATAAGCCGCAAAAATTATCGAAACCAAAGTTGAAGGCCCATGTCCACAAATAAATTCAAACCAAGGCAATTCTTTTGCAAGAACATCAGAATCACAAAACATTTTATTTGTTGTAAATGCCTTTTTTAAAAAAAATTTAAAAAAATATAAAATAAAAACATACTTTCCAATAATTATAATAAAAAGTATTTGAAGCAGCCAAAACAAATGTTCCACATCCCAAAGCAGTAAAACCAATAAATTGAAGAAAATAACGATGATTACATGCACCAACGCATTGATTAAGCCAAATACAATGGTGATCCATATTTAACTATTTTTTAAAAATAAATAAACATTACTCTAATAGAAAATTTTTGAAACATTCCCCCTACCCTCTAAAAAGGTAAAAAATAACCACTACAAAAATCTTGATAAGGAGAATATATCTATAACCCTTTTATCAAAAAACAAAACAAACCACACAAATTCCGCAGATCGAACAATGATGAGCATTTACAGGTTTATGATTATTACAAATAAAGCACCGAGGTAAAAGATCACTCTAAATTATTTTTAAAAAAATATTTTCATAAAATAATTTAAACAAAAAAACCTTTTTAGGACTTCCAGGTCCAACTCGGCAAGCTTTGTTAAAATGAAAAAGTAAATTCCCAGCAATATAAACAGCAAAAAAGCAAAGAGGAATCATTACCCAAAATGGCTTATAAAGACTTTCATATGGAATAACAATTGCTACAGAAACAAATAAAACAAAAGCCAAAATACAATAAACTTTAACATACAAAAACTTTAAAAGAAAAAATATTTTTTAAAAATAAATTTAAGAAAACATACACGTCCAAGAAATCGTCGCATCAAAAAATTAACAATTGGAAATATTCGATTAAAACAAATTTCCAAATTAAATTTATTTGGAGAATCTTTGCGATGACAACAACAAAATAATTTTCCAAATAAACGTCTCGGCAAATGACGCATTTTTTAAGAAAATTTTCTAAAATTAGAAAATAAAGTAATGAGGAAAAAAGCAAAATCTTGATAAAAATGGATTTGAAAGAATTGTAAAAAATAAGAGATGGTTCAGTGTCAAATATTCAGTGTTTTGGTTAGTAACATTTTTGATTTCAAAACAAGTTGAATATGTGGGTTACCGGATCTCCTAAAGATTATCGGAAACTAAATGTTTGAGTATAAAAGAGTAAAATTTTCAGGGTTAATTACTAAGGATTCACAAAATATGCAAGGAAAATTCCAAAATATGCAGCGAAAAAGGCCCAAAATATGCACTGAAATATGCAAAATCCATTTGAATTATCGCCTATTTGATTGCTAATGTACGCAAATAAAGTAGAAATTTTATGCAAAGATAAGGCCAAAATTAGGGGTAAAAATAAGAGGAAGAGGGCAGAAATGCAGTAAAAATAAGAGGAATTTTGTGGAAGATGGAAGACAACTCATCTAAGTAAATTAGAAACCCCCTAAAAATTTTCACGGTGAAAAATATTAATAAAGTACGTTAAAACTTATAATATTGCAAACAATATTCTGAAATAAATTTACTCATACAATACAACAAAATATTTCTATAGCAAATATAATATCAATAAAAGATCCTCAATATCCTCAAATATTTAAATTCTTTCCAATTAGCGCCGACGATAATTATCCCCTCCACCACCACCACCACCATTGCTATAACGAGATCCACCACCACTGCTATAAGTCGAAGATCTACCACTGCTGTATGAACGAGCCCCACCATTACCAGAGCCACCACCACGATTTGACGGCCTCCCATAACCACGCGGAGCAGCTCCACGACCACGTCCAGACATACGACGCTGCTGTGACTTGAATCGCGGCTCATCATCAATCAGTAAAACGTCCAATGGCAAAGAATCCGGCAAGATAATGGTGCGAATGTTATTCCCTAAAAATGGGAATGGGAAATATTTTGTGTGTAAAAATTACCTCGAATTGAAATAGAATCCAATTCGTACTTCTTATAAGCATTAACCGACATTTGCACACTACGCAGATGAATGTTCATTGCAGTGTCAGCCTCCACAATTGTTCCAGTAACAATAGTATTATTCTTCAGCTCAATCGTGACAGTTTCACGCGAAAGTTTCGTCACAAACCACCCAAGCTTCACCATCAGATTTTGAAAATAAAGTTAAAATAAATTTATCTAATAAAAAATAAAACAATAAATATTACACCGGTGGGGTATGATTCCGTGCACACGATTCCGTGCACACGTTTCCGTGCACACGATTCCGTGCACACGTTTCCGTGCCCGTTATAAAAAACACGTTTCCGTGCCCAATTTCTTTTTAATATAATAAACAATAAGAAAAGGTTTTGAGGGGTACAGTGAATATATAGGGACTTGTGCATGACATCGAGACATCAACAAGGGGATATTGGTGGATATGGAGGAAAAAATCTAAAAAAATTTTTTTTTATTTTGAAAAAATTAGAAGAACCCTGCTTCTAGCCTATGACTAACAGAATCTTCGCTGGAAAAACTGTTTTTGTGCTGCTACGGAGGGTAGGCCGGGCATGGTCTTCGCTACACGATGGCCGTGCTTCGCTGCGGTCGTGCTCGCTTCGCTCGCGGCGACCGTAGCGAAGCGGCGGCCGTCGTTCCGCTCGACATGCCCGGCTTCCTCCGCAGCGGCAAAAACTTTTTTCCGCGTAAATTTTTTGAATTGAGAAGAAAAATACTGAAGCAAAGTTGATAAGTTGATTACAAGGGGGATTAAAATACTTAAAAAATATTTAAAATTTTATAAAAATTTAAAAAAATAAAAATATTTGAATAATTGGGCACGGAAACGTGTTTTTTATAACGGACACGGAAACGTGTGCACGGAATCGTGCCCGCACGGAAACGTGCCTGCACGGAATCGTGTGCACGGAATCGTGTGCACGGAAACGTGTGCACGGAATCGTGCGCACGGAATCGTGTCTAACCGATATTACACAGATAAAGGAAAACAAAGACTTTTAGCTTTTTAAATCTCCTTTTAATAGTTAAAAATTTGACAAAATGACATTTTGGTAAAACAACAAAATTTTGAATTTAAAATTCTTTTTGTAAAAATACTTTACATCTAATTATTTAAGCTTTTTCGTTTCACCAAATCATTGTTTTGTCTAAAAGTTACGGTCTCTCAAAGCACTTGGTTGTATCCCCTTGAGTTAGCTGTTTTCCAATCTTAATAAAATTCTGTTATATGAAATTTTCTTTAAATTTACTTTTATTTTTAGACCAACTACCACAAATGCAAGTCTTCCTGTTAATTTTACTGTTATTTGAGTGTATTTATGCTTCCAAAGGAATGGACAATTTAACCAATATCACCATAAATGTTAGTTTCTTCATTCTCAATTAATTTTTATTAATTTATTTTCAACAGCAATCATTTATTAATGATTCTAAAGACAAGGGTATAATGGAATTGTTTACTCAAAATGATACAAATAAGACAGACGATGATTTATTAGACAATAATCTTGAGGAAATGAATAATGAGGATGTAGACAACTCTACTCATTCAAACTTTTCTATTACAACCTTTTTGACAACAACAGGAGATCCTGATTTAAATAAATTATCAAAGCAAACTCCAACTCTTCCAACATTTTTGGATACAAATACAACGACTGAAACAATTCCAATAAATATCTCATATTCTTCTTCATTATTATTGGAAAATTCTACTAACGTGGTTGAAGTAGAATATAATGGGTGTGATTGCCCAATGATTGATACAAACGATTTTGAAATTGGGGCAATTATTGGTGCAGTTATAGCCGGTGGAATGTTAGAAAATTAATTTTTAATTTTACTTTCTTTTTAATTTTTAGATTTTTTGTTATAATGTTGGTACGTATTTGCTTGAAAAAACGTCAGGAAGTTGGTCCAGGCATTCGTTGTTTCTTTTGCCTTTGAGAAGATATGTGTTTATGGGAAAACATATTTAAATAATTATTTTACGAGTATTATTTTTGTTTATTTGTCTGTAATATTGTGTTAATACAAAAATTAAGACCTAAATTATTTAAATGTAAAAAAAGTTAAAAGTGTACTATCCAACTTTTCTAGTTCTATCTTTTAAAAATTTAGTATCTCCAGAAATTAAAATTTATTAAAAATAAAGCAGGATACAAAAAAGAGAGGTAAATTTTGTAATTATTTTATCAGTTCTGATAAATCATTTTTAGATAGATTATTTCCAAATAAAGTTCCATTATATCAGAACAATGAAAGTTTTATTAAAAAATATTTTTAATTTCACAAACAAATAACCGCTGGTCTATTCCTTCCAATATCCAAATTTTCTAATTCTTTAAAATTTTCTTCCCTCCTTAGCCAAGGGGATTCTTGTAATATTTCAAATAATTCAATATCATTCATAACATTATAACCATCCCCTAAATAATAATGAATTAATTTTAAACAAATTTATTTATTTACATCCTCCAAAAATAGCCAAAAATTCTTTTTTTCCGTCAATACAAAAACAAGTAGCCCCACAATTTTCTTTTGGTTTTAAAAGTTTAACATTATTAATTTCTTCCAAAATATTTCCATTATTTAAATTAATTATTAAAATTTCTGAACGAAGTCCAATTCCATCAAAGCCTCCAATAATAAATCCAATTCCTTTAGAATTAATAATTTTTGGGAAAGCGACTGCATGACATTCAAGTGGATCTATTCTAAGTGAAAATATTTAAATTAAATTTATTATAGAATTATTACATGGAAGAAAATGACGAAATTTGGTTGTTTGATTTTTAATGTTATATTCAAATATCTGAAAATTAAATATTTAAAAATAATTATTTTTGACCAAAGTTTTTTTAAATAATTCAGATATAAATCTTATATTTAAACTCAAAACAATGGGAAAGCAAAGCTCAAAACCTAACAAAAAAATTCCAATTTTAACTACATCAATTATCTTAAATTTTCCCCATTTTTACATAAATTAAAGAAAAAATTTTTAAACCGTTTTTTGTGTTTTATTTCCGTCCCACCCACCAATAATCCAAATTTTTTGTTTGTCTAGAGAAGGTAAAGCAGTAGCATTTTTAAGTCCAAAAGGTAATGGAGAAAGTAAATTAACATTATGCGGCTCTATTTCCTCAATTTTTACAATTTGATTTAGACATTCATTTCCATCATAACCACCAAAAATAAATCCCCCATTTCCCTAAAAAATAATTTTTAAATTTATTTTTTAAATTTAACCTCAATTTGACAAAATGCAGAACAAGAAAATCCTCTAATATTGTTGTAATTGAGCAATTTCCCATCAATTTTAAATTTTTCTGTTTCTTTGGAAAAATCAAAATTAAGCAATTCTCCACTATTTAAATGGTAACCTGGTGCTAATTTAAAAAAAAAATAAAATTATTTTAAAATTTCGATTTTCAGCGCCGCTGGCGAAAAAAAAAAGATTAAAAAAACCATTTGACCCCTTCAAAAGGAAAGAAGAATCAGGGAAAATAGGGGATAGGATAACACACAATATCGTTATTAAAAAGCCTTCAACTCCTTATATAAATTAAAATAAACTTTAAAAAATTTCCAAACCTGAGCACCCTCCAATCACAAACAAATGTCTACATTTAAAATTAAAAATTGATGGAGAACGTCTTGGAATATGTAAATTAAATGAATAATTAGTTGCTTTTAATTTTTGATTTAATGAAATTAATGAACAATTTGAAAGGGCTCCCTTTTCTAGAGAATCTTTTAAAAAAATTTTTTTTAAATATATAAAAATAAAATTTAAATACCTGAAGATCCCCCAATCAAAATAATTATTGCTGCAATATTTCTTTTTATTAAATTTAGAGGAAAAATTTTCATTAAAAACAAAGTTGTTTGTTGATAAATCTTTTTGCTTAGACATTGTATGAATTGACGAAAAGTCCGCTTTCGAAATATAATGTTAACACGTTAATGACAAAAAGTCCGTCGACATATTGTAATATATTTGTGACAAAAAGTCATTTAATCTAAAATGAATTTTTGAGTATTGCTTGCTAAAAAGAAATTGACAATGAGCTCCATTGTTAGCGATTTTTTGCTGCTTTTTTCTTAAAATATTTACTCTGTATCCTGAGGTCTTGACGGTACTGTGTGATTTTAAATTAAATTATTCTTTTAGAAATCTCTAAAAAATTTTTTTATTTTTAGATAAAATGTTTACAATAAAATCAAATTTTCGATTCTTCATTTCAAAGGTTTTTAGCTACTTTTATAATTCATTCAGAACTTATTTTTCTTTAGAATTTTATTCGAACAACTCTTTTATTTGTTAATCGTTTAAGAAGATATAGCTATTATTTTAATTCTTCACAAACAACTAAAAAAATTTTGTTTGCTTCGTTTGCAGGATTTTCATTTCAATTAAATGAGAATGAAGAAACTGAACAACAACAAAAGTTTTTTTACATTTTTAATATGTTTTAAATTATACACACAAATTTTTTACATTCCAAAAAACTCAAAATCTCAAAATTTTTGAAAAAATAATCATGTCAAAAATCTACTAACAAAAAATTTATTTTAAATTTTTTTGTTTTAAGTTTAAATCCAACTATCAACCAATTTAATCATCCAGAACAAAGTGAAGGTTGGGAATGTATGTATACTGATTTAACGATAAAAGTATTTCGAAAAAGGCGTGAAAGAACTGATGGAAGTCAATATTTTGAATATCAATGTATTGGCTCTTATAAAGATATTTCTGTTAATGATTTTATTCAAGCACAGGTTTTTTTAATTTTTTTTCGAATTGAAAAATAAAATTAAGTATGATATTAATTATCGTCGTGAATGGGATGGAAATATTAATCGACTTGAAGTTTTGGAAGAAGATTATTCTACTGGGTTTAAAATAATTAGATGGGAGACGAGGTTAGTTTTTTTAATTTAAAAAAGTGTTAACGATATAAAATTTTGACTTTTTATTAAATTAAAAAATTATTTTGGAACAAATTTTGGAATTAAAAAGGAATTGAGAATCAGGCCCGTAACCATTGGGTTTACGCACTATCCCCCCCCTCCCCATGAAAGCGAAAAAGGAAAAAAATTTAGGGAGTGAACTGAGAAAAAAGTGATTTTTTTGGTCTACGGCCTTCCAAAATTCTAAAAATTTGCGCAGGTGCAAAAATCAAAATTTTCGGCGCCGAAAGTAATTTTCCCACTCTGCCCCCCCTCCAACTGTTTACGAGCCTGTTGACAATGAGAAAACAATTAGAAATACTTTTTACTAATTTTCTTTAGATATCCATATCCACTATATCCACGTTTATATATTTATTTACAACAAAAATTTATCGACGAAAATGCTCGGACTGTTTTGGTAACAAATAAAGCAATTGATGAAAAAGTCTATTCTTTTGATGATTCTTCTTGTGTTAGAGTGACTGATTATAATTCTAAATTATTTGTTAGAGCACATGGAGAATTGGATGAAGTAAGGGGTTTTTTTAATAAAAATATTTTTTTTTAATTTTTTTAAAGAATGGATTAGATTTTATTTTAATTTATCATGATGATCCAAAAGCGCCAATTCCTAAAAAAATATATGATTTTGGTGTTAATGTTATTGGTAATTTAGAGAATAAAATAAGAAAAATAATTTTTATTTTTAGGTCCATCATTTTTAATTTCTGTTCATTCAGCAGCATTAAAATTAGCAAAAGAAAGAATAAATAATAATAATATAATTAGAAAAACAGCACAAAGACAAAGAATATTAAGTGGAATTGAAAATAAAAATAATAATGAAGATATACAAAATAATGGAAAATTTAAAGAAAACAAACAGCAACAACAACAAACTGCTTAAAGAAATTTTAGAAAAGGAAAATGTTCTTTCAAAATTAGAGATTAGAGAGAAAAATAAATATTTTAAATTAAATAAATATACAAAATTAATTGGTTAGGACGTTTAAGAGGTTTTTATTTTTAAACTTTTTTTAAAACTAAAAACTTGGACTATTTTAAATTAATTTTATAAAATATTTAAAAATTTCCATCTCTAATTAAATTGTTGATTTAAAAATATTTTTATGTCAAGTTAATTAAATTTTACGATATTTTTTTTATTTTAAAATAGGTATTTAAATCGAAAACTTTGTTTTGCTTTTTGTTTTGATATTTTTAAAATAAATATAAAAAATACATATAATGAATATAAAAATATTTTTTTGAATAAAGGTTAATCTAATTTTTAAAGAGGAAATTAAAACCTTAATAACACTTAAATATTTAGAGAAAATCATTCATAAATTTTCTATACTCTAATATACGGGATTGAGGTTCTGAAGAGGGAATGAGGCGGAAGTGAGGTGTACTATGTGCTACTTTTAAAAGATGAAAAAGGGAAAGAAAAAAACTAGAAACAAAAAATAATACATTTGTATGGAAAAAAACGTGCCAGCAGAATCATATAATAGAAAATAGGGGGGAATGACTGTGCCACCTAGTCAGCAGTCACTGTCTGTTTTTTTGCTCCCTCAAGTTATTCTCCCCGCATTTATATATTTCCCAAAGGGCTTATTTCTTATAAAGTTGTCAGATTATACTTGTTAGATACTTTTTTTTACATTTTTTTGAAAGACATTTTCTTTCGAACCCTTAACTTGACTTCCTTCTTAGTCTTCAATGACTTCAAAAATTGACTAAAAAACATTCCAAAACTCTAAATTCTCTACAAGTCGTGATTCCGCCTTGCCATTTAGTGAAATCTCGCTTCATCAATCCTTTTTACTCAATTCTCTATTTTATCCCCACCCATGTACGTATAATAAGAGGCTTACACATTGCCTTTAATTTTATTTAAAAAATATTTTACTGAAGAAAAGGGCTTCTGACGAAACCGATCTTTGACGAGATTACTGGGGTACAGCCCGAAATGTCGCGGGCCAAAATGTCGCGAGGCTGAAATGTCGCCGGCCGAATTGTCGCCAAGCTTTTTAATTAAATATTCTGTAAAATAATTACAAAACAAGGATATAGTTTTCAACTTAAACCTATGGAGCGTCGGCGAGGCGCTTGTGCAAAACTCCGCGCTTCGCGCGGAGTTTTGCGGCACGCGCCTCGCGGGGAGTCTACGGTCGCTGGGTTCTGGGCTCGTAACTTAATCCTATTCCTTTTTACCGATTCTCAGCCTTGAATGCCGACCTACCCTCCATAGCAACACCAAAACAGGTATTGAAGCGAAAAGGTGAACAAGGAAAAGGCGAAAATATGAAGAAAAGCTTGGCGACAATTCGGCCGGCGACATTTCGGCCTCGCGACATTTTGGCCCGCGACATTTCGGTCGCGACATTTCGGCCGCGACATTTTGGCCCGCGACATTTCGGGCGTGTCCCAGATTACTGATACATTTTTTACTTTTTGTTTAGAAGTACATTTGAGTCTGAGGAGTATTTCTTTTATTCTACAGTTTTTCTTTATTTTAATTTAATTTTTAAGTAAAAGGTGCTAAAAAATAATGAATGTTGAAATTGACTCAATTGAATTGACTGATCCTGTCCAGCATGATAATGATTCTTTGGCGAGTAATCCAAAAATTAATCATGAAATGAAAGATGCAGCAAAATCTACAGATTTTGAGGAGACAGTTGACACAAATGGAATTTTACCAAAATCGAGATCTTGGATTAAATTAAATGTTGGAGGAAAGGTTTTTTTTAAATAAATATTTAAATAGTAATCTTTATTTCAAAGTTATTTATGACAACAATACAAACATTATGTCGTGAAAGTGGTTCTTTCCTTGCTCGTCTCTCACAAGAAGATCGTTCATTGCCAAGTGAGAAAGATGAATCTGGATTTTATTTAATTGACCGTGATTCTGATTATTTCTCTTCGGTGCTAAATTATCTTCGTCATGGAAAGGTTATTCTTGATCATGGACTTTCTGAAGAAGGTATTTGATAATTTATCGATTTTTTCTAAATCTCCGATCCGAAATCCGGTCTTTTTTTTATATCGCGGCCCATCTCTGTTTTGACACATTCATTAACGGAAATATTTTTTTAATTTTGTTTACTCTTGAGGAATAACCCCCAAAAAACTTTATTTTTCTTTTAAAAGGTCTTCGTGAAGAGGCTGAATTTTACAACTTGCCAAAATTAATAGCTCTCTGTAAGGAACGAATTGCTGACCGTGAAAGACAACGGAAATCATTAGTATTTGAATAAAAATTTTTTAATTTAATTCAATTTTAGACAAAACATGTTTATCGCGTCTTACAGGTTTTTTAAATTTTTTTAAAGTTTTCAATCTAATTTTACTTTGGGTCTGATCCAAATTTTGGGTTATTTAGTAAGAAACAAAATCAAAATTAAGGATAAAATAACCAGTTTAGATTAACTTTCCCCAAGGTTATTTTAAATAACTTCAAAAATATAAATAGTGTGGATATCTTTTTCTTTTTTTTAAATTAAAAATATTTTTAGTGTCATGAAGACGAATTGACTAATGTAATCTCAGCAATGTCTGATGGTTGGAAATTTGAACAGGTTTTTGAATTAAATTAAAAATTATTTCAAAACTTCCCCCCCTTTTTTGTAGCTTGTTCCAATAGGCCAATCATCACATCCAAGTGAATCTGGCCAACCAGAATATTTGTGTGTTGTTTCTCGAGAATATCCAGTTTCTGCTACTGATGGACAAAATAATGAGGCTGTGTCTGATCGAGCACAATTTTTGCAAATGAAAGCAATGAATGGTTGAAATAAATAATTGAATTTTTCGACTTTTAAAAGTAAAGAAATTTTTTTAAACAAGCTTTATATATTTAATTAAAAAGGAATACTTTAATAAGCAATTGTTTGGAGATTTTTTAAATATTGGAATTAGCCGTATTTAAAATAATATACTTAAATTATATAGGGGGGACATTCCACAGTTGGCAACATCTATTCTTAAAATATAAAATTAATAAGATAGTAGGAGGGTATTATCCAGTAAGATTTTATCCATTTTTCGGGGGACCATGCTTACCTTAGTAGATACGCGCATGGTGGTCTAATCACTTGTATTATTTAAAACAAACTTTCTAAACCTCCAAAAATATTTTATAAAGTATTCTTTTAAATACCCAAAAATATTTGCATTTTAAAAATCCCACCATTTCCATCCAATATTTCCCCAAATTTTTTTCTTTACATATATTTTCATCCTCTATTTTTATTAAAAAATACCTACATAAATAGCCATTTTAAAAATAAACGTGGCTTTAAAATGCCTAGAATTCAAACCAAAAATTATAATAAATTTTATCAAGAGCACAGAGTCAAAAATGAAACATTTAAAATTTGCAAAGAAATGAACAAAGTGAAAAAATGGATTTATATTTTAAGAGTGATAAATTTGGTTTTAATATTAAGTAGAATTGAGGGGAGAAAAAAAGAGATTTTAAATTATTAGGTTTTTGTAAAAGAAAATATATGAGCCCCAAAAAGAAAGGCCTAAACAATTCACAAAAAAAGAATTTAGGTTTCCCAATATTATTATAATATACCAATGTTTCAAAAAAAATTATCAAAGAAATGCATAATTATTGTGCTTATTTTTAGAGTTTAAATTTCTCCTTTAAATTAAATTTCTACTTTTTGTCTAGCTTGTTTTAAGGAGTTTTTAGAAAATAGAGATCAAAGCGTTTTGCAGAGCAGCCAAAATCTCTTCTAATCATTTTCAGAAGAATTTATACAAGAAGAGGATGAATTTGTGGTTGCCATTATAAAAAGCGCTTTTTGATGAGCAGCTCTTTTTGTTGTTGTTTTGGATGAATTTGTTGTTGTTTCCTTTGAAGTTGTATTATCTTGAGGTTGATTAATTAATTCATGAATACAGTCAACACAAGAATTAATTAATTTTGAACGATCTCGCATCAAACCAATTGTTGTTTTACTAATTTCATGTGTTTGGTTTATTTGTCTCTTAAAATTAAAATATATTTTAGATATAAAGACAAAAAAATGGGACCTCTAATAGCGCTTGCTAAAAAAGGAAAGTGGCCTGGCAAGTATTAAATTCGGAATTTAAAAACAACCTTAAGAAACGTATCGTGTTGGTCATCTGTATAATGAGGTAATTGTTTCTTCTGAATTTGTTTAATATTTTGTTGGCCTTCTTGTCTATAATTTATCAGTAATAATATAAGGCTAAAATATTTAAAACAAACTTGTTTTTAGCAACAATTTTATTCCGTTCCAATATCTCGCGATATTTGCAATTCAACTTTTCTCTTGATGAAGATGAGATATATTCGGTGGAATCAAGCATTTCATCAATATTTTGTAAAAGCATAAGAGAAGATAAATCAGTTTTTGTTTGATTCTCCTCAGTTGATGAACTTTGATCACTTGGATGTTGCTGGTGTTTCTTTATTGTTGTTGATTGATCATTTGAAGGAATAGACGATGAAGTTGAAGGAAGATTTTCTGTTTGTTGGTTATTTTCCATTAATTTCATATCGAGAACATCCTTTAAAAATTTAAATTGACTTTATTTACAATTTGGCCAGCCTAAAAAGGTTCACTTAAAAATATTAAAAAGCCTCAGAATTAAGTTTAAAAAATTTTCAACCTTAAAAATTTGTTCAATAAATTCATTTGAAGGCTGGAAAAGTAATGAGCTAGTCTTATGTGGTGGTAGAGCTTTGTTATTTTTCTTCTTTTCAACCTCTATCGTTGTTAATTGCCTTCTTTCTTGAATTTTTTCATCATTTTTATCATTTTCCAATAATGTTTGAATGTCATTGTTTAACCGTTCAATATGTTGAAAGGAAAAATTCCACCGACAACAAAGTGAATTTAATTGTTGAAGAAAAGATTGAAGACTAAAATTAATTTTAAATATATTTTTAATTAAACTTTTAAACCTTTCAACTTCATTAGAATTATCACAATCATTTAGATCATCTTCCATTTTTTCTTCTTTATTTATTTGATTAAAATCTATACCAAATCTCTTATTTAATTTCCTTTTTTGTTTATTTTCTTTTTGTCTCCTAGTAATATTTAAAAGTTCAATAGGCAAAGAATTTCGAGAATTCGCATAAATCGATGAATTCAAATCATCAATGTTATTTGATGAATGTGGTGAATTAATGAAAGGATCAATGGAAGATTGTAGATTGCAGGATGAAGATTTTCTGTGAACACAAATAAATTTTAAAAATCAATTAAAACATTCCTTACTTTTCCATTAAATTCTTCAATAAATCCAATGCAGATTCAATCTCAACCTTTTCAAAACCCTTTTCATCAACATTTCCTTCCCTCTCTTCCAACGAAAAAATATCAAGTCCTTTACTTCTAGAATCAATCATTTCTTCAATTTTTTTCTCAAATAATAAATTTATTGGTTTTGTTGCTGTAAAGGTTTGTGTATTAAATGAAGAAAGAGGAACTAATTTTGGCAAGTTTTGTTTATTTAAATCCTTCTTTTTGCTAAATTCCACAGTTAAATTCCTATAAAGATATCGAGCCAATATTTTTATTCTTATTAAATCCAAAAGTTGTTTAGATTTATTAAAATATACGCAAGCATTTGGAAGTAAATTGAGGCAATCAAAGGCAGATTTTATCTAAAAATAATAAAAAATATACTGACAATTATGTATTAAAAATTAAACCTGTTCTTGAGATTCAAAAACATTACAGGAAACTTCCTTCTCTTCATCCAAAAGTTCATTCCTCAAATAATCCGACAATCTTGACTTTATGCTTGATCGAAGAGAATCCCTTTGAGTGCTCTTTGCTTCAGACACTGTTTCCTTTTCAGTAAGAAGTGAAATCAACTATAAAAATTTTCATATACTATAAAAAGATAAAATAAAACCATTTCTCGATATTCCATCAACTCCTTCTGCCCGAGTGAAGTATTAATATCATTACTGAAGTTACTTAAAAGTTTCATTAAATCTGTATTTTCAGATTCGGCAGAAGGCAAAGGAGAGTATTCAAATTGTTGCTGGCTTGTTGAGGCAATTGGTGGCACAAAATGTTCAGTTTCAGGAGCAGTACTTTTTATTTCACACATTGAATGGAATTTTGGCCTCACAAAAGACTCAAGAGTTCTATCAGAAGAGTCAACAAAGTTTGAGAACTACAATTAATACAATTATAAAATTTAATAAAGATTAATGTAACCGTTAATCTACGTCTTCGCAATAATTGTTGATGCTCGCTATTTGTACGAAAACGACAAAGAGCAGTTATACTCATTTGTTCATCGTCAGCAATTTTGTTGTCAAGAGAGACTTGATCGGCGCGCTGACGAAAAGAAAAGTTTTATTTTTAGAATATAAAAACAAAACCTGTCTAGAATGCTCATAATTATTTGTCAAATCATTAGCAGAAGTGCTAGGCGTCACAAAGTGTTGTTGTCGCAGTTGTGTAGTTTCTGTAGTTGAATTGGAGAAGCTACCACTTTTAGGTAACGGAAAGCCCATTTCAGCAAGAATTGCACTTTCCCTCGCCTGTTGAGCAGCCAATTCAATTTCGCGTTTAGATTTGCGTCCAGGCCCTTTTTTCCTCGGTTTCTTCATAACTTGACCCGTTTGTGGGTCCAATTCAGGAGTTTTCTTTCGATACTTACGTTTCGTCTTCATCTCAGTCTAAAATTAAATTTTTTAAAATGAATTAAGGAAATGTATTGAAGAAAATCCACAGCATGAGTGAAAATGTAAAAATAAACATTTTTTGCTTATATATGTAAGACATTTGAGTATTCTAACTAGACGAATAGATAAAATATTAACAACACAATTAAAATATTTTAGTTGAAATAGCAAATTAATGAAATTATTTTATTTGTGTTAGTATTAAAATAAAATTATATGTAAACTACAACAAAACCAAAAAGGAAAGAAAAATCATAAAAATTAACCTGGAATGTTGCTGCAGTTTCTATAGACCTTTTAATACGGGATTGGTGAAATGTTGAATCTGAAGAAGCTAAATTAGTAGAAGCAGCAACATTCGAGTTTGGAGAGGATAAATGTAAATATTGATTATTGCTGTTAGTAATAGTAGTTGATATATTTGTTGAATAAATTTGGTTAGACTTTGGCGAAGAAATAAATGGTTTTTCGGGTAATAAATTTATTTGCTGTTTTTGTTGATCAATTGATGAGTTAGATAATTTTGGACGTCCTCTTTTCTTCGGAATTCGTTCAATATGAGTAGAAAAATGAGAAAATGAATGAGGGTCAGTGTGGGAATTCATTGGTATCGATGTTGTTGTTGTAGTTTCAAAACATTTGCCATCTTGTGTAGATGAAGGGATTTCAACAAAAGAAGAAGGTCTGTGACGAGAGCCAGAAAGTTCCATCTAAAGAATAATAATTTTAAAAAATAATTGAATCCCAAACTTTCTAAAACATTTTTCTATTATAATAAAATTTAAAAAATACAAACCCTCATGAATTTGTCAGATGGCGATGTAACAACATCCGTTGTCGAGGCAATATCTCCATCACAAAAATGTTGCTTTCTAGTACGCTTCCTTTGTAAATCATCAACACTACCACTACCATTTGGCATTAAATCAATAACAGCTCCATTATTTGTAAAGGAGTTAATTTCTGATAAATTGTCTGAAGAAATTACACCACCCACACCTCGCTTATTAGTTGTTTGAGTATTCCAAGAATTTTTAACTAAAAACAAAATTGAGAAAATAAAAATATTTTTTAAATAAAAACCCAAAATTCCAGGTCTTGGACTTGTATGTGGAATATTTGGAACTTTTTTAATTGGAGATTTTGTAGT